TTATTCGTCCCACAGTGGGGAAATTTCAGTGTTGCAAGTTAAAGAACGTTAGGAATGAGGAGCACACAAGAAAAGCACAACTCTATATTTTAAAAATGAAATAAGATAACATTTCTGTCTTTAGATTAATAAAGAAGCAAGTACACAATTCTGCATCCTCTCTCTCTGTTATCTCTCCAATATCTTCCAATATTGTGTTGTTGTCACAGAAGATGTTGTCATTTCAGGGGGAGCGAGGAGAGTGTGGAGCCCCAGGACCAAAGGGTGACACTGTATGACTCAAAACTATAATGCGGAATTAGGTTTTCCTTTTTTCTTGGGTGAATGAAGACAACGCATAAGTTGACTTGTACAAAGAAAAAAATAATCATTTATTTTTTAGTAAAACTGTTGTTTTTTCAGGGCCCAGCGGGAATTCCAGGTGCACATGGACCTAGGGGTAACCAGGTAGAGAGAATTTAACCAAGTGTCTCCTTTTTGGAAACACTGGAATAGCAGTCTTTATAAACTTTTTTTTTCTTTTTTCTGTGAGTCTTGTCTTTGGCTGTCTGTCAGTGTTTCTGTTATAGTCTGTCTTTTATAGGACCTAGAGTCTAATTAAAGAAAGGATGATGTTGATGATGATTATGATTATAAGGAAAGAGGTGATTAAATGATGTCGTCCTTCATTCGTTGAAAGTTAGGTCTCTCTCTGGTCTCTTTCTTGACTCTTTCGCTGGTATCTCTCTCTGTCCGTGTTTCCACCGCAGGAGTTCTTGGTGGAGCGGGGTGGAACTTCTACAGGAACCGTCCTCTCACTCGGCTTCCTCAGTGGCTGTGTCTGTAGAGTAGGACCACTCGGCGATGTCATGAGTTTTGATTACCGCATACGCGAAACGTATTTGTTTATTTTATGGTCATAACCGCTCCGGTAGTTGTGGTCTTTTTTATAGTTTTTTTTTCACTTTTCACGGCTTGTTTTAGAGTGTGAATCCCCAGTGCTTTGAGATGAAGCTGATGTGTCTTAATATCTTTTTTATTTTGCTGCGATGCCTCAAACCCCGTCCGAATCAATGCCATGCTGTTATTTGCTGTTTCCAGTGGTGTCTGCTTGGCTAATGCAGCTGGGCTAATGCAGCTGGATTTTTAAAAGGCCGGGTTTTTTTCTTCTTTCCGCTGGCATCAGAGCCTGCGCAAGCTTTAGCCAATCAGCGCCAGGTTAAACTCATGGCCCATGCTGTTAAGGGCCCAACGGAGTTCCTAGCATGGAGTAGGGACTCCATGGGCTCTGGGTGCAATACCACCCAGAGCCCATGGCGGTGGACCCGGAATAAGAATTAGCCAATGCTAATGTACTTATCTTCTTACCTTCCGAAAACGTCTTTACAGGATGGTCCAAAAGTCGTTTATTTTCTTGTTTTATTAAGGGTCCTTTATTTCCTTTTTCTTAATTTTTCACAGTCCGCACATGTGTGATAATAATTTGAGTGCTACACCGTCATCACAACTTTATCCAACAATCTGTCACATACAGCCCTATGTCCAGAATCAGACCCTAATAATTTAGTCAACACACCACAGTTTTTAGTTTTAAATATGTGATTATAAGCACTTGCCTTGGTAATGGACTGTGCTATACAATAATTCAGAGAACTGGAATATAGACACTTATTATTATAGCTTGTAGTCTGGAAGTTATGGTAATCAATTTCCATTAATGATCTGAGAATGAGAAAATAATTGGAGTTGTATTGTGTCCTCCAGATATTATCTATATGCAACCACACTTTCTGGTCCGTAGACTCTCACTCTGTCTGCACACAGTGGTCCATAGACTCTCACTCTGTCTGCACACAGTGGTCCATAGACTCTCACTCTGTCTGCACACAGTGGTCCATAGACTCTCACTCTGTCTGCACACAGTGGTCCATAGACTCTCACCTGTCTGCACACAGTGGTCCATAGACTCTTACTCTGTCTGCACACAGTGGTCCATAGACTCTCACTCTGTCTGCACACAGTGGTCCATAGACTCTCACTCTGTCTGCACACAGTGGTCCATAGACTCTTACTCTGTCTGCACACAGTGGTCCATAGACTCTCACTCTGTCTGCACACAGTGGTCCATAGACTCTTACTCTGTCTGCACACAGTGGTCCATAGACTCTCACTCAGTCTGCACACAGTGGTCCATAGACTCTCACTCAGTCTGCACACAGTGGTCCATAGACTCTCACTCAGTCTGCACACAGTGGTCCATAGACTCTCACTCTGTCTGCACACAGTGGTCCATAGACTCTCACTCAGTCTGCACACAGTGGTCCATAGACTCTCACTCAGTCTGCACACAGTGGTCCATAGACTCTCACTCAGTCTGCACACAGTGGTCCATAGACTCTCACTCAGTCTGCACACAGTGGTCCATAGACTCTCACTCTGTCTGCACACAGTGGTCCATAGACTCTCACTCTGTCTGCACACAGTGGTCCATAGACTCTCACTCAGTCTGCACACAGTGGTCCATAGACTCTCACTCAGTCTGCACACAGTGGTCCATAGACTCTCACTCAGTCTGCACACAGTGGTCCATAGACTCTCACTCTGTCTGCACATAGTGGTCCATAGACTCTCACTCTGTCTGCACACAGTGGTCCATAGACTCTCACTCAGTCTGCACACAGTGGTCCATAGACTCTCACTCAGTCTGCACACAGTGGTCCATAGACTCTCACTCAGTCTGTACACAGTGGTCCATAGACTCTTACTCTGTCTGCACACAGTGGTCCATAGACTCTCACTCTGTCTGCACACAGTGGTCCATAGACTCTCACTCTGTCTGCACATAGTGGTCCATAGACTCTCACTCAGTCTGTACACAGTGGTCCATAGACTCTCACTCAGTCTGCACACAGTGGTCCATAGACTCTCACTCTGTCTGCACACAGTGGTCCATAGACTCTCACTCAGTCTGCACACAGTGGTCCATAGACTCTCACTCAGTCTGCACACAGTGGTCCATAGACTCTCACTCAGTCTGCACACAGTGGTCCATAGACTCTTACTCTGTCTGCACACAGTGGTCCATAGACTCTCCACTCTGTCTGCACACAGTGGTCCATAGACTCTCACTCAGTCTGCACACAGTGGTCCATAGACTCTCACTCAGTCTGCACACAGTGGGTCCATAGACTCTCACTCTGTCTGCACACAGTGGTCCATAGACTCTTACTCTGTCTGCACACAGTGGTCCATAGACTCTCACTCAGTCTGCACACAGTGGTCCATAGACTCTCACTCAGTCTGCACACAGTGGTCCATAGACTCTTACTCTGTCTGCACACAGTGGTCCATAGACTCTTACTCTGTCTGCACACAGTGGTCCATAGACTCTCACTCAGTCTGCACACAGTGGTCCATAGACTCTCACTCAGTCTGCACACAGTGGTCCATAGACTCTCACTCTGTCTGCACACAGTGGTCCATAGACTCTTACTCTGTCTGCACACAGTGGTCCATAGACTCTCACTCAGTCTGCAACACAGTGGTCCATAGACTCTCACTCAGTCTGCACACAGTGGTCCATAGACTCTTACTCTGTCTGCACACAGTGGTCCATAGACTCTCACTCAGTCTGCACACAGTGGTCCATAGACTCTCACTCTGTCTGCACACAGTGGTCCATAGACTCTCACTCAGTCTGCACACAGTGGTCCATAGACTCTCACTCAGTCTGCACACAGTGGTCCATAGACTCTTACTCTGTCTGCACACAGTGGTCCATAGACTCCCATCAATGCAGACATCACAAACAGATTCCCGTGTGAGAGCTGCTTTCCCCCGGAGCGTCTGGTATGTGAGGCTGGCTGCTGCTAATCCTGGTGCTCCAGCGCAGGGGTCAGGTCGATGGGAGAGTGCTCCTCTGCTGTGACGGTCTTTGTGTGCGATCAGAGCTCTGCAAACGTGTGATCATATGAGCTTATCCCAACTCTGGACATGAAACACTCACTGAATATTCAGCTATAGGAAATCTCAGGTCATTCAAGGTTCAAACTCCTTATACACGATTTGGAATTTCACATTAATTTGAATTAAGCCTTCTTTTTATTGAGTTGAATGAGTTTTGACTGCTAATAGGTCAAGCAGCTATAGTACAGCAGCATATGTTTCCTTTTTCCAATACCGTCTACAGTGGTTCCTGGTTTATCTCGGGGGTGATGTGTTCTAAAAAATAACCCACAATAAGGCAAATCTTCGTATTAGCAGTTCTTATGTTTAAGGCTGTAAAACTTCACACACACATTATACTCTTGAATCCACCTGAACTCACGACTGCTGAAGTGTGATCCCAGAGATATCAAACCTGCTAGTTGTCTGCATGAGCGTAGAGGGAGTTAGACAGAATAACAACCCCATTCTGAACTTTTTGAAAGATTCAAGAAATGTTCCTACTGTTTTTAGGGAGCCAAAGGTTCAACAGGAGAGGCGGGCCCTGAGGGAGCACTGGGATCTAAGGTACGAATTACAAGAAGAAAACTCCTATGAGTTGTATCCGTCTCTCTATCTCTCACTTCATAATTCTCTTGGGAAAAAGATCTGAGACACTGAAATCATGTGAATGTTTTGTTGTTGTAGGGAGACCAGGGCCCTAGTGGGACTCCTGGAGCTCCGGGGGACAGTGAGATCGGCTTTCCAGGACCTAAGGTGAAGTCGAAAACATGTTTAGATGTTTGCCCTATTCTGAATGCTGACTAGTGCATTACTGATTATGTAGGGAGAGAGGGGTCTTCAGGGGAGGCCAGGTCCCATGGGTCCAGTGGGAGTGGGAGACCCAGGACCGAGTGTGAGTATGCAAAAACAGATACAGTACACACATAAGACACCTGTGTCTGTCAGCTAATTACAGATGCTGCCACGTTTCAGAGGGGTCTTCATTTCAACCAAGCCGGAGTGGATCAGACTCTACTCATTTCCTCAGGTCTTCAGGTTCAGAGAGACCAGAGAGGCCAGAGAGAAACCAGAGATCAAAGAAAGACCGGAGAGAAAGAGCAGAGGGAGAGACCAGAGAGAAAGACTGCTTGGTTGGAATGAAAAGGGCTGGTGAGGGGCTAGCCCTGTTCTACTGTATGTTGTAATCAAAATACTCAAACAATAATAAATACTTTTTAAAAGCCTTGAGATTACCCTGAGTGAGCTGAGTGTGTGTGGAGAGGGAAGTCGGCGACCCAGCAACAAATAAAGCAGAAGAAAATAAATCTATTCTTTAAAAAAAAAAAAAAAATCACTATTTGTTTATAATATGTCTGTTCTAGGGGTCCCCGGGAGCACCTGGACCTGAAGGGAATCCGGGAACTACGAGGGAGGGGCTTCCGGGTCCCAAGGCAAGTGGAGTTCAGGCACACTGTGGAATTAATTTGCTTAAATAACTAAAATAACTTATTATATTTGTGAAGAATATATCATTTTTAGACAAACCGCCAGCGCTAGGGGGACTCCATGAAGATACACAGACACAATGATACAAGAACACAATAGAAAGTAAATCAACAGCATTTGTATACATTTAGCTGCACATTCGGCTCAAACCTGTTCGAGTTAGCTCTAATCAGCTTCTTCCGAATTAAGGCTAACACTATGGTGATGTCACACTCAGTCAGTCCATTCTAATAATTCAATTTGTTCTTATATAGCCCTAAATCACAACAGTAGTTATCTCAGAAGACTAAACAAAATTGTTGAAATCGCCAACAAAAATCAGAGAATCAAACCGTTCAAAAAATATATATATAAAACACATAAGTATTGGTCCATGGGGGAGTTGACCGAAGTCCATGAATGTTACTAAATGTCCATAAATGTTGTAGAATGTTAGAGTGTCCTGGATCAGTCCTTTTTGTTAGACCCACTAACAGTCTGGCGGTTTCAGGGAGATGGAGGGCTCCCAGGTCCTAAAGGCAGCAGAGGACTTCCGGGTGCCGGCCCCAAAGGAGACCAGGTGAGACACGTTTGAAACCAGGGGCACAGTGCATCTGCTGAACATTCGTTTGTTGGCTTTGGTCTCTCTCTCTGATCACTCTCTCTCTGATCACTCTCTCTCTGATCACTCTCTCTCTGATCACTCTCTCTCTGATCACTCTCTCTATGATCACTCTCTCTCTGATCACTCTCTCTCTGGACTCTCTCTGGTTTCTCTCTGGTCTCTCTCTAATACAGTGACACAGTTCTTGTTGTGTTCCGCCCAAGGGCAGCCGTGGTGCCCCTGGTCCCCCTGGTCCGCCCGGTGCTGCTGGTGTTGGACCTGAAGGTGAAAAGGTGAGATGTCAATTATGATCATGTTCAGATTTGGGACTGACGCTCTTCCTTCTTCAGGGAGACCAAGGCCCAGGTGGAGCTCCAGGCCCCAAAGGAACTCGAGCCACTGGCACACCAGGGCCGAAGGTTGGTCTCCATAATCTTATATTGTAGTCGTCGTAGTAAGTCATCTTTATTCATTTTGCACAGGGGTGTCTCGTGCAGGGACCACCAGGGCTATCTAGAGCCATAGATGGAATACTGTGACATATCAAAGAACAATAGAATTGTATACAAAATAAAGTTGAACCTTTTCAGAAAGGTATAATATGACTTATTGGTGGAGCTGGATGACATTGTGAAAGTGCCTAAATGGTCAGTTTGTGTTAGTGGCAAAGGCCACATAACATGATACAGCGGGTCACTTATGGCCCACAGGCCTCGGTCTGGACACCGCTGTGTTAGCCCCTGTTGTGGATGTTTCCTCTCACTCCACACAGTGATGGGAGCGAGTTGCCTCCAGGAGGCGCATTTCGGACCTATCGTACATGTTTTCAGTGGTAGGGGAAACCGGAACAGCCGTAAGAGACCCACACAGACACAGGGAGAACATGCAAACTCAACTCACAGAGGCAGCACTGACTTCCCTCTCCACCTTCATCTCATCTGGGGGAATCCTGGGGTGTTCCCAGGCCAGCTGTCTCTGCAGCGTATTTTGGGTCTTCCCCTGGTCTCCTCCCATTGGGACATCAACAGAACACCCAGAGAGGCATCCAGGAGGCATTCCAAAGATCCTCCTCCACCTCTCGATGTGGAGAAGCATGGCTCTACGCTGAGCTCCTCACTCTAGCAGTTTCTCTGAGGAGGATATTTAATCTGATCATCCTTGCGGTCATTACTCAAAGAGCTTTGCCTTTCAACTCACCACTACAATTTGATACAGCTCTGCCTGCAGAGCTGCTCCCTCTTCACCAAAACAGTCCGTTACAGCTCTGACTGGAGACGCTGCTCCTTCTTCACCATAACAGTCCAGTAAAGCTCTGACAGTAGACGCTGCTCCCTCATCACGCTCCATTCAGAGCTGGAGTGAAATGACTAAGAAGATGTTCTAATTTATTCTTCTGTTTTTTGTCACTAGGGAAACGTTGGGCCTTTGGGTGAGAAGGGTGAGCCAGGAGGGAGGGGTTTTGGTCGACCTGGGTCTACGGTAAGCCCTTGTCCTGGTTTGAGCCAATTCATTCCTGATCTTTGGTCCCTGAATGTGACCATTTCCATGGTGATGCTTCTTTGTTTGCCTCCCGTCAGGGTGAACGTGGCTTGGATGGAGCACCAGGCCTTCCAGGACCTCATGGACTGAATGGGGCTCCAGGTCAAAAGGTTCTACTCCAGAGAAAATACAATTTTACACAATGAAACGTTATTAATTGTTAAACTGTGTCAGGGAGAGGCGGGGCTACCGGGTCTCCGAGGACCAGACGGAGCTCCGGGTAAAGGAGATCCTGGAGACAAGGTACAACAGTTAACTCTGTGAATGCAACAACTTCTCACTCAATCACATCTCTGTTTTCAGGGACACCAAGGGGACAGAGGCTCCAGTGGACAGTCTGGACCTGTGGGACTCAGGGGTCCTAAGGGGCCAAAGGTGGGAACGGAAAATGTAGGACCAAAGCAAGATCTGCTCTCAGATCTATCTGGGGTCTTGGGTGGTTTTGGGTTTAACATCCTAAACATACAGTATTCTGTATGTGCATGTTTATATAGATATGTTTGTCATTTATGTCAATTATTACATTAACTTGTGCTAAAGGGAGATCTGGGAGTTCTTGGTCCCCCAGGACCCTTCGGAGCCCCTGGTCGAGGCCTCCCAGGAGCTAAGGGTGAGCCTGGAGCCCAGGGTGCAGCTGGAGCAGAGGGAGAGCCTGGTGTAGGGATCACGGGGCCAAAGGTGAGTCCTGTCTGTGTACAGATCCTTTTCGCTCTTGAATTTGAAATCTGTGTTTATTTACTCAGTATCGATAAAAAATATGATCATGTCAAATAACAGGGAGACAGAGGCGCACCAGGACCCATTGGGGCCCCTGGAGCCAGAGCAGAAGGGCCCCCTGGAGACACAGTGAGTCCTCTACAGACCTTTGCGCCTGGGGCACACTAACTCTGACTTAAGAGAGACCTTCAACCAAGTCGGAGTCAGTGCGCCAAGGGCTAGTCTGTCTCATGAACATACAGTATATTTTTACAGCTCTGTGTTTTAGGGCCTTCCTGGACTACCAGGCCCTGTAGGAGAGCCTGGTCCTGATAGGATGGGGCAACCTGGAGCGAAGGTAAATGTGTGTGGGTTCGAATCCCGGTCGGAACCGGGCCTATCTGAGTGGAGTTGGCCTGTTCTCCCCGTGTCTGCGTAGGTTTCCTCCGGGTACTCCGGTTTCCCCTACCGCTAAAAACATGTACAATAGTTCTGGCATGTGCCTCCTGTTCTGGCCCTGCTCCCATCTCTGTGTGGAGCGAGAGACAAATGCCCAAAAATAACAATTGTAAACCGCTTTGTGACTCTCGTCTGTGAAAGGCGGTATATAAATAAAGATTACTTACTTACTTACTTACAATAAAAACCCTAAAGAAGTATATCTAAGCTATCTAATGTAATTGTATTGCTATGACTATGTGCGGAGCCGGTCGAGGGCAAGCACACAGGACATGGAACTGGGTTAAACACCAGTGTAGAAAGTTCTGTGCACAAGTCGAAAAAACCTGTTGTGAGTCAGGTCAAAAGTAACAGACCCTTGTGTTTAGGGACAGAGGGGATTTCCTGGCTCCCCCGGACCTGCTGGAGCTCCAGGCACAACTTTGACTGGACCTAAGGTTAGTCTCAAACAGTGTTTTTCTTGTTGTTCAGTCCAGTTCTTTTGAATGTGACATGTGTTCTTCCAAAGGGGTCAGCGGGTCAGTCAGGACCTCCTGGACCCCCTGGTTCACCTGGGGAAGGGCTCCAGGGGCAGAAGGTATTTCTGTACAATCTCACACTCATTCAGAAGCAGGATTTGTGCTGATTGTTTGAGATGAAATGAGTGCAGCTGGTGGAGCAGAGCAGAGAGTTAGTGTAGTAGAGCTGGTGGAAATAAGGCTTTAATGGAAAAGAGACTTTTAACAGAATTGTTTTAAAAATTCATTGTTTTTAAACATCTTTTGAAGCAGTCTTGATACTCACTCTGTCCCTGCTAATGCTGCAATGGGTGCTCCTGTTGCAGGGTGAGCCTGGTCCTCAGGGTGTCCCAGGTCCCAGGGGTCCTCCAGGACGTGGACCGCTGGGAGATCAGGTAAGTGTCCTGTAGCTGTGTTGTGAACGTTGTACACTTCTAATACACACGTCTCTCAGGGGAAGAGAGGACACAGAGGTCCAAAGGGCTTCAAAGGAATGGTAGGAGACCCTGGAGACCCTGGGGCTGAAGGACCTGTGGTAACTTCATTAATGACATATGTTGTTATTTTAAGATGTTTCAATGTGTAATGATGATCTGTATAAAAGCCTATAGATTGTGACCAACATGTCTGCCATGCCTTTCAGGGAGAAGCAGGGCCGAAGGGAACGCCGTCTCTGACTGTAAGAACATCCACAATATTATGATTGTTTCTTTCAGGGAAGATGACATACATTTGTTTTTTTCAGAGAGCAGCAGTTGTGAAAATGGTGCGGTCCATCTGCAGTGAGTATTTATCTCTTATTAAAAGTGACCATGAATGTACATAATGCTGTGCTACTTTGGGTGGGATTTTGTCTGTTACTTAGTCTCTCCAGGGGTGTGTATATATGATGTAATGTGATGTGTGTGCGTGTGCGTGTGCGTGTGCGTGTGCGTGTGCGTGTGTGTGTGTGTGTGTGTGTGTGTGTGTGTGTGTGTGTGTGTGTGTGTGTGTGTCAGGATGTGGTCAGCCTCAGCCTCAGTGCAGGTCCTCCCCTCTGGACCTGGTTATGGTCATACAGAGTTCCACGCTCGGGGGCCCAGTGCTCGAGCTGCTGCTATCCCTGCTGGAGGGCTCCTCTGTGGGCCGTGACACCACTCATGTTGGGGTGGTTCTACCAGGCAATGCCCCCCAGACCCTGCCCCTGTCCTGGGAGCTCAACCAGCTCAGGTCAGGACCAAATCTAATGTTAGGACAACAAAAGGCATTCAAGATGGATGAGACCAGAGAGCGGAGAAAGAGAGAGCAGAGAAGAGAGAGACCACAGAGAGAACAAAGAAACCAGGGAGAGACAAGAGAGAGACCAGAGAGAGAAGCCAGGGAGAGACCAGAGAGACCAGAGAGACCATAGAGAGACCAAAGAGAGTGATCAGAGAGAGAAACTAATGAGACCATAGTTGATATGCACAGACAGAGGAAACAAGAAATATTTGGAACTTTGTGACGTTCATGTTTTTGTTGTTGTAAACTAAGTCTCTTTGGATAATGTGAGGTCATATGGACTGCCTCTTCCTGGGTTTCCTCACAGGTCCTTCATACTCTCCCAGCCCCTGGTCTCAAAGTTTGTGTCCACAGACGGAGCTCTCCTCTGGGCACGGTGGCTGCTGGAGGAGGGCCGTCCGGGGGCACACAAGATGGTGGTGGTTCTTTCCGATGGCCCAGGGGCGGAGCAGCGCTGGGTGGAGGCTTACAGCAGGAGCGTAGATGACTTTGTAGTAGCAACGATGAAGACGAGCGGAGGAGGAGCAGAGGGGATGCAGATCATGAGCTGCAAGCCCAAGAAGAGCCATGTGGTCAGCCAGGAGAGAGTCAGGCACTTGCCAGGTACCACAGACCAGGGCTACCACTTCAAACAAGACATCTCTGTTTTAAATTGATAGTGTCTTTGGTCAAATATGTATATGTACAGTGGTCCCTGGTGTAAGAATAATCCACAATAATGGGAAACCTTGAAGCAGCAGCTCTATGTTAGATTAGATTAGATTCAACTTTGTCATTACAAAGTCAGAACAATGCAACAAAATGCAGTTTAGCGTCTAACCAGTAGTGCAATAGCGCAAGTATGGAATTATATTTACAACACAGATAAATATATTTGCATTAATGGGAGACTGTACAAGCTGCTATTGCTAGTATATACATTAATTATATCACATTACATTAAAGTGCATTTAGTGGGCTTTAATTGGTTGAGAGTTCAGGAGTGTGACTGCTCTGTGATAAAAACTGTCTCTGGCCCGGAGACTCCTGTATCGACGACCAGAGAGCAGAAGGCTACAGAGTCTGTGTGCAGAGTTCTCAAGAAGAAAAGGCGCTGGTGGGCCTTCTTGACGAGGCTGGAGGTGTTGATGGTCCAGGAGAAAATCCTCAGATAAGTGGGTTCCCAGGAACTTGATACTGTGAACCCTCTCCACTGCCATTCCATTGATGTAGATGGGGTTGTGTTCTCCTTCTCTACTCCTCCTGAAGTCCACTATAAGTTCTTTGGTTTTGCTGGTGTTGAGGTGCAGGTTGTTATCAGCACACCAGGTGCACAGATGCTGGATCTCTTCTCTGTGGATGAGGCCTATCAGTGTGGTGTCGTCTGCAAGTGAGGGACACTGGTTTGAAATCGTGAGTGAAGAGGGAGTAGAGAAAGGGGCTTAAAACACAGCCCTGTGGGACTCCGGTGTTGATTTGGATCGTGGTGGAACTGCAGTTGTCCAAACGACTGCTGAGGTCTGTTAGTGAGAAAGTCCATGATGCAGTTACAGAGCTGGATTGATGCCGAGGTCATGAAGTTTGTTGATCAGCCTGGATGGAATGACGGTGTTAAATGCAGAGATAAAATCAACAAACAGCATCCTGGCATATGTGTTGTTATTATCCAGGTGTGTCAGAACACACTTAATACACACACACTTAATGCACATTTCTAACCACCTGAACTCACAACTGCTGAAATATGATTGGCAAACAGGCAACGAGGAAAGCGGCAACTGCCAAATACCTCCAGAGAGTAAGGCAAGACCAGGTCTGCAGGTCTTGCCTTACTCTCTGGGAATGAGAGGCAGGTCCCAGAGGGAACAATAACAGAGGTTGAGGACAGCTTCAAGTATGTCAGTATTCCACAGGCAAATGGCAACCTCAAACAGGCAACAAGGAAAGCAGCAACTGCCAAATACCTCCAGACACAAAGCCCGGGCAATTAACAGCAACGCCCTGCCCGCGATCAGAGACCCTGCAGGAATAATCAGGTGGCTAAATGAAGAGATTCAGACCACAGATGTTAAAACTCGAAAGCTCCATACCATACATGGCGGGTTCCATTCCACATCCAGCACCCCGGGACCGTAAGCCGTAAAGAAGGAGGCCGAGGACTAGTGAGTGTGAGAGCCACTGTCTAGGACGAAACATCCAAACTCCATAACTACATCATAGAGAAGGCCAAAACAGATGACGTACTCAGTGAATGTCTCAGGCAGTGGCGAGATGAGGAGGTGCTGGAGGAGAGCCCATCATGGGAGAACAAGCCCCTACACGGCATGTACCACCGGAGCATAACAGAAGTGGCTGATCCCAAGAAGTCCTACCAATGGCTAGAAAGGGCTGGCCTACAGGACAGCACAGAGGCACTCATCATGGCTGCACAGGAACAGGCCCTGAGCACCAGAGCGATAGAGGCCCAGATATACCACACCAGACAAGACCCAAGGTGTCGGTTGTGCAAAGAGGCACCTGAGACGATCCAACACATAACTGCAGGGTGCAAGATGCTGGCAGGGAAGGCCTACATGGAACGCCATAACCAAGTGGCTGGCATAGTGAACAGAAACATCTGTGCAGAGTATGGGCTGGAAACCCCAAGGTCTAAGAAACTCCTCCAAAGGTGGTGGAGAATGAGCAAAGATCCTGTGGGACTTCCAGATACAGACCGACCGAATGGTAATGAACCAACCTGACATCGTGGTGGTGGACAAAGGGCAGAGGACAGCCGTGGTGGTGGACAAAGGGCAGAGGACAGCCGTGGTGGTGGACAAAGGGCAGAGGACAGCCGTGGTGGTGGACAAAGGGCAGAGGACAGCCGTGGTGGTGGACAAAGGGCAGAGGACAGCCGTGGTGGTGGACGTGACAATTCCAAGCAATGGTAAAATCAGGAAAGAAGAACACGAAAAGCTTGAGAAATACCAAGGTCTCAGAGAGGAGCTGGAGAGGGCCTGGAGGGTAAAGGTCACAGTAGTGCCCGTGGTGATCGGGCACTAGCTTAGTCAGGGATAACCGCCTGCGGAGGGCGATAGGTGATTTTTTTTGTAATATATATACTGTATATACTGTATATGGTGGGATTGAACCCATGACCTTCAGGTTCAAAGGCCAATGCTCTACCAACTGAGCCACATGTATGTGTTTATATCTACAGACACTAGACAGACAGACAGAGTTTAAGTTTGGACCCTAGCATCAAAGGCCAATATAAACACAAACAAGAAATATTATTTGGTCTTTAAAGCTGGGGGGAAATGTAGCAGCACTATGAGACCAAATCAGACTGCAGTTCACTGTCTGTAGACATAAACATTTGCATAAACGAAAGAATGACTATTTACAATAATGTCTAATAAATGTATTCCTGCAGAGCTTGAGAATAAAGTGCTAAGACTCATTTGTGAAGAGAAAAAGAGGAGTTCCATCACATTCAGTACCAGACCAGGCCTCCAACTGGGACCCGACGGACTTCCAGAACCATCTACGTACACTGAGGTGGAACCAATCCGAACACAGCTCGCAGACATGCCCATCTCTTCAGGAGACTCCCACAGAGCCGAGGTGCGGACTGAAAACATGTAAACACCTCCAATTAAGGAGAAACCTGTCCATTTTGAGAAACAGGATCAAGACACGGCACAATGTTGTAAATTACATGTAACTCTCAAGCTGTGAGGAGGCTAATATTTAATATTCATAGGATTCACCAGTTGAGGTGGCTCGGGCATCTGTTCCGGATGCCTCCTGGACGCCTCCCTGGGGAGGTGTTCCGGGCCAGGAGACCCCGGGGAAAACCCAGGACACGCTGGAGGGACTATGTCTCTCAGCTGGCCTGGGAACGCCTTGGGGTTCCCCCTGGATGAGCTGGAGGAAGTGTGTGTGGATAGGGAAGTCTGGGCGTCTCTGCTTAGACTGCTGCACCCGCGACCCGGCAACGGATGAAGCGGAAGAAAATGGATGGATGGATGGATGGGTTCACTTAAATAATTGAATTTCGTCCTGAAAGAGAGAGAGCCCAGAGAGAGAGAGAAACCAGAGGAGACTAGAGAAACCCGATTTTGTTAGAGCTGCTCCACTCTGCATCACAAACATGTCTCTGCTTCAGGCTGGAGTGGACTCCCCTCACAGTCAGAACATGTCACTGCTGGGAGCGGCTCCAGGACCTCTGGATGTGGAGCTCCTCAAGGCCCTGTCCCCCTCACTCATGCCTCCCCTGTTCTGGTCTGCAGCCACCACAGAGACGGAGACTGAGGCGGACCACAGAGCACTGTCTCCAGGTAACCAAGTAACCAAGATGCAACTTACACACACAATAAGGTTTCAATTGGGCTAAAGAATTGACCCATACAGCAACTCCAGTTTTGAAATAATATATTTTGGCCTCTGTCACATCTTTAGATCAGCTTTGTAGACAGAAAAGTTAAAAAGAGGGGACTACTCGCACTCAGCCAATCAGCTCTCAGCCCATAAGACTCTTTCTTACACAAAATACAATCTGTTTTCGAATGAGATGAAGGCAGCATGTTGTAGTCTGATTTGTTCAAAACATTTGTATTTTTTTTTTTGGGACAAATGCATCTGCTCCCATCCCTATATCTGTACATAGTTTTTCCTATTTTACTTGATGTGACTTTTTGTGTGTGTGTGTGTGTGTGTGTGTGTGTGTGTGTGTGTGTGTGTGTGTGTGTACGCATGTGGGTGTATATTAATAATGTGGTTTTGGGTGGGTCTGTGGGGCGGTGGGGTTTAGGGCTGGGCATATTAGATTGTTTTAACTAAACTGTAAAGCACTTTGTGTTGCATTTTTTTTCTGAAAAGTGCTTTATAAATAAAATTTGATTGATTGAAATGATTGTGTAATTTACGAGAGAAATTGTGTACCCAGTAAAATTGATGCTCCCTTCTGTCCCCAGTTGCTGCTGGATGCTCAGAGCCTCTGGACCCCGGACAGTGTCGGGACTACACGGTCCTGTGGTACTTCGACCCCATCGCCAACACCTGCGCCCAGTTCTGGTTTGGAGGCTGCCACGGCAACGGAAACCGGTTTGAGACTGAGGCGAGCTGCATGCAGACGTGTGCCAGGGTCTAACGCCACCCTCTACCACAGCTGCAGAGACTGAATACAGAGACTGAGGCTGTAGATCTAGGACTGAGGCTGTAGATCCAGACCTGATGCTGTAGACCCAGTTCCGAGGCTGTAGATCCCGGACTGAAGCTGTAGACCCAGGATTGCATTCAGATCAAAGAGAACATGAAGACATGAACTCCTGGAGGGTATGGGCCAACACAACTCTATAAAACAAATGTCGAAAATGTCCTCTTGTTTTCAGAGATCAATATTGGACAGTGATTAGATTCACAAAAATAGTACAGAGAGAAACGAGAGAGAGAGAGATCAGGTATTATGAAGTCCTGGTCCTGCTTTCTGATTTAAGTCACTTGAACTTAAAAAGCAAAAAACGTAAGACCTGTTTTTCGCTTATATTTGTAATTAGCAATTGTTTATTTTTATTTTTTACCAATAAAGTTTATTTTTGACTGGAACAACTTAACCTCATTTTGTAATATACAGAAGACAGTATTGGCATTTAAAACATCTCAATCTTTTCCATATTTCCTTTAATTAGGGGTGTAAACCCCAACCTTTAAATGTTTTGGCCATTACAAATGATAAAGACACTATTTAGTGTGTCATTTCATGTTTTAGAAACATAAGAGAAACTACATAAAGGTCGGATAGTGTGAGGATTTTTGTGTCCCTTGTCATCCTAAACTTTTTTTCTTCTTAAATCCTTCGGTTTTCTTCAAATCCATACTTTACAACCACAAACTCTGCTCGTTTCCTTCCTGCTCTGGTTCCGCTCTAACGCTGCTCTGATGAGCAGCTCTGATTGGTCTGATTGGTCACAGAGGGGCTGTGCACGTGCATGAGAGCCACACACGTGTATTTGGCACAAAGCATCATGGGAGCTCGTCCACTGCGCAGAATGAGGGCACCAACTAGACAGCCAGCAAGGGAAAGCTAAGATTCTGCTATATTCTTCTTAACTGCCGGTGCTAGGCATGGGTCCAGAAAACATGACAGTGTACGCCATTGTGCTTGTCAGACAACACACGGCAGCAACCTGTTGTCGACGAAAACGCTGCTTATTTTGGATCAGGAGCCTCAGATTCCCCTCAATGTCACCCATCCTAGCCCCAGGGAAGCACAGAGCAGTAGGTCCTGGGTTCTTGACACCTCTAACAATAGAGCTGCCAATTACCAGCACATGAACAGCTCTCACAGTGGGGTCCTCCTCCCCGCCCAGCCATAAGGGGTCGCTCCCGGCAGCATTTCTTTCTGATGACTTTGCTTAATCCTTTGCATCTCTTTGCGTTCTTCTTCCCCCATTTTATCTTCAAGTTTTATGAGTGTTTTACCAAACACAATATCCTGGCCTTCAACTCTTCTATTGTCTCGTTGGCGTCTTCATATGCCTCTTGAACCCACATATTCCATTGCCTCTGCATCTGACTATTCTCTGCTTTGAGTTTTGCGTTCTCCTCCTCCATTTCTGCAATAACAGAGTTTGTCATGAGAAAATTCGCACTTCTCCAACTCGCCAGCTGCTCCTTCGTCTTTTCTTTAGTCTCTGTTAGATTGCTGATCACCTTGTCTTCCAGCTTTACCTGCTTCCTTAGCTCTTGTATGGTGTGTTCACAGGTCCTCTTGGCATCCTCCAGAGCCTCTTAACACACCGACTTCAGAGTCTGGACCTCATTTGCATATTTCTCCCAGTTTTTTCTCTGATGCAGCAAGTACGTTTTTCAGCTGCTGTTCCATATCCAGTATTTTAGCCTTGAGCTGTGTACTCTCTGCTTTGAGTTTTGCGCTCTCCTCCTCCATTACAGAGTTTTTCATGAGGATATTTTGCTAAATTCCTCCAACTCTTTCTGATTTCCAGATTTTCCTACAACCGGATATTAAGGTCCGTCTCTGTCCTGCATCTGGGTTTTGAGCTCGTCTATGAAACTTCTGCCTTTGTGTATTCGGAGGTTCAGGTCGTCAATCGTCTCCTGGTTCTCAGACTTGACCTGTGCAAGCTTTTTTCCAGGTGTCTAATCACTTTGTCTGTCTTTATAGCAGACTCCTTATTCAGTTTCCAAGGCTTCAACTTCTTCATTCTACTGTCTTCTCCTGGATGGCAGAATCCAGTTTGTCTTGGGTAGAAGTAGAGCTCCTTTCTGACTGTAGTAGAGCAGTCTCCACAACAGATCTCTCTGGAACTGGCTCACTTGCTTCTACTGTTGGGGACTCTCTTCCAGTTGACTCCAGCTTGCTTCTCCCTCTGCAGGTCCTCCAGACTCTGGTGTTGTTCCTCCAACACCATCTTGTGATATGCAAGCATTTCAATCAGCTTGTCCTTATTATGGATCTCCTTCTAAAACACGACCTTTTGTTCAGTGTGCCAAATCAAGAGCTTTGAATTTTATTTGTGAAGAAACTAAGCGCCAATCAAGTGAACACAGAATGGGGTAATGTGCTCATACTATCATACCATGACCATGTTTTGAATTTACAGCAATGTTTTTGCAGTAAATTCCTTGTAAAGTGTTTCCCGTCAAATATCAACAAGATCATAAGGAAAACAGATCTAATTGGAAAGAAATCATTGACATTGCAAGAACGAGGTAATCATTTAATTTCTGTAGCTGCTGATATATGTTTAGGAATCCCAGCTTGACTTTGTTCATAGACAAAAAGTACATTCTTGATTCAATGGAGATTGATTCAGAAACAAATAAATAAATAGAACACAAGTATTATTTGAACCTCTCATTCAGCAGGAAAAACTCCAACACGTGGCGGCTGAATTAGGGGGCAATGAATACGGCCAGAAAAGTGAAGCGTCCACCCCCTCTCAAGGAGTTGGGTTCCAGAGCTGTGCGTGTTGGTATCGCTCAACCTCCCCCAGGAGCCCAAGCTCAGTGAGGTGATGTTCCATGTCCCAACAGCCAAATGTGAGCGCGGACTGGGTCGTTGAGGTTTCCGCCTTTGACTGCTGCCCAGTCCGTGAGAGCAGACCCCTCTCTCAATATGGGCCTCCAGAGTTTCTCAATTTTCTCCCACTGTCTTTCTGAGTGGTTCATTGCTGATCTAGGAGGGTCTAAGCAATGATTCGGGACATTTCTGCACACATGTTGTCTTATTAACATCCCGCTCCCTATGGACCAATGGCTCCTATGTTTGTCATTATTGCATTTCCTGTTTTTGAACCGATTCTCTGATGTGTTTTTGGCAAATCCACAACTTTGTAAAGTCCTCCGAGACATCTACTGTTGTGATTTTGGGCAATACACAAATACATTGAATTGAAAATAACACTGGATGCACTACCGACTGGGACGGAATAATCTGGTTGTGAACATACCACTGATTTGTGTCTTGATTCAGACTAGTATGAAAACCAGGATCACAGTGAACACCAAACCACAGATTTAAGCCCAAAATGATGAGTGACACAAACCGTTATTTACTTTGACATGTAATCAATAGGAGCCAGAGCAAGTTGGACGTCACCATGAGCGCTTCCTTATTGGAATGAATTGAGCTAGCGTGTTAAGACTGTATGCAGATGGACAATACTATGTCAATGTAAATATTCAGTAAACCCACGTATAAAGCATGAGTACATATCATCACAGGTTTATTAAGTGACTTTGTACAAGTACACATGAAAAATAACATTAAAAAGATGGATACATAGCCAAAGCAAAGTGTGGTGTGGCCTCTGTCTTTGTCCCACTCAGCAGTCCTTTCGTCTTGGGTCGTCCTGGGTCGTCCTGGATCGTCCCGGGTCGTCCACACAGGACTAAGCTCTAACTTCAGCTGGCTCGGTAAATATAAAAAAGTTATAAACGTCCGAGAAGAATAACACAAAGAGAGTTACACGAGTCGTATCATAAAAAAAGGCCCACGGTGCAAATTATATCAAAATGTTTCAGTTAGTTCACGTCATTGTCGTAGAGGGGACAGTACAACCATGGCCCTGAAGGGACATAAGCAATGACAGGGAATAAAACTATTATAAACACAGAAGATTCTCAAAAGGTGCTCCAATGGCTATCTTTTCATGACTGCTAAAATCACCTTTTCTATCTCCAGCTGATATCTATAGGGGATTGTTCAATAACATTAAACACATAATTTCTATTGGAGATATTTTTATTGCCATCAAAAATGTGTTTAAGCTGGGGTACCAAACTTTCAAGCCACTAAAAGGCCAAACTTCCCCTGCCATCCAATGGAAAATAAAATGTGTTCTGTTCATTTTTCACCGCCTCGGCATTCATCAATTCCAAAGAAGTTTCTATATCTATCTATATAGATGTATGGCCCAGAGAGCGAGAGGCCGGAGATGAAGACCAGAGAGATGATGTCATATCTTTAGATCAACTTTTTCAGACAGAATAGTGACAAAAATAGGACCTCAGCCAATCAGGTCTCAGCTTAAAGAGTCAAATAGGGACAGGGCTCTTTCAAACGATGTTGTGGTCTGATCTGTTCAACATGACATTTAAAAGCAAAGTTATGTACCCCAGCTTTAAGACACTTGTTTATTCTACACGCAAAAGTTCTGCTTTTGCTTGTCCCTTCAGGGCCACCGTAGCACTCACACATTTTGGATTTTCTGTAAACATGATTGTACGTTTTCACCGTTACTGGGCCAAACGAACAAGGGCTCTGGGAACAACAGGAGAATGCAGAAACGGGGGTTTTGGCCTTTTCTAAGTAAAAATGGGGTTATGTGTTGTGGCGTTAAAGTAAACACATTCGTTGATGGTGGATGAGTCCTAGAACCGGAGCAGGGTGCCACAGCTCCCCCTGGTGGCGTTGCCCGGAGGCTGCAGTCGTTGGCAAACACATCCCAGCGTGGTCCTGCCCGCCGCTTTAGAAGATCTTGCCTTTCTTTTTGTTTTTGTCTTTGTCCAGAGTTCTGAAAAAAGAAGGAGAGTGTTACGAGACATGTTGGAAATGTGAGGAAAGTCCACTTGGTCAACATTTGAGACATTGTTTTAAACACTGTTGACTTCTGGACAAAGTTAAAAGGTACATGACACAATAAACTTTACCTTGACAGTTATCTTCCATGCATAGATTGATACTCGGAATGGACTGACATTATCATAGTGTTAGCCAAAGCTGGTCTCTCTCTGGTCCCTCGCTCACTGGTCGGTCTCTCTCACACCGGTCTGTCTGTCTCTCACTCACTGGTCTGTCCCTCTTTCTCACTCACTCACTGGTCTGTCTATCTCTTTCACCAGTCTGTCTGTCTCTCTCTCCCTCTCACCGGTCTGTCTCTCTCTGTAACTGTCTTTCTCTCCCTCTTACTGGTCTGTGTCTCTTTCTCACCAGTCTGTCTCTCTCTCACTCACTGGTCTGTCTATCTTTCTCACCGGTATGTCTGTCTCTCTCTGTAACTGGTCTGTCATTCTCTCCCTCTTACTGGTCTGTCTGTGTCTCTCACACTCACTGGTCTGTCTATCTCTCACCTGTCTGTCTCTCTCTCTAACTGGACTGTCTTTTTCTCCCTCCTACTGGTCTGTCTGTCTCTCTCTCACTCACTGGTCTGCCTCTCTTTCTCCCCCACTCACTGGTCTGTCTATCTCTTTCACCAGTCTGTCTGTCTCTCTCCCCAGTCTGTCTGTCTCTCTCTCCCTCTCACCGGTCTGTCTCTCTCTGTAACTGGTCGGTCTTTCTCTCCCTCTTACTGGTCTGTGTCTCTTTCTCACCAGTCTGTCTCTCTCACTCACTGGTCTGTCTCTCTTTCTCACTTCCTCACCGGTCTGTCTCTCTCTGTAACTGGTCTGTTTTTCTCTCCCTATTACTGGTCTGTCTGTCTGTCTCTCTCTCTCACTCACCGGTCTGTCTGTCTCTCACACACACCGGCCTGTCTGTCTGTCTCTCACACACACCGGCCTGTCTGTCTTTCTCTCATTGGTCTGTCTCTCTCTCTCTCATTCACTGGTCTGTTTTTCTCTTGCTCTTACTGGTCGGTCTGTCTGTCTCTCTTTCTCTCTTTGGTCTGTCTCTCACATTCACTAACCGGTCTGTCTTTCTCTCCCTCTTACTGGTCTGTCCGTCTCTCTCACTGGTCTGTCTCTCTCTCACTGGTCCGTCTCTCTCTCACTGGTCCGTCTCTCTCTCACTGGTCCGTCTCTCTCTCACTGGTCTGTCTCTCTCTCACTGGTCCGTCTCTCTCTCACTGGTCCGTCTCTCTCTCACTGGTCTGTCCCTCTCTCACTGGTCTGTCTCTCTCTCACTGGTCTGTCTCTCTCTCACTGGTCTGTCTCTCTCTCACTGGTCTGTCTCTCTCTCACTGGTCCGTCTCTCTCTCTCACTGGTCTGTCCCTCACTGGTCTGTCTCTCTCTCACTGGTCTGTCTCTCTCTCACTGGTCCGTCTCTCTCTCACTCACTGGTCTGTCCCTCACTGGTCCGTCTCTCTCTCACTGGTCCGTCTCTCTCTCACTGGTCCGTCTCTCTCTCACTGGTCCGTCTCTCTCTCTCACTGGTCTGTCCCTCACTGGTCTGTCTCTCTCTCACTGGTCTGTCTCTCACTGGTCTGTCTCTCTCTCACTGGTCTGTCTCTCTCTCACTGGTCTGTCTCTCTCTCACTGGTCTGTCTCTCACTGGTCTGTCCCTCACTGGTCTGTCCCTCACTGGTCTGTCTCTCCCTCACTGGTCTGTCTCTCTCTCACTGGTCTGTCCCTCACTGGTCTGTCTCTCTCTCACTGGTCCGTCTCTCTCTCACTGGTCTGTCCCTCACTGGTCCGTCTCTCTCTCACTGGTCTGTCCCTCACTGGTCTGTCTCTCTCTCACTGGTCTGTCTCTCTCTCACTGGTCTGTCTCTCTCTCACTGGTCTGTCTCTCTCTCACTGGTCTGTCTCTCTCTCACTGACTGGTCTGTCTCTCTCTCACTGACTGGTCTGTCCCTCACTGGTCCGTCTCTCTCTCACTGGTCCGTCTCTCTCTCACTGGTCCGTCTCTCTCTCACTGGTCCGTCTCTCTCTCACTGGTCCGTCTCTCTCTCACTGGTCCGTCTCTCTCTCACTGGTCCGTCTCTCTCTCACTGGTCGGTCCCTCTCTCACTGGTCCGTCCCTCTCTCACTGGTCCGTCCCTCTCTCACTGGTCCGTCTCTCTCTCACTGGTCCGTCTCTCTCTCTCACTGGTCCGTCTCTCTCTCACTGGTCCGTCTCTCTCTCACTGGTCCGTCTCTCTCTCACTGGTCCGTCTCTCTCTCACTGGTCCGTCTCTCTCTCACTGGTCCGTCTCTCTCTCACTGGTCCGTCTCTCTCTCACTGGTCCGTCTCTCTCTCACTGGTCCGTCTCTCTCTCACTGGTCCGTCTCTCTCTCACTGGTCTGTCTCTCTCTCACTGGTCCGTCTCTCTCTCACTGGTCTGTCCCTCACTGGTCCGTCTCTCTCTCACTGGTCCGTCTCTCTCTCACTGGTCTGTCTCTCTCTCACTGGTCTGTCTCTCTCTCACTGGTCTGTCTCTCTCTCACTGGTCCGTCCTCTCTCTCACTGGTCCGTCCCTCTCTCACTGGTCCGTCTCTCTCTCACTGGTCCGTCTCTCTCTCACTGGTCCGTCTCTCTCTCACTGGTCCGTCTCTCTCTCACTGGTCCGTCTCTCTCTCACTGGTCCGTCTGTCTCTCACTGGTCCGTCTCTCTCTCACTGGTCCGTCTCTCTCTCACTGGTCCGTCTCTCTCTCACTGGTCCGTCTCTCTCTCACTGGTCCGTCTCTCTCTCCCACTGGTCCGTCTCTCTCTCACTGGTCTGTCTCTCTCTCACTGGTCCGTCTCTCTCTCACTGGTCCGTCTCTCTCACTGGTCCGTCTCTCTCTCACTGGTCCGTCTCTCTCTCACTGGTCCGTCTCTCTCTCACTGGTCCGTCTCTCTCTCACTGGTCCGTCTCTCTCTCACTGGTCCGTCTCTCTCTCACTGGTCCGTCTCTCTCTCACTGGTCCGTCTCTCTCTCACTGGTCCGTCTCTCTCTCACTGGTCTGTCTCTCTCTCACTGGTCTGTCTCTCTCTCACTGGTCTGTCTCTCTCTCACTGGTCTGTCTCTCTCTCACTGGTCTGTCTCTCTCTCACTGGTCCGTCCCTCTCTCACTGGTCCGTCTCTCTCTCACTGGTCCGTCTCTCTCTCACTGGTCCGTCTCTCTCTCACTGGTCCGTCTCTCTCTCACTGGTCCGTCTCTCTCTCACTGGTCCGTCTCTCTCTCACTGGTCTGTCCCTCACTGGTCTGTCTCTCTCTCACTGGTCCGTCTCTCTCTCACTGGTCTGTCTCTCTCTCACTGGTCCGTCTCTCTCTCACTGGTCTGTCTCTCTCTCACTGGTCTGTCTCTCTCTCACTGGTCTGTCTCTCTCTCACTGGTCTGTCTCTCACTGGTCTGTCTCTCTCTCACTGGTCTGTCTCTCTCTCACTGGTCTGTCTCTCTCTCACTGGTCTGTCTCTCTCTCACTGGTCTGTCTCTCTCTCACTGGTCTGTCTCCCTCTCTCACTGGTCTGTCTCCCTCTCTCACTGGTCTGTCTCCCTCTCTCACTGGTCTGTCTCTCACTGGTCTGTCTCTCACTGGTCTGTCTCTCACTGGTCTGTCTCTCTCTCACTGGTCTGTCTCTCTCTCACTGGTCTGTCTCTCTCTCACTGGTCTGTCTCTCTCTCACTGGTCTGTCTCCCTCTCACTGGTCTGTCTCTCACTGGTCTGTCTCTCTCTCACTGGTCTGTCTCTCACTGGTCTGTCTCTCTCTCACTGGTCTGTCTCTCTCTCACTGGTCTGTCTCTCTCTCACTGGTCTGTCTCCCTCTCACTGGTCTGTCTCTCACTGGTCTGTCTCTCTCTCACTGGTCTGTCTCTCACTGGTCTGTCTCTCTCTCACTGGTCTGTCTCTCTCTCACTGGTCTGTCTCCCTCTCACTGGTCTGTCTCTCACTGGTCTGTCTCTCTCTCACTGGTCTGTCTCTCTCTCACTGGTCTGTCTCTCACTGGTCTGTCTCTCTCTCACTGGTCTGTCTCTCTCTCACTGGTCTGTCTCTCTCTCACTGGTCTGTCTCCCTCTCACTGGTCTGTCTCTCACTGGTCTGTCTCTCACTGGTCTGTCTCTCACTGGTCTGTCTCTCTCTCACTGGTCTGTCTCCCTCTCTCACTGGTCTGTCTCTCTCTCACTGGTCTGTCTCTCTCTCACTGGTCTGTCTCTCTCTCACTGGTCTGTCTCCCTCTCTCACTGGTCTGTCTCTCTCTCACTGGTCTGTCTCTCTCTCACTGGTCTGTCTCTCTCTCACTGGTCTGTCTCTCTCTCACTGGTCTGTCCCTCACTGGTCCGTCTCTCTCTCACTGGTCTGTCCCTCACTGGTCTGTCTCTCTCTCACTGGTCTGTCTCTCTCTCACTGGTCTGTCTCTCTCTCACTGGTCTGTCTCCTCTCTCACTGGTCTGTCTCTCTCTCACTGGTCTGTCTCTCTCTCACTGGTCTGTCTCTCTCTCACTGGTCTGTCTCTCACTGGTCTGTCTCTCACTGGTCTGTCTCTCTCTCACTGGTCTGTCTCTCACTGGTCTGTCTCTCTCTCACTGGTCTGTCTCTCTCTCACTGGTCTGTCTCTCTCTCACTGGTCTGTCTCCCTCTCTCACTGGTCTGTCTCCCTCTCTCACTGGTCTGTCTCTCTCTCACTGGTCTGTCTCTCTCTCACTGGTCTGTCTCTCACTGGTCTGTCTCTTCTCACTGGTCTGTCTCTCTCTCACTGGTCTGTCTCTCTCTCACTGGTCTGTCTCTCTCTCACTGGTCTGTCTCTCTCACTGGTCTGTCTCTCTCTCACTGGTCTGTCTCTCTCTCACTGGTCTGTCTCTCTCTCACTGGTCTGTCTCTCTCTCACTGGTCTGTCTCCCTCTCTCACTGGTCTGTCTCTCTCTCACTGGTCTGTCTCCCTCTCACTGGTCTGTCTCTCTCTCACTGGTCTGTCTCTCTCTCACTGGTCTGTCTCTCTCTCACTGGTCTGTCTCTCTCTCACTGGTCTGTCTCTCTCTCACTGGTCTGTCTCTCACTGGTCTGTCTCTCTCTCACTGGTCTGTCTCTCTCTCACTGGTCTGTCTCTCCCACTGGTCTGTCTCTCACTGGTCTGTCTCTCTCTCACTGGTCTGTCTCTCTCTCTCACTGGTCTGTCTCTCACTGGTCTGTCTCTCTCTCACTGGTCTGTCTCTCTCTCACTGGTCTGTCTCTCTCTCACTGGTCTGTCTCTCTCTCACTGGTCTGTCCCTCTCTGGTCTGTCTCTCTCTCACTGGTCTGTCTCTCTCTCACTGGTCTGTCTCTCTCTCACTGGTCTGTCTCTCTCTCACTGGTCTGTCTCTCTCTCACTGGTCTGTCTCCTCTCACTGGTCTGTCTCTCACTGGTCTGTCTCTCACTGGTCTGTCTCTCTCTCACTGGTCTGTCTCTCTCTCACTGGTCTGTCTCTCACTCATGGTCTGTCTCTCTCTCACTGGTCTGTCTCTCTCTCACTGGTCTGTCTCTCTCTCACTGGTCTGTCTCTCTCTCACTGGTCTGTCTCTCACTGGTCTGTCTCTCACTGGTCTGTCTCTCACTGGTCTGTCTCTCACTGGTCTGTCTCTCTCTCACTGGTCTGTCTCTCTCTCACTGGTCTGTCTCTCTCTCACTGGTCTGTCTCTCTCTCACTGGTCTGTCTCTCTCTCACTGGTCTGTCTCTCTCTCACTGGTCTGTCTCCTCTCTCACTGGTCTGTCTCCCTCTCTCACTGGTCTGTCTCCCTCTCTCACTGGTCTGTCTCTCTCTCACTGGTCTGTCTCCCTCTCTCACTGGTCTGTCTCTCTCTCACTGGTCTGTCTCTCTCTCACTGGTCTGTCTCCCTCTCTCACTGGTCTGTCTCTCTCTCACTGGTCTGTCTCTCTCTCACTGGTCTGTCTCTCTCTCACTGGTCTGTCTCTCTCTCACTGGTCTGTCTCTCTCTCACTGGTCTGTCTCCCTCTCTCACTGGTCTGTCTCTCTCTCACTGGTCTGTCTCTCTCTCACTGGTCTGTCTCTCTCTCACTGGTCTGTCTCTCTCTCACTGGTCTGTCTCTCTCTCACTGGTCTGTCTCTCTCTCACTGGTCTGTCTCTCTCTCACTGGTCTGTCTCCCTCTCTCACTGGTCTGTCTCTCTCTCACTGGTCTGTCTCTCTCTCACTGGTCTGTCTCTCTCTCACTGGTCTGTCTCTCTCTCACTGGTCTGTCTCTCTCTCACTGGTCTGTCTCTCTCTCACTGGTCTGTCTCTCTCTCACTGGTCTGTCTCCCTCTCACTGGTCTGTCTCTCACTCACTGGTCTGTCTCTCTCTCACTGGTCTGTCTCCCTCTCTCACACACCGGTTTGTGTCTCTCTCTCGCTCTTTCTGGTCTGTGTCTCTCTCTGGCAGTTACCTGGAGGCCTCGAGTTTCTGCTGCTCCAGCCTCTGTAGCTCCTCCCACTTGTTCCTCTCGTCCTCAAACACACGCCTCTTCTCCTCTAGCTCTCTGTGCTGAGCCTCCAGGTTCTTCTTCATCTGCTCGTGCCGCCGCTGAAGCTACAGACACACACAGAGGGATCAGACAATACTGATGAATACTGAATTTGACATGAAGTAACAGTTCTCTGGATGCACCATTAACCCCAGACCATCCCTGTTGTACCAGTGCTTGAGAACTACTTAGGTTTTTCTACTGTTTCTTTTAGTGATTTGTTGGATCACTGTTTTGTACACTTAACTTGAAAGTCCATTCTTGCCATACTATATTAGGAGTGGACTGGTTGAGTGTGACATCACCATACTGTTACATGAGTATTACTTACCTCGGCCTCGGAGTCTCTGAGCTTCTGCACCTTCTCCTTGACTTTCATCTCAAACACCTGCTCCATCTCCATCTCCATCTTCTTCATCTTCGTCACGTGATCCCTCCTCTCCTCCTCCATCTGCGCCAGAGGACTCCTAACACACGCAAACGAACACACACATCAGATCGGTCGCTCCAGTAAACGAGGAACAAGGTTTACCCAAATACTTCGGCTCAGTCTTAAAAAAACCAAAAGAGCATGCAACAGGTTTTGCATTTTACAAATAGTCAAATTTAATTCCTGTCACTGATACACAAGTACCAGGTGAGAGAGAGACCAGAGAGAGTGAGGAGAGAGAGGACCAGGAGAGGAGAACCACCCAGTGCAGTTAGTGCAAGATTGGGCTGGGGTGGTGTTAGTAGTGTTAGTAAGGAAAACAGGCCGCACCGTGAGGGTGTTTGGGTTGAACTATTTTAACAGGTTCAATTCAAATGTGAACTCTGCTTGTAGTCTGAAGGAAGCTCAGTTTTACATGTTTTAACATGCTTTTACATGTAAGTCAATAGAAGCCAGAGCAAGCTGGAGCTAGACTTTGTTCGTTAACACTTCCCCATTGGCCTTCATTGAGCTGGCGGGTTAGCACAGTCCAACATATATTCCCTCTTCTCCGTAACCACACTTTTCTACACTCTGATGTATGTCCTGAGAACCATGTTAAAGAAGGGGGACCCGCAGTGATCCAGGAGACCCACAGAAGAGGCCCGGGGGTGAGGGGAGGAGGGGTCATACAAGTGGAAAACAACCACTTACATTCCTTCAACCGAGTCACGTCTGCGAGGCAAAACACACAGGTGCATTTCAGTGGCAGCAGGTCAAACATCTGTCTCTCAGAACGCCACATTGGCTGCGTCTTCAACATTCAGGAGTATATGCCCAGTATTTAGGAGCGTAGACGACATTTTAATTGCCCCAGAACTAACACGTGTTATAACAGATCACAACCTGTCATTGTGACGAGTCCTGGATCTACAGCCTCAGTCCCTGGATCTACAGCCTCAGTCCTGGATCTACAGCCTCAGTCCCTGGATCTACAGCCTCAGTCCCTGGATCTACAGCCTCAGTCCCTGGATCTACAGCCTCAGTCCCTGGATATACAGCCTCAGTCCCTGGATCTACAGCCTCAGTCCCTGGATCTACAGCCTCAGTCCCTGGATATACAGCCTCAGTCCCTGGATCTACAGCCTCAGTCCCTGGATATACAGCCTCAGTCCCTGGATCTACAGCCTCAGTCCTGGATCATTTCTGCACATTTATTAACATTTCTGGACAGTGGTCATCCAGCTCCCTATGGACCAATAACTTTGTAAACTTTGTAAACCACACTGTACACTTAAAATAATGACTAAAAACTGATATACATATTTCAGTTGGCTTTGTGGTTAATTAAGTTAAAAATGAATTCAGTATGCATTATAATGTAGCATATTTTACAGCAACTCCGGCCTGCCTCTTTCTCTCTCTGGCCTCTCTCTCTCTGGCCCCTCTCTCTATCCCTCTCTCTGGCCCCTCTCTCTCTCTCTCTCTCTGGCCCCTCTCTCTCTCTCTCTCTCTCTCTCTCTGGCCCCTCTCTCTCTCTCTCTCTCTCTCTCTGGCCCCTCTCTCTCTCTCTCTCTCTCTCTCTCTCTCTGGCCCCTCTATCTCTACCCCCTCTCTCTCTCTCTCTCTGGCCACTCTCTCTCTGGCCTCTCTCTCTCTCTGGCCCCTCTCTCTCTCTCTCTCTCTGGCCCCTCTATCTCTCTACCCCCTCTCTCTCTCTCTCTCTGGCCACTCTCTCTCTCTGGTCTCACTCTCTCTCTGGCCTCTCTCTCTCTCTGGCCTCTCTCTCTCTCTGGCCTCTCTCTCTCTCTGGTCTCTCACTCTGGCCTCTCTCTCTCTCTGGCCTCTCTCTCTGGCTCTCCTGGCCTCCTCTCTCTCTCTGGCCTCTCTCTCTCTGGCCTCTCTCTCTCTGGCCTCTCTCTCTCTGGCTCTCCTCTCTCTCTCTGGGCCTCTCTCTCTCTGGGGCCTCTCTCTCTCTGGCCTCTCTCTCTCTGGCCTCTCTCTCTGGCCTCTCTCTCTCTGGCCTCTCTCTCTCTGGCCTCTCTCTCTCTCTCTGGCCTCTCTCTCTCTGGCCTCTCTCTCTCTGGCCTCTCTCTCTCTGGCCTCTCTCTCTCTGGCCTCTCTCTCTGGCCTCTGGCTCTCTCTCTCTCTCTCTCTGGCTCTCTCTCTGGCTCCTCTCTCTGGCCTCACTCTCTCTCTGGCTCACTCTCTCTCTGGTCTCACTCTCTCTCTGGCCTCACTCTCTCTCTGGCCTCCTCTCTCTCTGGCCTCACTCTCTCTCTGGCCTCTCTCTCTCTGGCCTCACTCTCTCTCTGGCCCTCACTCTCTCTCTGGTCTCACTCTCTCTCTGGCCTCACTCTCTCTCTGGCCTCACTCTCTCTCTGGTCTCACTCTCTCTCTGGTCTCACTCTCTCTCTGGTCTCACTCTCTCTCTGGCTTCACTCTCTCTCTGGTCTCACTCTCTCTCTCTGGTCTCACTCTCTCTCTTGCTCACTCTCTCTCTGGCCTCTCTCTCTGGCTCTCTCTCCTCTCCTCTCTCTCTCTGGCCTCCTCTCTCTCTGGCCTCTCTCTCTCTGGCTCTCTCTCTCTCTCTGGCCTCTCTCTCTCTCTGGCCTCTCTCTCTCTGGCCTCTCTCTCTCTGGCCTCTCTCTCTCTGGCCTCTCTCTCTCCTCTCTCTCTCTCTGGCCTCTCTCTCTGGCCTCTCTCTCTCTCTGGCCTCTCTCTCTCTGGCCTCTCTCTCTCTGGCCTCTCTCTCTCTGGCCTCTCTCTCTCTGGCCTCTCTCTCTCTGGCCTCTCTCTCTCTGGCCTCTCTCTCTCTGGCCTCTCTCTCTGGCCTGCCTCTCTCTCTCTGGCCTCACTCTCTCTCTGGCCTCTCTCTCTCTGGCCTCTCTCTCTCTGGCTCTCTCTCTCTGGCCTCTCTCTCTGGCCTCTCTCTCTCCTGGCCTCTCTCTCTCTCTCTGGCTCCTCTCTCTCTGGCCTCTCTCTCTGGCCTCTCTCTCTCTGGCCTCCTCTCTCTCTGGCCTCTCACTCTCTCTCTGGCCTCTCTCTCTCTGGCCTCACTCTCTCTCTGGCCTCACTCTCTCTCTCTGGCCTCTCTCTCTCTCTTGGTCCTCTCTCTCTCTGGCCTCTCTCTCTCCTCTCTCTGGCCCTCTCTCTCTGGCCTCCTCTCTCTCTGGTCCTCACTCTCTCTCTGGTCTCACTCTCTCTCTGGCCTCTCTCTCTGGCCTCACTCTCTCTCTGGCCTCACTCTCTCTCTGGCCTCACTCTCTCTCTGGTCTCACTCTCTCTCTGGTCTCACTCTCTCTCTGGCCTCACTCTCTCTCTGGCCTCACTCTCTCTCTGGCCTCACTCTCTCCTGGCCTCACTCTCTCTCTGGCCTCACTCTCTCTCTGGCCTCACTCTCTCTCTGGCCTCACTCTCTCTCTGGCCTCACTCTCTCTCTGGCCTCACTCTCTCCTGGTCCTCTCTCTCTGGCCTCACTCTCTCTCTGGCCTCACTCTCTCTCTGGCCTCACTCTCTCTCTGGCTCACTCTCTCTCTGGCTCACTCTCTCTGGCCTCTCTCTCTCTGGCCTCACTCTCTCTCTGGCTCACTCTCTCTCTCTTGGCTCACTCTCTCTCTGGTCTCACTCTCTCTCTGGTCTCACTCTCTCTCTGGCCTCACTCTCTCTCTGGCCTCACTCTCTCTCTGGCCTCACTCTCTCTCTGCTCGGTCTCACTCTCTCTCTGGTCTCACTCTCTCTCTGGTCTCACTCTCTCTCTGGTCTCACTCTCTCTCTGGCTCTCTCTCTCTGGCCTCTCCTCTCTCTCTGGCCTCACTCTCTCTCTGGCCTCACTCTCTCTCTGGCCTCACTCTCTCTCTGGCCCCACTCTCTCTCTGGCCCCACTCTCTCTCTGGCCCCACTCTCTCTCTGGCCTCACTCTCTCTCTGGCCCTCTCACTCTCTCCGGCCTCATCTCTCTCTGGCCTCACTCTCTCTCTGGCCTCACTCTCTCTCTGGCTCACTCTCTCTCTGGTCTCACTCTCTCTCTGGTCTCACTCTCTCTCTGGTCTCACTCTCTCTCTGGCTTCATTCTCTCTCTGGGCCTCACTCTCTCTCTGGCCTCACTCTCTCTCTGGCCTCCTCTCTCTCTCTCTCTGGCCTCTCTCTCTCTGGCCTCTCTCTCTCTGGCCTCTCTCTCTCTGGCCTCTCTCTCTCTCTTGGCCTCTCTCTCTCTGGCCTCTCTCTCTGGCCTCTCTCTCTCTGGTCTCTCTCTCTCTGGCCTCACTCTCTCTGGCCTCTCTCTCTCTGGCCCCACTCTCTCTGGCCTCTCTCTCTCTGGTCTCTCTCTCTCTGGCCTCTCTCTCTCTCTGGCCTCTCTCTCTCTCTGGCCTCTCTCTCTCTCTGGCCTCTCTCTCTCTCTGGTCTCTCTCTCTCTCTGGCCTCTCTCTCTCTCTGGTCTCTCTCTCTCTCTGGCCTCTCTCTCTCTCTGGCCTCTCTCTCTCTCTGGCCTCTCTCTCTCTCTGGCCTCTCTCTCTCTCTGGCCTCTCTCTCTCTCTGACCTCTCTCTCTCTCTGGCCTCTCTCTCTCTCTGGCCTCTCTCTCTCTCTGGCCTCTCTCTCTCTCTGGCCTCTCTCTCTCTCTCTGGCCTCTCTCTCTCTCTGGCCTCTCTCTCTGGGCCCTGGGGGAGGGGACACTCACTTGGAGGACAGCTGGCCTTTGGTTCGGTTGTTGTCCACTCCGTTGTAAGTGACTGCTGCCAGTTTCCTGCTGCGGTAGTTCTCGTAGTGGACGTTGTTGGTGACATCCTTCAGGTCCTGCATGTGAGTCCTGAGACACAAGGAACATACAGGTAGAACAGACATATTGTGCTTTTTCGCTTTGATTTTCTCAAACATAATTGTGGTATTCATGTGACATCACATCAATCCAAAGAGTGTCTAGTTTCACAATGTGATGAGGGCAGCAGAAAAATCTCTCCTGGTAACTATGGTAACTGTCAAATTCAGATTCTCGTCTTAGCACGTTACCAATTTTTCAAATATCTGGAACTATTCTTCATGAAATAAAAATTGTCACAACGTTCTACATCTTTTCTGTACGCATATATCAAACATGAGCTCTCTCTCCCTCTGGTTTTTCTCATACCTGATGAGCATGTCTCGGAGGATGGTGAAGTCGCAGTGGTCTCCGTTTTCAACTGTGGAAAAGATCATTAAATTAGATCTAATGGATTTAGATGGATTTACGAGAATATGTATGTTATCCAAGGAGACAAATGTCATCTCAACTGAATGTCAGAGATTGATGTACACAGTACAAAGATGGTCATGGTCTGAACACAAAAACCAAACAGGTTTTAAGGTTGAACTCTGGTTTGAAGTTGCATTACGATGGACTTAAAGGGGACATACCCTGATTCCATCTTCTATTTATAGCCCTGTTTCCACCAACACGACTAAAGCCTAGTGTATACTCGTGCGGCGCTGGTTACGGTTGCGCTAGACTTACGCAGCCACAGTTGGTGGTACACTCGCACGTTCCCCTTGCGAAGTTTTGAAGAGAATGTTGTAATCCCACAACCAACCACATGATGGCGATCTCACAGGAGTTGCCTGAGAAACCAAAGCGGTTCCATTTACGCCGCTACTTTCTCCTCTTCAAAACAAAAACATTAGCAAACTAAGCTTATTGAGATCATTACATGTGTATCTAGTATAGGTTTATGTGATAGTTCTATGGACTCATTGTTTCACAAGTAATTTCAACTGTGATGCTGTGTATAAAGACACAGTTCTTGTTGGAAACATATTTAGCATAATTCAGCACAAGCAGCAAAACGAAAAGTGGTAAATATCAAACATGAACGATTTACAATCGATCTGCCTTGTCCATGTTCCCTGCAGCCATTCCATGCTTCCGTCCAAAACACACACTCGGACCAATCACAATCACCAATCTCTGCGGGGCCGGCTGCGCAGCTAGAAAAATTTCGAGGGTGCGCAGCAGGCTACGCAAGGGCCTTGCAGTGATCCTAGCATTGCACAAGTGACGTCACGTCACCACCGTAAGCTCTGCACTGCGCAACTATACCCTAGGCTTGAGTTCTACTGGTTGCATTTACATTATGCTTTGATAATATTATATAGGTATCATATCCTAGCAAATTACCCACAACAAACCAGCATCCAAGGAAGTTTATTTTCACTGTCACTGTCAGTTAGAACACTTTAGAACTAGATTGGCCAAGAGGAACAAAAGAAGGACCTAGTACTGGTTAAACAGGGTGAGTGAAAACACTACCAATTGGGGAAAGAGTAGAGTCGAAGATTATGTTGAACAAAGATCATTTAAAGCTGGAGAACTTACTTTCTTCTTCTTCATAATGGACATTGTTTGTCTCAACATTAAGAGTTTAAGACACTGAGAAATGATTGGCTGAGTTAGGCTGGTGCTCACTTTTCCATTAAAAAGCTGGCAGCATGTGAAAACTACAGAGATATATGGATTTATATGGATAATTATAGTTAACTCTTATAAAGTTAGGTACCCCAGCTTTAAGAGGCATAGACACACCAGTGATCAAAGTGCAACAGAACAGAATAAATGTATACGGCACCTTCTGCCACGCCCCAGGGGTACTGCCTCCCTCGGACCCTCTTCCCGTTCACCTCGATGATGGTGTTGCTCCCGACGACGGCCAGAGGGAGTTTGTCCTGCACAAACAAAACCACATGAGAGACAAGCACATGGATAATCACAGCACTTTTATCACCATGTGGACACCTTGATCTTCTTCACCATCCTGTTCTCCTCTTCGTCGTCCGTCTCTGGAAACTCGTAGATCTTAATTTTGTGTTCTTGGATTTCTCGCATTATCTACAGAAGGGAGAAATAATAGGTGAGAAATCATACAACATAAAAACACACTTTTGGGACTTTCTTTGAGCTTAGCTGCCGAAAAAGGGATACAGCCAATGTACATATTTTATTTAGAGCGCCCTCTGGAGGAACGGATTTAAACACAACTATCAGCTGTTGATTCACAGAGCGCATGACATAGCACACATTCTTGTTACAGTGTATTTATGTGAACAGCAGATATACAAGAGGAAATGCAGGGAAATACACAGGACTTGTTAATGTGATTAGGGATATTGTCAGAAAAGCCATGGGGAGAACATACAAACTCCACTCAGAAAGGCCCGGCGCAGAGAAAATGCCTCGAGCTAGCTTGTGTTAAAATCAGCCACTTCCACAACAAGGCTAACACTATGGTGATAGCACACTCGCTACATGCTCTATAACGCACTCACCTGTTTCTTAAACTGCTGGCACTCCTCGGGGGTGAGTGTGTCCGCCTTTGCGATCAGCGGGATTACGTTGACCTTCTCGTGGAGCCGCTTCATGAACTCAATATCGAGGGGCTTCAGTCTGCGGAGACAAAAAGGTTGTCTCATATTATAGTCAGACTCTCTTCCAGTACCAGTGTGTCTACTTTTTATAAAATCAGGAATACAAAAGGGAAAAAGTATAACGGTGGTACAAGAAAATATATCAAAGTGCACACAACTCAAACTGATTCACATTGACATTACAAATCAACAATTCGCAAATTAAAACACACTGTAAAACAACAGTTTAAACCCCCAGATGACTTCAGTGATGTTCAGTCATAGGCACGGCTCAAAATAACAGTTTTTAAATTAGACTTAAATAGTCTAAGTTATAGTCAGGGAAGCGACCTGTCTCACACGGACACTGCCTCCCCATGTTTAATCCTGACTTTGGGACAGTCTCTCTGGTCTCTTATAACTAGGACAAATGTTTTGAAAAGTCCAAAACAGAACAGTAGTACCCCATACGTGGTGGCAGTGTTTGTGATGCGGGGAACACAACAGATACTTAAATCCAACATATGTCCTCCACCAACAAACAGCAGCTCTAAAAGAACTCACTCATTAGTGTGAACAGAAGACACAACAGCACAGATCAGCTACGCTCAGAAAACACATGGCTCTTTGATCAGTGCACATTCAGAGAGTCACATTCCTCCACATGCAGTACATACAGAGGATACATTTGTTTATATATTCACTGTCCACTCACAACAAAATATGTCTGCAGGTAGCAATATAGAGCATGCATATATCAGGAGTGGACTGACCAAGTGTGACATCACCATCGTGTTAGCCTTAATAAGGAAGAAGCAGATTTGAACATAATCTAGCTGGAGCTAATTTCTTTAAAAGGGCATTTGTTCCAATGATATTAGCTTTGTGCTGTAACAGGGGCAGGCATGTTGATAAGACTGTTGCTGAGGCAAGGTTAACCCTTATATGGCTCATATTTACAGATTTACAATAATATAAACACAAAGATCACAGAGAGCTAGCTAATAGCTGAAGGACCCGTGTGCCTGGGGGATTCCCGCAGTACTGCTAAATGGGACTAAATTTCAAGTGGGCTGCGCAGAATTTTTTCCCATAGAATTAATTAAATGTAAAAAAAGAGAACCTACAGCTTTCATGAAGGAGGATTTTGTGGGGATGTTAGTGTCCCTTGTTATCCTGAACTTTTTTTCTTGTTAAATCCTTCGGTTTTCTATAAATCCACACTTTCTTGCGACAAACTCTGCTCGTTTTCCACCCGCTCTAGCTCCGCTCTGAAAAGCAGCACACTGATTGGTCAGAACGCGGCCTTGTTCCTCTGTGGATGTGTATAAGAGCCACCCGCGCCTGCTTGTTAATATTTGGCACAAGGCATCATGGGAGGTCGTCCACAGCGCAGAACCAGAGGACCAGAGAAATTCCCTAATATGGGCGAGTTCTGCTTATCTTTTGGTGCCCATGGAAGCACATGGGCTACTGAGCACAAGCCATTGAATTGAATACTTCCCTATCTTGGATAGCCGGGACTTTGCTAAACCAGGGATTTTTTAAGACAATAATAGTGAGTGTGACACAAACGGTTACAGAGCTAGAGAAATGTACTTTTACAAGTAAGTCAATAGGAGCCAAACTTGACCATGAGCACTTCCCTATTGGGTTTTATTGAGCGAGCGGATTAGCATTGTCCATCTATATACTGGCTATGAGCGGCGCTCAGATTTTTTCCCGTTCTTCCCACTATACTAAGTGGATTCTCGTGTTTGTGATGAGTATCCAGTTCCTGTCCCCATCCTCCCCCCCACATCAGACCTCACCCTTCCCCAGCTCATATCACCGGATCTGTGCCGGGTCTGTGCCGCCTCAAGGGCCGATACAATGTCAGGAACAGTGGACACAACACACCAGACTGCTGTGGATGTGGATCTTAGAAACACAACACCATCACTGAGAGAGGAAGTGGGCTGCCTAAACAAGAAACCAATACATGACATTCTTAAGTTTGAAAAAGAACTATGCTCCACCAACGGTCAGTTATTGGTTTGTTGTGAGTAAGTTGCCAGGATACGCTACCAGATATTAAAGCATAATGGAGACACAACCAGAAAGAGTAGACTAGAGTACAGCCGAGTAAGGTAGAATAGATCTGGTGGAAACAGAGCTTTTGGGGATTGCCCTTATAGACATTTTGTGGAGCACCATGTTCAGCAGTGATTCTACAGACCTCATTCATAATAACCCAGCACACGGCTCGTCCTGCTGTATCTAACGGCTGTTTGTGAAGTGCTACATTCCAGGGGGATTACACGGCGCTCCTTTGACCCACTAATGACCCCTCATTTCCCTCACACTATTTCAGTCTCTTCCTCTCATTCTTCCCCAGCAGGGGCCTCAGGCTGAGTTTACACGGAGACAATGTGGCAGTAAAACGATATAGTTGGATGTCGGTTGCTACCAACCGTTCATACGAAGACTGTGTTCCAGGTGAAAACGTAAGTGTTCAGATCCAGCCTGCAGAGTGGGACAACTCAGATACGCTGCACAGCGGGGGCTCTTTCACACCCGCGAGAGGGGAAAAGGTGTGAAACCCCCCTCTGCTCTGACGCCCACCTCCTGCTGCTCCCGCACGTACATTTGGACATGCGCAGTAGCGGAGAACAAACATCAACAACAATGGCGCAGCGCACACTAACTAGCTTCGTGGGCTTCCAGCGCTTCACAGAGGATAATTCTACTCCTTCGTTCGTCCAAACGAGACCACGCGAAGCTCTAGGTTCAGTTTCCATGTTCACAGCTGCTGTTAAAATGCAGAATGATGTTGGTGCGTTCTGAGGGTCTGGCACAGGAAGTGAGTACACTGCCGACAGGGGGGCTGGGCACGGGGCTGGGGGTTGTGTGAGTGTTGTAAAGTGTATCTGCCCACTACTGGCCGGGCGCTAGAACTACATCGTTTTTCAACCTCATGTGAACGCAGAGAAATTTGCATTAGGAGCCAGGTCGTTTCTGTTAATAGCCTGGAAACGTCTGCGCTGCGTCTCAGTATAAACAGGGCCTCAGTGTAGGTGGAGGTGAGAGGCAGCCACAGCCCACTCTGAGGCTTTAAGCCTAGCGTACATCGACATAGAAACTGGGGACAACTAGTTGCAAGGCGGCTTTTGGCAACTGAGAGGAGATGGTGGGAGATGATCAGTTGCCGAATTCGGTCGATGTGAGCGCTCTTACAACTGGAGATGAACAGTCGGTCTCCAGTTTCAGTCAGTTGCCCGAGTTCTACTTTTCGGCAACTAGTTGTCCTCAGTTTCGGAGATATGACCCGATGTGCGCGCTCCATGCGCCGCTCCGACAACGTGTGTGTATTGCGTGTATTGCGAGCCCGCAACAGTTTATGTCAGAAAACACACTGTAGTTGAGGCCAGTTGCTGTCGACGTACGCGCTGTTATTCCGAGACTGGTCTGCTACTGGGAGTTGCCCGTTTTCGTCAGATTGTCGATGTGTGCGGGGCAGCAACTCGTATGCGACGGATATAATCAGTTGCCAGTCCGATGTACGCCAAGCTTTATACTACACACACATAGCTCGGTATAAGTCAACTGCACAAGACTCAGGTGTTTGTAAACAGTAGCATTTTTGTGGTCAATGCTGCATCTTCCAAAGTGGAGCCATCAGTGATGTCACACATATCAGAGCAGAACTACGCACTCAAGAAACGTAATGTCCAAGTTTCCAAAAATCAATCAATCCTTTATTTTCTCACAGATGGAGAAATTCAGTTCGATGAATAAACATCAATGCTGGCTGCGTACTATATTTACATATTTTCGCGCTCCTTGTGACCAAATGTGACAAATTGGGTTAAAGAAAAGACTCTTGTAAAATAGATTTTGATACAAAAGCACCTAGGAGGTGGGAGCGGATCTCTCTCACTGGCCTCACCCTCTCTGGTGATCACACAGCTAATATAAAATTACCAACATTGGCCACATTGCTGTATAGGAGTTAGAAGACCATAGAAAACTAAAGGTCATACCTCATTGTTAAAAAGTAGTGGCTTATAGTCCGCCATGTACGGTATGCTGTTCTCTTTCTGAACCCAGATCTGAAATGAAACCTAAGGAGAGTGCAAGGTGGTTTTGGTGGTCGTACCCGTGTCCTGAGGGGGCGATGAAGTACAAGCAGCAGTGGATCCGGCTGTCGGGCATCTGTCTGCGGTTCACACGAGACTCAGAGTTCAGGTAGTCCTCGAACTTACTGTCTATGTGGTCAATGACAGGCTGCCAGCTGAGGCCAAGACAAACACAGTTGTGAGAACAGAAAAACTTGAATAAGCCCCAGAGCAGTCGTACGGCTGTTACCAGTTACTGTTGTCCACGGCATCTCCGAAGCCCGGCGTGTCCACGATTGTGAGCAGCAACTGAACGCCGCCTTCTTTTATTAAAACTTTGGACTGTTCCACCTGACGAGAACACAAGGAAAACTATGTTACAACTGCTGCTCAGAGAGTAAAAGCAAAACATTGATTTTATTATAGATTGTAACCCGCTCAATCACTGAGGCCCTATGACCCTATGGACCAATGTGGAGCCATTGGGGTGTTTGTTATTATTGTGTTTGTTGCATTTCCAGTGTTTCAACCATTTAATTCTCTAATCTATAGTTGATGAAATGACAACTCTGAAGTTTTGCGAGACAACTGAAATACATTGAAAGAGCAGAGATAAACCAGAAAGAGACTAAACCTTGATATGATTTTAAGTTATTATTCTTCATGCTTGAGTCCTGGACAGTGTGCCTCTATTGGAAACAGGGGGCAGGACATTACCAGCTGCAGTGTCTGTCCTTCTGGTTCGGGGCCATTAGTTGACTATGCAGAGAAACCAGAAGAGCACAGACATATCTACAGCTAGAATGCGGTTTGTCTGCTCTCCGGCTGCGTTTAAGGCCTCAACATTCACCAGAGGAATTGCTGCAGTGGCTGCGTGTTTTGTCTTATTTGTCTTTTTAATGATCAATTTAAAATCTCTTGGAGTTTGCTTTGGAATATGGTGCAAGTACTAATAAAATGTATATAAAAGAATGCATACAACAGACATAAAACAGTTGTAAAATTACAGTTGTAATGTGGCAAGAAAAAATAGCAAAGATTAGCTGAAAATAGCAAAGAAAATTATGTGTCATCACTTTTCCCTCCTGTCATTTTTTAAAAATTGGGCGCGAGCGGCCCCTCCCACAATAAAATCTGAAACAATATGTGCATTTGCACATGCGTTAGAAGGCACGAGCCCCATGGGCCTCAGGGCCTTCCAGCCGCTCTGCCCCCAAACTCTGGAATCTTCTCTCACAAGACATTCGTGCAATAGTCTCCATCACCACATTTAAATCTCGACTCAAAACTGAGCTATTCAGACGCTCTCTCACTGGTCCCTCAAGCCCAAGGGTCCCCAACTGGAAGAGAGCCAATTCTATGGATCTCTGTGAATTTTTGTTCAAAAGCACAATATTAAGTACAGGTTAATTTTTCATTGAAAGAGATTTGTAAATGGGTAGGCTTGAGGGCAGTGTACGCAGCAGGGTCCTCTAGATAGAACACTTTACGGAGGTGTCAAAATAACCTTAGATGTGTCTAAATTTGAGTGCGTCAGATACGATGAAAAACACAAGTCTCTGCCAACAATTAACCATGAACTTTGTAAATCGTAAAATTTGACTTTTTTATGAAATATACTTTGTATCTCTCATGAAATATTTTTCATGATAATGAAATATGAAAAAAAGCCTTTTACAATTGTTTGAAACTGAGACCATTTTGAATGCACTTCATAGTTCGCCTTTTGTTCACAAAGTTGTTGCAAGTTATGCCCAGGTCATTACTTGAATCTTGAAAACATGTTTCTCACTAGATTTGTAGTATAGTAAGTATCACAAAATATAATTATTTACTGTTTACACAGCTTTTCAGTTTATACAAAACATGAAATCAATCCACCATTTATTTCCAACAACAGGAGAATCTAACATTTAGACTTAAGAAGCTTTTCCTTGTGACTTTCAAAATGCACTTTTCTATCCACATTTGGAATGGTGCCTCAATAAACCTCCCACAAGCCCATAACTTTGTTCTAGAGATGGTTCTAATCACGCTAAAAACACTAGAACTCTGCGAGATCCTGTTCAATCTGCAGATCTGGAGATCTGGGGACAAAGCTCATTCACCTGCACAGTCTTTTTGATTCGATGTGAAGGACCGGGGTATTCTGCCGCGTACAGGTCTGTGAGGAACAAGGAGTTGATGAGCGTGGACTTCCCCAGGCCTGACTCACCTACACACAAACAGAAGAGAAACAAGTCACAATCTAAACAAGGATACATTTGGCCAAATCCACATCTAATAGCTGTTATAGCAGAGTCCTGACTAGAACCAGTCCTCTCAAATTTGTCCAGGTCTCTGCACTCACTTCCTGTGGCTCAGACAATAGACTTTTAAGCAGCTCTGCTTGTGCACAAGTCTCTCCACAGACTACACAAAGTGAATCTATGACATGTCAATGCCATATAAACCAACTCCGACTCTGTGGAGCACAGGGACTGGCCTCCTGTTAGTGCAGTACAGTTAGTGCACTAACAGGAGGCCAGTATGGGGAGTTTGCATTTCAGATTTTTGCAGCTAATATAATGTAATTTCCCCCTGTGGGACTAATAAAGGCATCATTCCTTATCCAATATAACTTACTATAAATAGTAACTATAAATTACTGTTTGTTTATTGTGTTTTTAAATTAGTTATCTTTCTTTCATGCGTTGTTTTGAGGTGGGAGTTCTCTTTGAATTGTACGTGACAAAATCTTGTGCTTTTCCTGCTGTATATGTGACCCCTCTTCTTGCAATTTGGAAAAAATACCTGCGTTACTTTGTCCTAAGTTAAGTTGTTTGCGAGTGGTTTTACACAAAGGCTGCAAGCTCTGTCCAGACGACTGACTCTGCGATGGTTCGTTTGACCTTTGAATGTCTGTGTCCTGGCTCCACTGGACACAATCACAATCAGTAAAAGACCAGTGCAGTGGCCGCTTAATAGTTCACCAATCACAGGGAACAACACGCACTGAGGCTAATGGAAGGTCAGCCACACGAGGTCTGGGGTTTGTGTGAAGAGACAGCTGAAGGATTAATATTGACTCAATCCTGTGCATTGGTCTTTTGATTCAGCTTTTTTATGTAAGTAAGGGAGTAAGTAAAGTTTATTTATATAGTGCCGTTAAACAGAAAGCGCATGCCAGACCTATTGTAGATTTTTTTAGTGGTAGGTAAAACTGAAGCACCCAGAGGAAACCTACGCAGAAATGGGGAGAACATGCAAACTCCACATAGAAAGACTTGGACGTGGAAACAAACCCAGGACCTTTTTGCTTTGAAGCACCACTGCGCCACCATGCTGCCAATATATTTTTGAATATAAAAGTACATATTACCAATCCAAAGAACCAGAAGCATTTGAGTGATCACAACCCACTAACGACTGCAGAAACAGTGGTTAATCGATGGGTCGTTTTTCAAATAAACCACAATAAGTGAAATCCTTGAAGCAGCAGCTGTATGTTTTAAGGCTGTAAAACTTCTCACACACGTTATTGACTTTTCAAGATTCAAGATTCAAAATGTATTATGTCCCGGAGGAAATTTGTGTTGGACTCACAGGCAGCAACACTGAATATACACATAATGCTTAGCGTACATCGGACTGGCAACTGATTATATCCGTCGCATATGAGTTGCTGCCCCGCACACATCGACTATCTGGCGAAAACGGGCAACTCCCAGTAGCAGGGCAGTCTCGGGAATAACAGCGCGTACATCGACAGCAACTGGCCTCAACTACAGTGTGTTTTCTGACATAAACTGTAGAGGGTGCGCAATACACGCAATACACACATGTTGTCGGAGCGGCGCATGGATCTATCAGGAGCGCGCACATCGGTGATATCTCCGGATCTGAGGACAACTAGTTGCCGAAAAGTAGAACACGGGCAACTGACTGAAACTGGAGACCGACTGTTTATCTCCAGTTGTAAGAGCGCTCACATCGACCGATTTCGGCAACTGATCATCTCCATCATCTACTCTCAGTTGCCAAAAGCCGCCTTGCAACTAGTTGTCTCCCGTTACTCTGTCTTACGCTAGGCTTAAGACGGACAAAGAACACAACACAGGCACATAGCCATAAACCCACACCGCTCTGCACGATGGCCTGAATTCAGGAGGTTCACAGACATGGTTGACGCACTTTACACCAGTACAAATTGAAACTGTCCAGGAGATAATCACTAGTCTGAGTTCCTCCACATGCAGCCTGGATGTATTACCTCCTAGATTTCTCAAGTCAGTTCTGAGCAGTCTTTTACCTTCACTTACACAAATAGTTAATATGTCTCTTGAATCTGGAACATTCCCAATGGCCTTGAAAACGGCGGTCATCAGGCCCCTCCTAAAAAAGAGGAGTCTGGAAGCCCTGGCACTCAAAAATTATCGGCCCATTTCAAATCTGCCTTTCATGGGAAAAATTCTAGAAAAAGTTGCCTATCAACAACTTACAGAATTTTTAATAATCAATAACGCTTATGATATGTTCCAGTCAGGGTTTAGACTAGGGATGTAAAAAACTATGCATTTTCATGACCGACCACCGAGCCTCATTAACCGGTTGAAACCGGTTAACCGCGTAGTTAAAAATATTCCACGTTCTTTGAAATAGCAGCCATTTCGAGCCGCGTACTTTTCATAAGTTTATCTATGCGTTCTACTAGATCAGAGCTGAGACAGCAGCGCCAAAACCCGCAACAGCGTCGGCACCTTTGTGCACAGAGAACTGCTTTTTTAATCTTCCCATACTGTGCTGCGGGTAAAGCATTTTTAAGCAAAAGACAGCTCGTCCACATGGTCAGGGCAGCGAGTGACGAGCCGCGTCTCGCAGGTCTCCGCTAAAGTTTAAAAGTGATGTGTGTGGATCTGATCTAATGACAAGGACCAGCAGCACAAACATGTTTCATGTGTTTGACTGAAGCCGCGTATTTGCGAGGATTCTTTGGGCTGCGAGACACAGAGGAGAGCGCGACAGCCCGGTATGTGTGTGTGTACAATACATGTGTGTATGTATGTGTGTATGTGTGTGTGTGTACAATACATGTATGTGTGTGTGTGTAAATATAAGCTCCAATGTAGTTCTGACCTGCACTAGTGTGGAACTTTGGCGGTAACAGAGGGGAGAGATGATGCGTGTGGATGTTACGTATGGAGGGGGGGAAAGTGTTTGTGTGTGTATGTGTGTGTGTGTGTGCGCGCGCGTGTGGCTGCGTGCATATGTGGAGCGTGCGCCATGAAAGTCGCCCGTAGTCTACTAATGCATTGGCGCACACAGCTAGATAGGGACCCGCTCGTCACATCGTGCAAATAGGGCTTAAAATAGCGTTATGAAGAGACCTCCCCTCTCCGCTTTTTCTTATTTTTAACCGACAGCTTTGACCGGTTAACGCTGTGACGGTCAACCACCGGTTAACCGGTCACCGATTTACATCCCTAGTTTAGACCCCACCACAGCACTGAGACCGCGCTAATAAAGGTAACAAATGACATCAAACTAAACACTGACGCAGGAAAAGTCTCAGTCCTTTTTCTGTTAGATTTAAGTGCTGCTTTTGACACTATTGATCATGGCATCCTCATTCAGAGACTTGAGGACTGGGTTGGTGTTGCTGGCACCGCCCTAAGCTGGTTTAGGTCCTATTTACAAGACAGAAAGTTTTTTGTGGAGATCGAAAACTGTACCTCAGACCACTTGGCCCTGACCTGCGGAGTGCCACAGGGGTCAATCCTGGGTCCTCTTCTGTTTAATATTTACATGTTGCCTCTAGGTCAGTTGATTCACAGTAATAATGTCTCTTATCACAATTACGCTGACGATACTCAGGTCTATGTGTCCCTGACAGCAGGAGAGCATGAACCAGTGGACTCGCTCCTTCACTGTGTCCAGCAAATCGGTGATTGGATGCAAAATAACTTTCTCCAACTAAACACCGACAAAACTGAAATAATTGTTTTCGGACCCCAGAAACAAAGAGAGAGCGTTATTTGTCACCTCCAGGCTCTCTCTCTACAACCCTCAAATCAGGTCAGAAATCTAGGAGTGATAATGGACTCAGACTTAAATTTCAAAAGCCACATAAAATCTGTAACATCAGCAGCTTATTACCACCTAAAAAACATTGCTAAAATTAAAAACATAGTGTCTAAGGCAGACTTGGAGACTCTTATACACGCTTTTGTCTCCAGTCGGTTAGACTATTGCAATGGCTTGTTCACAGGTCTCTCCAAACAGGCTGTAAAACAGCTGCAGTACATTCAACATGCAGCAGCTCGAGTCCTGACTAGAACTAGGAAGTGCGACCACATTAGTCCAGTTCTCAGGTCTCTGCACTGGCTTCCTGTTCCTCAGAGAATAGACTTCAAAGCAGCTTTACTTGTGTACAAGTCTCTCCATGGTCTCGCGCCAAGGTACATCCACGACATGTTTGTGCCATATGAACCGACCCGGACTCTGAGGAGCACAGGGACTGGACTCCTGTTAGTGCCCAGAGTCGGTACTAGACATGGGCAAACTGCATTTCAGATTCATGCGGCTAGAGTCTGGAACCGTCTTCCTGAGAATGTGAGACAGGCGTCTACTCTGGCATCCTTTAAATCTAGGCTCAAAACAATTTTGTTTAGCTGCGCATATACAACTGAATGATTTTATCTTTTTATCTTTGTTTTTATCTTTAATCTTTTTAATGCACTGTGACTATTTATGATTTTAGTCCCATCTGTGATTTTAATGTTTAAAGGTTTTTAATTTTTGTGATTTTATTTTTAATGTTTTTAATATATCTTGTGCTCTTAATGTGTTTGATTTATGCATGATGTGATAGGGGATGTGAAGCGCTTTGCGTTGCCTTGTGTAGGAAAGGCGCTCTACAAATAAACGTTGATTGATTGATTGATGGTTAGGAACAAGTTCTTGTACCGTTTAGATATTTTTCCTTTTTCCTAGTTGGTACTCTGTAGCAGCGGCCAGATGGGAGGAGCTCAAACTGAGAGAAGAGGACATGAGAGGGGTCTGAGGTGATTTCCTTTGCCTCTCAAATAACAATCTCCTAAAAAATCTGCTGCATAGATGGATGCTCCCTAACTCCCTCGACCTTAAGTCTGTAAAGTTCTGCTGTTATAACTTGTTCTGGTGTTTTATAACCACTTGAACACAGGACTGCTTTAGTGCAATCCCCCAAAGAGAGAGACCAGAGAGAGCTCTACCTGCCTATTTCACATCAAACAAAAATGTAGTTACTAAAACAAAATCCGACAATATTGGAAGCATTTTTTCAACACATTATAAAGTGCCTCAAAATTGGCTCAAAAAATCTGTTGAGCACTGGTTAAATTCAAAGAGCCTTTTTTGAGTCCTCCAGATCTGAACCTTGCCCTCCAAGGCTCTCTCAGTGGGACATGGGGGCCCACAGCTGATCACTGCTTCGGCTAAGAACCAGTGTGATCTAACAAACAAAGGGTCGATTTAAAATGCAGAGGCTGCGAGGACGGTCTGAGCGCTCCTCTTCATGCAGAGCAGTATTTCAGCAAAGCAGCTCCAGGCCACACTCCACAATTCCTCACACAAATAGCAAACGATTGGACAACTGTTCAAGTCCATGTAAAGCTTTTCTCACAGGAAACAGTCGTGACCCGGAGAAAAGTTTCCCTCCAAAAACTTGGCACTGGGACAAGAGCTACATGAGAGGAGCGCAAAGAATCCGGAGAGTTAGAAACAGCTCCAATGGAATCCAAATATCTCTATTGTGTAGTGTTTGATTGCATTACAAAAGGGACACAATACCAATTTTGATACCACAGTGATAATCGAATGTGTTTGGACAATAAGATGCAAATTTGCGATTTGTACATAAGCCACAAAAGTTTTCTTCTGACGCTAGATAACGATAAGAGTCATGTTATACTAACAGCTTTATTATGTATAGACAAGGGCTGGGATTAAGCTCAAAAACCATATTTGAATTTTATTATTATTATTAAAATGAATAATAATAATTAATAAAACATTAAAATATCTATTTTGACTAATAAATGGTTGGAAAAACCCAGAGTGTAAAAAAAAGAAGAAAAAAAATGTCTGCTGGCCACATGTGCGGCGCCCAACCAGAGAGCCGCAAAATAGTTTGGGGACAGAGCCGGTCAGAGCAAGAAAACAAAAAAACAGCAAAAACAGGAGCTAAAACAGGGGCTATACCAGGAGCTAAACCAAGACTAAACCAGGAGCTAAACCAGGACAAAACCAGGACTAAACCAAGACTAAATCAGGACTAAACCAAGACTAAATCAGGATTAAATCAGGATAAACCTCTAGCGACCTTCAGGACAGAAATGCTGCCGAGCTGCATTCGCATAGAACAACTTTACACAAAAAGCGGCTAGCTTAACCCCGGTAGCATCAAAGCCCATGGCAGTATATTATTCGAATGTAAAGGGCTGTCTAATATTCGTCCAAATGTCTTTTTATTACACAGTGTTTCCCACAGGTCTGAAGGCAATGTGTGGTGGTCGTCGGCGGGGGGGGGGGGGGGGGGGGGTACAGTGGTACAGTGGTAGAGGACAATCTTGAGGTCATGAATCCAGTGAAATTAGTCGCACACCTTTTTACAGTAATAAGTTACAGCAGATCAAAAGTGACATGTTTTGACAATTTTTAGGCTATTTTGGACCAAAATGGCTGCTTTAAATCAATATTTCTACAGTAAAAGTTTCTGGTCTTTGGTACAGTGGTAGAGGGCAATCATGAGGTCGTGAATCCAGTGAAATTAGTCGCACACCTTTTTACAGTAAAAAGTTACAGTAGATCAAAAGTGACATGTTTTGACTATTTTGGAGGTATTTTGGACCAAAATGGCTACTTTACCTCAATATTTCTCAATATTTCTACAGTAAAAGTTTCTGGTCTTTGGTACAGTGGCAGAGGGCAATAATAAGGTCATGAGTTAAGTGAAATTAGTCGCACACCTTATTCCAGTAAATAGTTACAATACTTGAAAATTGCACTAGCGGACCAAATTGTGTACTTTATACATGTAAACAATAGAGTGGCTATCCTCCTGAGGACTCACAATCTGCAGGAGGAATCGTAGGGGGCTGGTGCTATGTGTGCCGGGTGGCATCTCTATAAGGTTTTAATCACAAAAACGTGTCTCCCAGACCCCAGCGCGCTTTCTGTTCGATAAAAATGGGTGACTCCGAAAGGACGTTCCGCTGTTACCGTAAGTTCTCAACAAAACGCGCACCGTCTTTTCCCCGATGCGGGCCGCATGTTCATAGAGCTGAAAGATGCGGGCCACTTTACCGCGGTAAATTAATAGACACAGCTGCTTACAGCGATGATCGCTGATGGAGACGGAGACACGCGGTGTGCACGAAGGGGAGGGGCTGTGTGTGTGTAGGTCTCTGTATGTGGGAGAGACGCGTAGCTTGAGTGAGAGTTACGAAGGGCCGCCACATTTTAAACCCCCCTCCCCGCTGTCAAATTGACCGCTGCGGCGGCACTAGACGATGCATGTTTTAAATAGCGTAACAAAAAAAATATATATATAATAATACGAAACGCAATTTGTGGCGGGCGGTCTCTAATCTGTGGCGGTGCGCCACAGATTAGTCTATGTGTGGGAAACACTGATTACATATTCAAATTATATTCGAGAGATCAGAGACTTTACGTGTGGTGCATGAGAAGTATGCTATAAAAAAAGCATGCAAAATTACACACACAAAAATCTGTGAAACAGCAACGTAGCGTGGGACCCCTCTAATACTAATTCTGCTCCCTGTTCTAATAATGTAATGAGCATCTAGTTTCAAGCTAATGTATTTATTATCTAATTTTCTATACTTTTGACAGCACCAATTCTACATTCAATCACAAGCAGAGTGAAACACCAGATGCACATGGAGCACAGTGGGAGGAGAGGTGACAACGGGAACAGCCTGGTCTTACCCACGACCATCAGGGTGAACTCGAAGCCCCTCTTCACAGACTTCCTGTACACTTGGTTGGGCAGGCTGGCGAAGCCCACGTACCCCTCCAGATTCTTCTGCTGCTAAAACAAAACATTAAAATTTTCAATCAGACGTGAAGATATAGCATAGATCTGTGTATCTTAAGAAACTAGATTAACAAAAAAAAATTAAAACACAATATATACTCGTAAGATCTTGTAGGGCCGACATGAAAATATTCACCCTCTGGTCCCTCTCTGGTCCCTCTCTGGTCCCTCTCTGGTCCCTCTCTGGTCCCTCTCTGGTCCCTCTCTGGTCCCTCTCTGGTCCCTCTCTGGTCCCTCTCTGGTCCCTCTCTGGTCCCTCTCTGGTCCCTCTCTGGTCCCTCTCTGGTCCCTCTCTGGTCCCTCTCTGGTCCCTCTCTGGTCCCTCTCTGGTCCCAACCTCTAGACCCAAATCAAGCATTAGCATAATGCAGTTCTTAATTTGAAATACAGCACCATTCCTATACTGCTGAACAAAGGCAGGCAAGTGCAGTATTTTCCTGCTGTTAAACACTTACAGCTGTCGATGGGGGTTGTCGGATGGAGAGTGTCAGTGAGTGGGCAGGTTGTCACGGCAGCGGAGGAGAAAAGGACACAAGAAAGAACAACATTAATATATTTTGGAGACAAATGTGATAGAAACTGCATTTAAAAAACTCCTTGGCCTCGCATCAAAGTACATCTATGACAGGTTAGTGCTATATGAAACCAACCAACTTAAGACTCAGAGCATAGGGACTGGCCTCCTGCTGGTGCCTGGAGTCAGCACTATGGGGAGGAAGCATGTCAAAACTATGCAGTTCAAATCTTGAACAGTCTTCCTGAAAATCTGAGACAGGCTTATACTCTGAAAATGTTCAAATCCATGTTAAAAACAGTTATCTTTCAAATGTATCCTGATTACTTATGATTTTAATATGTCTTTACTTTTTTTCGGATGCACTAAAGAATTTTCATCCGGTTGTTGTGATGATCGTTTCTTTGCCTCCTACGCTGCGGTTTCTGGATGACCCACTGAAGCTGCAATATCAGCACAACACCAAATACCTCTTCTAAAATCTTTGCCAAATACTGTAAAACATGTTGAGCAGGAATGGGGACATTTTTGTGGCCTTGTACTAATTTTGTCACCATTTTGCAGCAGTTCAGAGTTATGTGTTGATCACACAACTTGCACACATGCTAATTATAAAGAGCAATGTGTTCACTTTGCACAACATTCATAGCCCAGAGCCAGTTTAAAATCAACCAGAGCGTGCCCTATTCACACATCTGAGAGAATAACATCTATATATACATAGATGCAGACTATAGACAGCAATCTCTTCCCAGGTCATTAATAAATAAATTAGTAACTTGCTGATAAAGCTATCAAAGAGATTTTTCAGCTTCAGAAAAACCACAGAACTGAAAATCCAAACACAAAACTAGGGACTTATAACAGTGTGTGATATCCATTATTTCCAAATAATTCTCATTGTCATTTCTACAAAACATTTCAAGTCTGACTTATTTTATTGTTTGGCACAGTGCATGTTAATGAACACACCTCTCCGGATTGAAACGATGGGCTAATTTGCATCTGTGTTCCGGGCTCACAAACACACACTCACTCACCCTTGACTATTGTTCATGTTTTTAGTGGTAGGAGAAACCGGAGGAAACCTACAGACATGGGGAGAACATATATACTCCACTTTATAAGAAAGAGACCAGGGAGAGACCAGAGTGAGAAACCAGAGCGAAAGACCAGAGTGAGACCACAGTGAGACCACAATGAGACCACAGTGAGACCACAGTGAGATCAGAATGAGACATGTATCTTCTCCAAACTATGACCATAAATTAGAAATGACAGAAAATTCCACTGCTTAATTGTATACAGGTCTTGTGATCTTCGAAATTATTACTTTTGATACCCTTGATGACAAAACCGACTTATTGTCAGTAATCATTCACCACATCTTCAAATCAATACGCCTAAATATGTATTTCTTATATTTTTATCTATAGTTTAAAAATGACGGCTCGATAGATCTGGATGAGGAAGTGGTCAGATGTGAAACAGCCATCATCATGAGCTTCACACATGAGAATCCATTCACGCTCTGAGCCAAGTCAAAACACCAACTCCACAGCATCAGATCCAGGTTAATCCAGATTAGACACCACAGACCTGTCTCTCTTTCCATCTCACAGCTTGGACACTTGGACGTTACAACACCAGTAATAACTTTAGGTACAGTAGTAATCCAACATTTTGTGCATTATATGTATCAAAAAAGTATCAATTTACAATTACTATTTTTTATCTCTAAATTGATTAGAGCCAATGAAGAGAGTGTTGAATTATGGGAGCATAGACTGAATGGTGGGGAGTAGCTGGGTTTTTTTTGTAAGTAAGTAAGTTTTCATTTATATACCGCCTTTTCACTGCAGATCTGAGTCTCAAAGCGATTTACAATTGTTAATTTTTGGGCATTTGTCTCTCACTCCACACAGAGATGGGAGCGGGGTCGCCAGTACAGGAAGCGCATGCCAGAACTATTGGACATGTTTTTAGTGGTAGGGGAAACCGGAGTACCCGGAGGAAACCTACGCAGACACGGGGAGAACATGCAAACTCCACTCAGAAAGGCCCTGGTCCGACCGGGATTCGAACCCAGGACCTTCTTGCTGAGAGGCGAGAGTGCTATCCAGCGTTAACAAAGAGTGAACTAATACGGCCATGTGTAGTTTATAGCATAACAACAGCCATTTATGTGCCTAGAAATACACATTTCAGGATCTATCACAAGGCAGGAAATGACAGTGTGGTTCGGATATGCAGGCTGTTAGCATCATTAGCATCATTAGCATCATTAGCATCATTAGCCCATTGCTAAGAAGCTAGCTCCATGGACAGGGCGTTGGTGGCTCAGGAAACTACTCAAGCAAGGAGCGCAAACACTAATCTCTGCTTTTTAGGCGTTCGTTATGGGGTAAGATGCCAGCACACAAACCACTCGGGAGATATGTGTGGATAGTAGCAAACTGAATGAGGCTCACCCATAATGTTGACGCTCTGTGCGGTCTCAAACCCGATCATTCACGAGCCGACATTCCCCTTCTGAGAGCCAGTTACGCACGGGGACAAACGTACTGGCACCAGCCCGAAATCTCACTACGCAAAAAGTCTGCCGTAAAGTCTACGTGAATAGCAAAAACAGAGGAGTGGTTAAGAATCGCGAGGTCGTAGTAGTTTCTTTAGTTTAGCTCATTTCTCGCGATATTAAGTGCTGAGACCCTAGCTGAAAGTGCTGAAAAAATACATATTTTCTATGAAGTTTTGAAAGTAGTTATTTTGAGTGAGATCATGTTCATACTTAGCTACATGTGATAGAGTAAAAGCGTTCTACATTAAAGTCTGCATCCAAGTTTATAACAGGTACCAAGTACTTTTTAGATTTATATTTGTCCTAACCCCGGTTCTATGCAGGTCGAGCTGGTACTCAGTGTTCTAAAGCCGTGTTTCCACCAGCCCTACCCTGGTTGTGCAGCATAATATCATAGACTGTATCTGGTACCGTATCATAGACTGTATCTGGTACCGTATCATAGACTGTATCTGGTACCGTATCATAGACTGTATCTGGTACCGTATCATAGACTGTATCTGGTACCGTATCATAGACTGTATCTGGTACCGTATCCTAGACTGTATCTGGTACCGTATCATAGACTGTATCTGGTACCGTATCCTAGACTGTATCTGGTACCGTATCATAGACTGTATCTGGTACCGTATCATAGACTGTATCTGGTACCGTATCCTAGACTGTATCTGGTACCGTATCCTAGACTGTATCTGGTACCGTATCCTAGACTGTATCTGGTACCGTATCCTAGACTGTATCTGGTACCGTATCCTAGACTGTATCTGGTACCGTATCATAGACTGTATCTGGTACCGTATCCTAGACTGTATCTGGTACCGTATCCTAGACTGTATCTGGTACCGTATCCTAGACTGTATCTGGTACCGTATCCTAGACTGTATCTGGTACCGTATCATAGACTGTATCTGGTACCGTATCATAGACTGTATCTGGTACCGTATCATAGACTGTATCTGGTACCGTATCCTAGACTGTATCTGGTACCGTATCCTAGACTGTATCTGGTACCGTATCATAGACTGTATCTGGTACCGTATCCTAGACTGTATCTGGTACCGTATCCTAGACTGTATCTGGTACCGTATCCTAGACTGTATCTGGTACCGTATCCTAGACTGTATCTGGTACCGTATCCTAGACTGTATCTGGTACCGTATCCTAGACTGTATCTGGTACCGTATCCTAGACTGTATCTGGTACCGTATCATAGACTGTATCTGGTACCGTATCATAGACTGTATCTGGTACCGTATCCTAGACTGTATCTGGTACCGTATCATAGACTGTATCTGGTACCGTATCCTAGACTGTATCTGGTACCGTATCATAGACTGTATCTGGTACCGTATCATAGACTGTATCTGGTACCGTATCCTAGACTGTATCTGGTACCGTATCATAGACTGTATCTGGTACCGTATCATAGACTGTATCTGGTACCGTATCATAGACTGTATCTGGTACCGTATCCTAGACTGTATCTGGTACCGTATCCTAGACTGTATCTGGTACCGTATCATAGACTGTATCTGGTACCGTATCCTAGACTGTATCTGGTACCGTATCCTAGACTGTATCTGGTACCGTATCCTAGACTGTATCTGGTACCGTATCATAGACTGTATCTGGTACCGTATCCTAGACTGTATCTGGTACCGTATCCTAGACTGTATCTGGTACCGTATCATAGACTGTATCTGGTACCGTATCATAGACTGTATCTGGTACCGTATCATAGACTGTATCTGGTACCGTATCCTAGACTGTATCTGGTACCGTATCCTAGACTGTATCTGGTACCGTATCCTAGACTGTATCTGGTACCGTATCCTAGACTGTATCTGGTACCGTATCCTAGACTGTATCTGGTACCGTATCATAGACTGTATCTGGTACCGTATCCTAGACTGTATCTGGTACCGTATCCTAGACTGTATCTGGTACCGTATCCTAGACTGTATCTGGTACCGTATCCTAGACTGTATCTGGTACCGTATCCTAGACTGTATCTGGTACCGTATCCTAGACTGTATCTGGTACCGTATCCTAGACTGTATCTGGTACCGTATCCTAGACTGTATCTGGTACCGTATCCTAGGCTGTATCTGGTACCGTATCCTAGGCTGTATCTGGTACCGTATCATAGACTGTATCTGGTACCGTATCATAGACTGTATCTGGTACCGTATCATAGACTGTATCTGGTACCGTATCCTAGACTGTATCTGGTACCGTATCCTAGACTGTATCTGGTACCGTATCCTAGACTGTATCTGGTACCGTATCCTAGACTGTATCTGGTACCGTATCATAGACTGTATCTGGTACCGTATCCTAGACTGTATCTGGTACCGTATCCTAGACTGTATCTGGTACCGTATCCTAGACTGTATCTGGTACCGTATCCTAGACTGTATCTGGTACCGTATCATAGACTGTATCTGGTACCGTATCATAGACTGTATCTGGTACCGTATCATAGACTGTATCTGGTACCGTATCCTAGACTGTATCTGGTACCGTATCCTAGACTGTATCTGGTACCGTATCCTAGACTGTATCTGGTACCGTATCATAGACTGTATCTGGTACCGTATCCTAGACTGTATCTGGTACCGTATCCTAGACTGTATCTGGTACCGTATCCTAGACTGTATCTGGTACCGTATCCTAGACTGTATCTGGTACCGTATCCTAGACTGTATCTGGTACCGTATCATAGACTGTATCTGGTACCGTATCCTAGACTGTATCTGGTACCGTATCCTAGACTGTATCTGGTACCGTATCCTAGACTGTATCTGGTACCGTATCCTAGACTGTATCTGGTACCGTATCCTAGACTGTATCTGGTACCGTATCCTAGACTGTATCTGGTACCGTATCCTAGACTGTATCTGGTACCGTATCCTAGACTGTATCTGGTACCGTATCCTAGACTGTATCTGGTACCGTATCATAGACTGTATCTGGTACCGTATCCTAGACTGTATCTGGTACCGTATCATAGACTGTATCTGGTACCGTATCATAGACTGTATCTGGTACCGTATCCTAGACTGTATCTGGTACCGTATCCTAGACTGTATCTGGTACCGTATCCTAGACTGTATCTGGTACCGTATCCTAGACTGTATCTGGTACCGTATCATAGACTGTATCTGGTACCGTATCCTAGACTGTATCTGGTACCGTATCCTAGACTGTATCTGGTACCGTATCCTAGACTGTATCTGGTACCGTATCCTAGACTGTATCTGGTACCGTATCCTAGACTGTATCTGGTACCGTATCATAGACTGTATCTGGTACCGTATCCTAGACTGTATCTGGTACCGTATCCTAGACTGTATCTGGTACCGTATCCTAGACTGTATCTGGTACCGTATCCTAGACTGTATCTGGTACCGTATCCTAGACTGTATCTGGTACCGTATCCTAGACTGTATCTGGTACCGTATCCTAGACTGTATCTGGTACCGTATCCTAGACTGTATCTGGTACCGTATCCTAGACTGTATCTGGTACCGTATCATAGACTGTATCTGGTACCGTATCCTAGACTGTATCTGGTACCGTATCCTAGACTGTATCTGGTACCGTATCATAGACTGTATCTGGTACCGTATCCTAGACTGTATCTGGTACCGTATCCTAGACTGTATCTGGTACCGTATCCTAGACTGTATCTGGTACCGTATCCTAGACTGTATCTGGTACCGTATCCTAGACTGTATCTGGTACCGTATCATAGACTGTATCTGGTACCGTATCATAGACTGTATCTGGTACCGTATCATAGCAACCTACCCTCGACAAAAAAAAATCTCTCCTCCAGCAGCACTCTGCCCAATCACTGTTAAAACACTTTAGTACCAAATAATTTGACCAAACCTGCTCATATTCTGTCTCACAAATGTGTTTTTTAAGGTCATGGGTAAGGAGGGGAATGTGTTCTCTGGATTTGGATGTAACCATGGAATTCTGTCCCAATATATCTACTTGTTTTATTTCTCAGGGTTTTTGCGGTGTTTTTGCTGTAAATGTGGAACGGAGCAACCATGGATCTATTATAATAGGGAGCAACGGCGAAAGCGTCTGTTGTAACCGTGGCAACATCAACGTTCCAACAATCTGTTTGTTCATTGGTCCAGACGGAGCCACACCTTAAGATCGCCTAATATCATTCGCCTGTACATTGCGGACTTCGTGTTAAATAAGTAATGGGCGCAATGGTTTGGTCATTTCTAGGCTATTTTCCAAATGTCCCAAACTATCTACTTGTTAACTTATCATGATATGTGTATTCTTATGTCGCTATATAAGGTAAGGTGATTCTAATTTATGGTATGTGTGTCTTCTACGTTTAATTTGATCGAATAACAGAAATTCAAATGTTAACGAACGCTAAGCTAGCGACCCAAAGCTAAAGTTACTGTTGACTAATTTATTAACAACAAATATGACTTTCTTTGAATTTAATCTTGTTTTACTATCAGTAAAGTCTGGATAATGTTTTCCATGTTATAACATGGTATTAAATATGGAGTACTAATGCCCTGTGAGCTACATGATACGTTTCAATTTTAGTATTATGCTAACTCCTAGAGCCGTCTTTTTGACTGCTTCATTCATTCGTCCATCCATCCATTTTCTGCCCCTTAATCCATATTCTGCGTTGGGGGGGTGTACTGGGTGCAGTCAGAGCTGCACCCAGTACACAGATCACCAATCATTCATTTTAATTTACAATTAAAAGACAACCAACATTCTAGCTGCTTTTCTCAAAGTGCTGGTCCTAAACTGGTACTGGACATGCATGTGAAAACTAGTGATAGAACCTCTGGTCTCTCTCTGGTACCGCTCTCTGGTCTCGCTCTAGCATCTCTTTGGTCTCTCTCTCTCTGGTCTTAATGTTTCAACATGTTAATGTTTCATATATATATATATTATTTACACACATATATATATATATATATATATATATAATATATATATATATATATATATATATATATATATATATATATATATATATATATTGAATATTTGTTTTTGCTTTGATGATAACATAATCACAGCAAAAACCTTTGTCGAACTTCACAGGTTGTTCATGGAGAGTAGGATTCAAGTCTAACCATGTCAGCAAAGAACTCCAAACAGAGGGAGAGATTCCTCGCCAGGTTGACCGGAGAAAGCCAGTGAGCAAACGTCTAACTCACGCACCGCACACACAGGCACACACACACACACACACGCACGCACGCACACACGCACACACACACACACACTCACCAACACATTTTAGCCCCATTTGTGTAATCAGTATTGTCTGTATATGACACCCAAGAGCTCAATACATTAAATGAATGGAAAAGAGTATAATCCTGTCGTTCTAAGGGCATCACGAGATCTCAAAAAGCTCCTGTCTCTACTGGAAAGGAGCCAGCGACCCAGACAAGAGGTACATACAGTGTGTCGCAGTAAAGACATTTCAAAACTACTTTGTATGAGGTTTTGGTTTTAAACCTGTGGGTTGAATATTATTGTTTTTTAGGTGGGATTAAAATCACGTGGATCTGGGGCCAAGAAATCACAAGTCTCTCATCCGCCTGACTCCAACAAACACCAAACCGACCACACTATTCATCTGGCTCTGCAGAAGTTCAGGTATTTGTTGGAAAAATGTTTAGTGGTTGAGTGGTTAGCACTCTCACTTCTCAGTGAGAAGGTCCTGGGTTCAAATCCCATTCAGAACAGAGGCCTCTGAGTAGAGCAGAGCATAGCAGAGCCGAGTAGAGTAGAGTATAATAGAGTTGATTAGAGTAATGTGGAGTAGGCCTGAGTGAAGTAAGTAGAGTATAGTAGATCGAAGTAGAGAAGAGTCAAGTAAAGTAGAGTAGTTGAGAGGGAGAGTGAGCGCTGCTGTGGGTGGAGTATGTGGGTCAGGATCCAAGGGAAAAAAAGGATGTTCTGAGGCACAACTGACTTTACAGTAAAAATCCTTTTCTTACTTGTGACAACAACGCGTTTTGACCACAGTCTTCATCAGGGCAGACCAACGGTGTAGAGTAGAGTATTGTAGAGTAGAATAGAAGTTTACCTGGAACTCTGTATCTCTGAGCAAAAATACATGCACTTAAAAACTTTTGTTTGTACTAACATGTTTTGAGAGATGGATTTTATAGTTATGCTAGCTAGATGGACAGAAGAAGGACCTTTATGTCTAAAAATAGGTGATGCAAATCTGAGTACTTTTGATATTCATCGCACAATAATAAATTACACATGCATACAATTTGTGAAATCCATAGCATGTATACAGATGGACCAACTCACTCTGGCTCCAATTCACATACATGTAAAAGTAAACTCCTCTAGCTCAGTAACCGTTTGGGCTTAAATCTGTGGTTTAGCATTCTTTGTGACCCTGGTGTTTATATTGTGATATTGTCTTTGTAAATCTAGATATGATCCACATAAGCATTGACCAACTGGATGTCCTTATTCGAAGGTTCCCAAATCGACCTTTTCTGTATACTTTTCTGTATACTTTTCTGTATACCTTTTCTGTCAGTCCACTCCTTGTATACAGCCTTTGGTCCAAACACATTTCCAATAATACATTTTTCTGTATCTTACAAGAAGAAATTAAGTTTAAGATTGATTTGATAAAACTTTTCTTGTTATTTGTTCTTTGTCCATGAGTTTATGTGAATCATAACTGTACGTATACTTTTAGTGAGGAGTATGAAAGCGAGAGGTGCTTCAGCAACCATCCCCTGCACAGACTTTTCCGGAGCCTTCTGATCTCTCTGGTGAAGACTCGTCTGTGCTGGTACGGTCCCATACGTCTGATTGTCACATGTCCAGCGTGTACCATGTTTGTCTCTCTGATTGCAGTGATTGGATAGACACAGCTGATCCAGAGTCTGTCCTCAGAGTCCTGACCTGTCTCCGGATTCTGGTTAGAGACACGGAGCTCCAGGTAATCCTCTATTCAACTTTACTCTACTCTACTCTACACTACTCTACTTGACTCTATTTTACTCTTCTACACTATTCAACTTTACTCTACTCTACTCTACTCTTCTCCACTCTACTATACTCTACTCTACACTACTCTACTTGACTCTATTTTACTCTCCTCTACTCTACACTATTCTACTCTACTTTACACGGCTCTGCTATGCTCTGCTCTATTATACTCTACTCTTCTCTACTCTACTCTACTCTACTCTACTCTACTCTACTCTACTCTACTCTACACGACACAGCTCTACTATACTCTGCTCTACTCAGAGTTGACCTCTAATGAAGGCAAAAGTCTCCTGCCAATAGATGTCAGGTAATTATAAGCAGCACTAGCTTCTCTGCACTCTTATATAACACCTTATTATATGACTTGGACCGTACGCCCGCTCTGATTGGTTGATTTGCGATCTGATATTTTCCCATCTCGGACCGTTACCATGACAATCGGTCCACAGCCCGTATAACACAAAACCAAGTCGGACATGAACATACTTCACAAATATCTCAAAAGCATTGGTAAAGACACAGACGAGAGTCATATAATAAAACATTTATTAACTTCGCTTGCTCGGTCTGTGCAGAGAAATATCAGACCTTGGCCTTTTTGCACAGACCTCGCCACGGCTCGGTCTGTACATTAAGGCCGCGGTCTGATATTTCCCCATACAGACCTCGCGCTCGGTTAATAAGCCTTTATTATAAGCCTAAAGATAAGGAAACATAATTAACTTTATACATTTAATTCGTCTTAGTAACACGTCTGCCCCTGTTATAGAGCGAAGCTCACAACGCTGAACAAATTCCCATATAAGGAAATTGGCTCCAGCTATCTTATATTCAAATTTGCTTCTTCTGCATTAAGACTGACACAATGGTACTGTCACACTCAGATTGTCCACTCATACAAACTCTGTGAATAGGACTGGGATAGGGAAATATAGAAGATTTATCAGATTACTTGTCATCTGTTTCAACTTCCCGGACCTACAAAAGATACAGTATATGGTTTTAAAACATAGGGATACATTTATTCAAGCAGCTTTGACAATCTCTGGTCTGATTAATCTCTCAATAAAACCCATTTAAGATGGCAGATGAAAGAATATAAGCCTTAAGTCCCAGGGGTTAAAATGATACATTCTCTTTCCCTTTCCTCCAGAAACTCTTCCGCCAACACCAGGGCATCACTCCTTTGGCCAGGGTAAAGTTTTCCTCTATTTTCCTAATTTGTGATTGTGATTAAATCAAATATTTACATTAAAAAGAGGGTTAGGGGGCTGTTGTTCTTAACTCTTTTTAACATACTATGATTTTTTTATTGTAATTTGTGATATCAATGTTTTTAATGAAGTGATATTTCTTAATTTCTTTTCTAGTTTGGTTCAGCACTTTGAGTTGCCTTGAGTATGAACCGTGCCATACTAATAAACTGGCCTTGATTGTGCTTCAGTTGCAGGAGTCTGTGAGTGAGTCGTACTTATCGTGTGGAGGACAGGCCTACGCGGAGCAGATGCTGGTCACCATGACATGTGAGGCTCATATTCGTGTACTGTATGTACCTCTACATTAAAACTGGGGTACCTCACTTTTGATTATAAATTAGGCTTTGCAATGGTGGATGGTGCTGACCTCCCACATCTGTGGGTCTGTCCTGGGGCAGCTGTGGCTATTACAGTCGCTTGCCTCCACTGTGTGTGATATTAGTAACACACACACACCTTTGTTTCGATCATCTTCATCTTTTTAGAAAACATCTTTTGAGTAAGAAAGAGCCCTGTGAGTCACTATTTTATTCTTTGGATTGAGAGCTGAGTGAGGGTTTTTGTGTCAGAAATAGCTGTGACAGTAGCCAAAAATAAATGACGTGAAAAGAGAGAGACCAGAGAGAGAACAGAGAGAACATAGACCAGAGAGAGAGAGAGAGAGAATAAACCAGAGAGAGCAGAATGAGCAGAGATAGACAGAGAGAGAGCACGACTTTCTGTTTTTATCATATGAGAAATCATGTTATCTTTTACATATTGAGCGCTTACTGTATTGGCTGAGTGAAGACGGTCCTGTCTTTTTCCATCTGAAAACGCTAATCCAAGGTTGTAACTGAGGCAAGTTATAGATGCAAACTGTTTAGAGATTGAGCAAGTGGTTGGATGGATTATGGTGTGAAAGTCAGGTACCCCAGCTTTAATTATGATGCAAATATTCTCACAGATATGTTCCAGAAGATGTCGTCCTCTGAAGAGCTGAGGCCCCACATCACAGACGCCGGAGTACACAGGGTCAGTGATGTTATTCTATTGTTCATATTGCAAAAGGATAAACACAAGTCTTGACTAGACAATGGACTCGTAGAGCACAGATCTTCACCAAGAGGCGCAGCTACATTCTGAATCACCACCAATTTAGTAAAAAAAAAATGCCCTGAGCTTTCTAGAGCATAATCTTTCCATTTTGTTATGAGGTATCTTGCTAACTTAAGCCGTGTTTCCACCAGCTCTACTCTACTTTGCTCTGCTCTACTCATCTGGTGGCCTCGCTTCTGTCAGCGTGCCCCAGGGCAACTACAGTCGTATTTTTCACCACTGATTATGGAGTGAATGAATAATGATTCAAAGCGTCTTTGAGCGGCCAGCAAAATAAATCCCATTATAATTCCCACATTTTATAATCTTACAATAGCAGCTCATAGTCCAACGAGTAGTATTGATTATCTTTGACGTTTCTTTGAGGTCAGTTTCCACTTAAATTATATTTCTGGTTCTGTGCAGACGCTAGTGAACCTTCTCTCCTCCACCGACAGCAGTGTGTTACTGGGAGCTCTCATGGCTCTCACCTCCTTGGCTCAGTGAGTATACAATATGCTAGATGTTTATTACACAAATGTTCATATAATGTAGCAGACAGATATGTGTTTTTAAAAGTGCTTGGATTAAGCACACGTGTTCCTCCAATCCCCTCCAAACACCACTGATCTCATTCTATACCTCTACACAGTACATTTACATCAAGCAACACAGAAACACTAGAGGGCGCTGTGCTCAATCCAGACACAAGAGACCATGGAGATCGGAAAAAACGTTATAGCTGGGGTACTTCACTCTCAAACAACACATTTACCTATGAAATCCAACTACCCCTAGTATTCACATACATGTATTTTTAGGTATTGATCTGGGTCTTTGTCCTGGTTTTGGGTCGTTGTCCTGGTCTAGTTTTAGCATGCATGTATTTTTTGCCACTGTCACATCTTTACTTGGCCAATACTTAATTGTATCTCTTGAGGAACTGCCTTATTAGAAGTAGAGTTACAGCAAATCTCAAGATTAATAACTATACAGTATTGTGGCAACAATTTGAGGACAGGACTATGTCGTGAATATTTCAAAGACTAAATATTATCCATTCAAAAATTGTGTGGCTCACTCTGGTGTCTTCCTGGTCTCTCTGGGCTCTTTCTGGTCTCTTTCTGGTCTCTTTCTGGTCTCTCTCTCTCTGGTCTCTCTCTCTGGTCACTCTGGTCTTTCTCTGGTCTTAAGCCAGACACAATCACATGCTTTCAAAGACAAGTATTAGTTTCACTGATACATTGTAAAACAAATACAGTTAATATACTGGTTATAGATACATGAGTATATTCAAGGATTAATACATTATTGTGTTCATGTGTTTTCGCGGAGCGTATGTGTCTATATAAACACTTTAGATGCAATCAACAAAATCAAATTTAAGCAATGTCTTATTCTCGTGTGTCGTCTGGTCATGTAAAAATCCCCCTGACGTACATGTTGTGTTTTTCATCCAGTCCTGGATGCAGGGAGCTGATTGGAGAGCTCTACATCGTGGAAACTCTGCTTGTAATCCTTCAAGAGTATGACCTCCTGTCAAAGAGGTAGGTCTGAATGATGTTTGTTATGGTTTGAAAGTTAGATTCCTCAGCTTTAAATATCTAACTTTATAAGGTGTGTGACTGTCTTTGGTTTTATATATTGATTTCAAGTCTGTTTTTAAAGCACTTTGAGTTGCTTTGAGTTGTCTGACCCTCTCTCCCTGATGTCTCTCTCTGATGACAGGCTGTCTGCTGAGCTGCTGCGCCTACTGTCCTCGGTCCCCTGTGTCCGGCAGCAGGTGTGTGCCCACAAGGGAGTTCCGGTCCTGCTCAGCCTGCTCCACTCTCACCACGTGCAGCTGCTGTGGGCCCTGTGCTGGGTCCTGGTACAGCTCTGTGATGAGCCTCAGGCCAGAGCAGAGATCCGGAGCTGGGGAGGAGTCCAGCAGCTGCTCCATCTCCTCAGCTGGTCTGTACTACACACTTTACTACGCAGTAGTACACTACACTGTTCTATACTGTACTACACTGTGTGGTGTGTACTATCTAATATTGTACTATATAGTACACACTGCATTTTATAGTCCAGTACTGTACTATGTTAGTGCTGGACTCCACCGCCCGCGTCTCCGTTTACGCGCGTAGGCTGCAGCAGCGCAGAACTCTGGCTGTGTGTTTATCAGCACTCCGTGAGGCTTTGATTTAAATAAAAGAAGCGGTGTGTGATGTGCATGAGCTGTGGCTATGATCTATGCAAAACACGGCATATTGAACTATCGAGGACGTCGCGATGGATGAGGCAAAACTTATTGAGAGCAATCTGTAAAAAGGGGTGGAGAGAGAAAAGAGAAAAGAACTCTAACATATCCAGGCTTTTTGAAAGCGAGTCAATATTAACGTTACGCAAAAAATAAACGGCAAGATTATGACCAGGAAAAAATTATTTAAATTGAATACATGAAAAAAATACACACATTTGTTAATAATCATTGTCATTAACAAACTCTTATAACCAAGGACTATAGTCATTTATCAATACATGTATTATAATGTAGTAAATATATTTTTCCTCGTATTTCCATTGGAGAACGGACCAGACACGCGTCGACGTACGTAAAAAATAGGATTGTTTCTATTTTGTCCGTCCGCGTCCGTTGCACCCTGCGTGGACGCACTGCTCCCTACCCGCGTGATACGGACGCAGTGGAACCACTCATGGAGAAAATGGAAACGAAGATGAAACAGACACGTTTGGACGGATACGTAGTACGTTTTACGCAGCCGGTGGAGTCGGGGCCTTACACTGCACTCTACTGTACTACTCTGTATGACTGTACAGATATTTGTGTATATCACTAAATCACAACAGTTGTCGTCTCGGAGGACTTAACAATGTTTTGAATTCACCAGCAACCTACAAATCATTCAAACTGTTTAAAAACACGAAATGCAATAATAAACACATAAGAGTCATCAGTCCATTGGGAGAGGGATGACCAGAAATGTCCCGGATCCTCACTCATAGATAGATAGATAGATACTTTATTGATCCCTGTAGGAAAAATTCAGGATAGAACCAGGACCAAGAGGGACTAAAGAAGGAGATGGCACTGGTTAAACAGGGTCGGTAGAAACACTCTCAATCAGGGGAGAGTAGAGTAGAATAGAGCCGAGTAGAGTGAGTAGAGTTGGTGGAAAGGGGGCTGCAGAGTCAGAGAATTACATCAGTGTATAACAATAATGTGGATGGAGTAAAGTTGGTTCGGACCATTTTCTCTGCTCTAGTCTAAAGTAAAATGCTAAATGCTTCATTCACATTTTTCAAAAATGTAGCACTCCTCCAGTTGGTTTTTGCTTGATCCACTTGGTTCGAACCATGAATTCTCTCCGCTCTGGTCTGGACCAGTGTAAAACCATGAACACTATACTGCAGCAACAGGTAGAAAAAAACAAGAAAAATACCATTTGTACAGCACAAAACAACAACTGTTTCAGAGCTACTTAGGACTTGCTGCCGTTTCCAGCGCATTCAAAAGTAAACCAAAAAGTTAGTCTTGTGAGGTCTAACAAAAAGGACTGTGATCCAGGACACTCAACATTCAACAACATTTATGGACATTTATCAACACTTATGGACATTTGTCATCTGCCCCTTATGGACCTGTCTGTAATTGTGTTTTCTGTATTTCTTGAGTTTAAACTGTTTGATTCTCTGATCTGTGTTGGTGATTTAAACGGTTTTGTAAAGGCCTCCGAGATAACAAGAATAAATTGAATTGAATTGAATTTTTGCAGTGACAGACGGTTCGTGGGGGAGCGCTCCTCCATTGAGACTCTGTCCAGTGCAAACGCAGCAGGACGGCTCCACACGACAGAAAAGCCGAGCCCACATGAGCAGCAGGACAACATTGCCGCCCTGCAGGCAGGTCAGTGCAACGACCAGTGACAGACATTCACATTTTCACACCCCTATAGCGTACACACACACACACACACACACACACACACACACACACACACACACACACACACACACACACACACACACACACACACACACACACACACACACACACGCGCGCGCACACGCACACACAAACATTACGAAACGTTCCTAGATCTACAGTCTCAGTCCTGGGTCTACAGCCTCAGTCTTGGATCTACAGCCTCAGTCCTGGATCTACAGCCTCAGTCTTGGATCTACAGCCTCAGTCCTGGATCTACAGCCTCAGTCTTGGATCTACAGCCTCAGTCCTGGATCTACAGCCTCAGTCCTGGATCTACAGCCTCAGTCCTGGATCTACAGCCTCAGTCCTGGATCTACAGCCTCAGTCCTGGATCTACAGCCTCAGTCTTGGATCTACAGCCTCAGTCCTGGATCTACAGCCTCAGTCCTGGATCTACAGCCTCAGTCCTGGATCTACAGCCTCAGTCCTGGATCTACAGCCTCAGTCCTGGATCTATCAATCAATCAATCAACGTTTATTTGTAGAGCGCCTTTCCTACACAAGGCAACGCAAAGCGCTTCACATCCCCTATCACATCATGCATAAATCAAACACATTAAGAGCACAAGATATATTAAAAACATTAAAAATAAAATCACAAAAATTAAAAACCTTTAAACATTAAAATCCCAGATGGGACTAAAATCATAAATAGTCACAGTGCATTAAAAAGATTAAAGATAAAAACAAAGATGAAAAGATAAAATCATTCAGTTGTATATGCGCAGCTAAACAGAATTGTTTTGAGCCTAGATTTAAAAGATGCCAGAGTAGACGCCTGTCTCACATTCTCAGGAAGACGGTTCCAGACTCTAGCCGCATGAATCTGAAATGCAGTTTGCCCATGTCTAGTACCGACTCTGGGCACTAACAGGAGTCCAGTCCCTGTGCTCCTCAGAGTCCGGGTCGGTTCATATGGCACAAACATGTCATGGATGTACCTTTGGCGCGAGACCATGGAGAGACTTGTACACAAGTAAAGCTGCTTTGAAGTCTATTCTCTGAGGAACAGGAAGCCAGTGCAGAGACCTGAGAACTGGACTAATGTGGTCGTACTTCCTAGTTCTGGTCAGGACTCGAGCTGCTGCATGTTGAATGTACTGCAGCTGTTTTACAGCCTGTTTGGACAGACCTGTGAGCAGGCCATTGCAATAGTCTAACCGACTGGAGACAAAAGCGTGTATAAGAGTCTCCAAGTCTGCCTTAGACACTATGTTTTTAATTTTAGCAATGTTTTTTAGGTGGTAATAAGCTGCTGATGTTACAGATTTTATGTGGCTTTTGAAATTTAAGTCTGAGTCCATTATCACTCCTAGATTTCTGACCTGATTTGAGGGTTGTAGAGAGAGAGCCTGGAGGTGACAAATAACGCTCTCTCTTTGTTTCTGGGGTTCGAAAACAATTATTTCAGTTTTGTCGGTGTTTAGTTGGAGAAAGTTATTTTGCATCCAATCACCGATTTGCTGGACACAGTGAAGGAGCGAGTCCACTGGTTCATGCTCTCCTGCTGTCAGGGACACATAGACCTGAGTATCGTCAGCGTAATTGTGATAAGAGACATTATTACTGTGAATCAACTGACCTAGAGGCAACATGTAAATATTAAACAGAAGAGGACCCAGGATTGACCCCTGTGGCACTCCGCAGGTCAGGGCCAAGTGGTCTGAGGTACAGTTTTCGATCTCCACAAAAAACTTTCTGTCTTGTAAATAGGACCTAAACCAGCTTAGGGCGGTGCCAGCAACACCAACCCAGTCCTCAAGTCTCTGAATGAGGATGCCATGATCAATAGTGTCAAAAGCAGCACTTAAATCTAACAGAAAAAGGACTGAGACTTTTCCTGCGTCAGTGTTTAGTTTGATGTCATTTGTTACCTTTATTAGCGCGGTCTCAGTGCTGTGGTGGGGTCTAAACCCTGACTGGAACATATCATAAGCGTTATTGATTATTAAAAATTCTGTAAGTTGTTGATAGGCAACTTTTTCTAGAATTTTTCCCATGAAAGGCAGATTTGAAATGGGCCGATAATTTTTGAGTGCCAGGGCTTCCAGACTCCTCTTTTTTAGGAGGGGCCTGATGACCGCCGTTTTCAAGGCCATTGGGAATGTTCCAGATTCAAGAGACATATTAACTATTTGTATAAGTGAAGGTAAAAGACTGCTCAGAACTGACTTGAGAAATCTAGGAGGTAATACATCCAGGCTGCATGTGGAGGAACTCAGACTAGTGATTATCTCCTGGACAGTTTCAATTTGTACTGGTGTAAAGTGCGTCAGCCCAAAAAGCCTCACTGGCGGTTGGATTATTATTTCTATCGTGGAGGTGATGGCGTTTTTGATACCTTGGACTTTGTCATTAAAGAACTGAGCAAACTCATTACATTTAGATTTGGAAGTAAGTTCTGATGGCATCTTAACAGGGGGATTCGTCAATCTATTTACTGTTGAAAACAGAACACGTAGATTGTTGCTACAGCCTTCAATAGTTTCAGAAAAGTACATTTCCCTCGTTCTACGTAGTTCCCTGTTAAAATTGCACAACGCATCTTTGAAGATCTCATGGTCAACTTTGAGATTTGACTTTCGCCACTTCCGCTCGGCCTTCCGGCACTCTCTCTTCTGTGCCCTGACCGAGTCTGCTTTAGTCCATGGCGCTTTTTGCTTGTTTGTAACTATTTTAACCTTTACAGGAGCAATTATATCCAGAACATTCAAAACAGTGGTGGTGACAGAATCAAGCAATTCATCTACAGTAACACACAACGTGTTCTCAAAGTTTACCCTACAGCCTCAGTCCTGGATCTACAGCCTCAGTCCTGGATCTACAGCCTCAGTCCTGGGTCTACAGCCTCAGTCCTGGATCTACAGCCTCAGTCCTGGATCTACAGCCTCAGTCCTGGATCTACAGCCTCAGTCTTGGATCTACAGCCTCAGTCCTGGATCTACAGCCTCAGTCTTGGATCTACAGCCTCAGTCCTGGATCTACAGCCTCAGTCCTGGATCTACAGCCTCAGTCTTGGATCTACAGCCTCAGTCCTGGATCTACAGTCTCAGTCCTGGATCTACAGCCTCAGTCCTGGATCTACAGCCTCAGTCCTGGATCTACAGCCTCAGTCTTGGATCTACAGCCTCAGTCCTGGATCTACAACCTCAGTCCTGGATCTACAGCCTCAGTCTTGGATCTACAGCCTCAGTCCTGGATCTACAGCCTCAGTCCTGGATCTACAGCCTCAGTCCTGGATCTACAGCCTCAGTCCTGGATCTACAGTCTCAGTCTTGGATCTACAGCCTCAGTCTTGGATCTACAGCCTCAGTCTTGGATCTACAGCCTCAGTCTTGGATCTACAGCCTCAGTCCTGGATCTACAGCCTCAGTCCTGGATCTACAGCCTCAGTCTTGAATCTACAGCCTCAGTCCTGGATCTACAGCCTCAGTCTTGGATCTACAGCCTCAGTCCTGGATCTACAGCCTCAGTCCTGGATCTACAGCCTCAGTCTTGGATCTACAGCCTCAGTCCTGGATCTACAGCCTCAGTCCTGGATCTACAGCCTCAGTCTTGGATCTACAGCCTCAGTCTTGGATCTACAGTATCAGTCTTGGATCTGCAGCCTCAGTCTTGGATCTACAGCCTCAGTCTTGGATCTACAGCCTCAGTCTTGGATCTACAGCCTCAGTCTTGGATCTACAGCCTCAGTCTTGGATCTACAGCCTCAGTCTTGGATCTACAGCCTCAGTCTTGGATCTACAGCCTCAGTCTTGGATCTACAGCCTCAGTCTTGGATCTACAGCCTCAGTCTTGGATCTACAGCCTCAGTCTTGGATCTACAGCTTGACCGTCCCTGGGACAGTAGCCCTCTCTAAATGTGAGCCTCCCCAAGGTTTCTCTCTCTTATTCCCACTGTATTTAAGGACAGTAATGATCCGTGACATTTGAACTGAAATGAAAATACAGAAAAAGCTGAACGTAGGCCGTGATCTGTAACATGTCCTGGTCTTATTGCAGCGTGTTGTACGGCTCTGACAGAACTCAGCGTGGACGACTCCTGTGCGCACCACATCGTGCAGGTAATCTATGATGTTTTCTTCCACTTCTTGTTTTTTTCTCTAAACACACATTTATACACCTGGTTTCTGTGCAGGAGAACGGAGTCTTCATCATCGCAAAGTTCATTCTTCCCCAGACGTTTGGAGCCAAGGGCGTCGTACAGGTAGAGCAGCTGTTGTGTGTGCAGTGACACTTTTGGTAACAACAACATGAAAGACTGTGTGTGACTGTGTTCCAGTGCTACGCCTTCAGGGCCTTACGTTTTCTGTTCAGTGTGGAGAGAAACAGACACCTATTCAAACGGTACAGCTCCAGATGTTTGTGTACATTGATAAAACGACCTGAAAACACACTGTATGTACATGTTTCTCTCTCAGGCTCTTCCCTACAGACCTGTTTGAGTTGTTCATCGACGTGGGCCACTATGTGCGGGACCTCTCGGCATACGAGACTCTGCAGGACAAAGTCTCACTCTACTCTGTAAGAAACCCGATTATTAAGAGTTTAATGGATTAGATACAGATGTTTTTTTGCGTTGTGTATATGGGGTTTTGAGTGGTTCTTTGTCGATGCAGCAGTGTCTAAGGACAGTGATGATCCAGGACATACATACACATTTTCTTAACATTTCTAGACAGTGGTTATCCCGCTCCATGGTTGTTATTATTGCATTTCCTCTGTGTTTGAGTCTCTCTCTGGTCTCTGTCTGGTCTCGCTCTGGTCTCTCTCTGGTTTCTGGCCTCTTCCTCTGGTCTTTCTGTGGTTTCTGTTCTGTTGTTTATGAATCCACAATTTCTGTTGTGATTTAGAGTGTGCTTTAAAGCTTTTAGACTGTTTAAAGCTTTTAGACTGTTTCAAGTCTGATACGAAGTGCTTGTAGATTACTAGTGCAGGCCTGATTCAAAGTGCTTACAGGAGGAGGACCTAGAGAGCCTGAGGGACAGTATTGTGGCTGTGGACCACAACAGACCTCCTCTGAGGGTCATCAGTGGGTACTCCGTCTTGGAGCATCTGGGGACCGGCGCCTTCGGGAGTGTCTTCAAGGTACTCAAGTATTTCGATACAATATATTTCCAAACAATACAATACAGTTCAGCAAAGGCTTTAGACCTTTTATCTGAGGCCCTGCCACATACTACACTAATGGTGCTTTTATAATTCATTTATTGAAATTGTATGTTTCATCTTTTTTTTCTTTTTGCACACCCATAATCATATAGCTTTAGAAGTAGATTAAGATCAGTCCTGACTCTGGGCACCAGCAGAAGGCCAATCCCTGTGCTCCTTAGACTCCCAGCAGGAGGCCAATCCCTGTGCTCCTTAGACTTCCAGCAGGAGGCCAATCCCTGTGCTCCTTAGACTCCCAGCAGGAGGCCAATCCCTGTGCTCCTTAGACTCCCAGCAGGAGGCCAATCCCTGTGCTCCTTAGACTCCCAGCAGGAGGCCAATCCCTGTGCTCCTTAGACTCCCAGCAGGAGGCCAATCCCTGTAGTCCTTTTTGTGTGCAAACAATATTTATCCTGTTGTGATACTACTGCGTGTGTTGTGTGTGTGTTTCTCCTGTTAAAATACTATTGTATTTGTGTTTTGCAGGTGAGGAAGCAAAGCAGTCAGACCTTGTTGGCTCTGAAGGAGGTGAACCTCCACAATCCAGCTTTTGGTAAAGACAAGAGGAGCAGAGAGAGCAACGCAGACAAGATCATGTCTGAGCTCAGCATCATCAAAGAACAGGTTTCACACACAGATACATACAGTATGTACACACGCACACACACACACACACACACACACATATACAGTACACAGATACATATACACACAAACACACACACACACACACACACACAATAGTTCATCACTAACATGGCTTTACTCTCTATAGATGGATCATCCAAATATCGTTAAGTATCATAAGACATTTCTCGAGGGTAAGTGACACAACTTGAGCCAACCGTCGATATCGATATCGGATATCAAGGGCGTAGGTTTGCGTGGGGACCATGGGGACATGTTTTCACCAATAGTTGGTAAGGACCAAAATGTCCTCACCACATCCACCGTCTCCAGTTTGTTCAAACTGTGACCCCTTATCTCTCTGCTGTGATTGGCTGTCTTCCTCTCATGCACTACTTTCTAAAAGTAAAGTCCGACTGGCAGCGCTTTCTGAAAAGTGATCAGTGAAAGTGTGTTGCCAGTATCAAGAAATGCATTTTTGTTTTCCCTGAGCGCCGTAAAATGTGAGTAATCAAAGAAAAGTATTGTAGATCTATCTATCACCATTCAACCCATTTATGTATGTTCTATTCTGTCAGCGCACTGCACTGGGAAGCTCTAGCTGCACACAGAGACTGAACAAAACAGGCCCCAATAAAGAACCGGGAGGAAAAGCTGAAAAAAATATGTACAGTGCTCTTACGATACAAACCTCTCTGTAACCTCTGTGTGGCAGATTAGACTCTTGTGTGCTGTATTGAGTATTTTTTGCTTCTGCAATGCAATGTCACTGATGCATCTTACTCTGATCAAAAGGCTACATATTTAATCTGTGTGGATCTGTACAATGCATTTAGGAAATACGTGTTTGGAAGTGAATGTTATTATAGAGTACATACATATTGTTGCCCTGAGTGGGCCGTGTGCTCGCACATCACTGCCAGTGGATGCTGCGCGAGTGACAAAAGTCAATAGCAATCGCTGTTTAGTGATGAGCATATGAAGCCACAACACACTGAGGCTTTCATTGGCAGACTGTTTCAAATGTGTCGAAGCCTCTGAGCTCAGACTAGCTTGTAACACAGACATCGAGTGGACAAATTCAATAATTGCACCGTGGGAATCGCAGAAGTTAATTCATTGTACCAAATGTGGTTTCAATTTCATACTGTTTCATTTTCTTACATAACTATGACAAGGGAGCCATGAAAACATACTTTCAATTCTGTTGAAGTTATATTTAATTTAAATCTAACTGTAAATTGAATTTTAAGCTTTAAAACTATATTTTGTAGTGCAATATTACATTACTATTCATTCATTCATTCATTTTCTTCCCCTTAATCCATTTCTGGGTTGGGGGGTGGCAGTCAGAGCTGCACCCAGTCCACAGAGCACCAGCCCCTCACTGATCCTCCTGCAGGTGGTGAGTCCACAGGAGCCTTGATCTTTCAGTGGGGGCTTCAGGCAACTTGCATCCTCAAGGCACATTGTGGGTGTCTGCCCAAACTAATAAGAAGTGTGAAAGAGGCTATCCATTAATTTCATTAATTCAGGATTTTGTGTGGCTTATGATTCAACTCAGAAGCTCTGAACCAATTGATTGTGTAAAGAAAGAATCCCTAACGGCCTCTCATTCTATCTAGACGGCTGAGATTAGTAGAAAAGGCAACAGACTATTGCAAATATGGTTTATAATTATCCATCCATCCATCTTCTACCCTTTAATCCATTTCTGGGTCAGGGGGGTGGCAGTCAGAGATGCCACCCAAGTCTCATAGCACCAGCCCCTCACTGACCCTCTGCAGGTGGTGAGTCCACAGGAGGACGGCTGCTCTCTGAGTGTGAGCATAGCCTTGATCTTTCAGTGGGGGCTTTGGGCAAAGTGGGGTTAAGTGTCTTGCCCAAGGACACAACAACAGCAGTCATCAGTGGGAGTCGGTGGAGAAGGTGCAGAGGTGGGAATTGAACCCACGACCTTCTGGGCTTAAGGCCAATGCTCTACCAACTGAGCTACTGTCGCCCCGGTTTATAATTACAAGATGTTTATTCAGTTTCCTTGATCCCCTTCAGTGGTGTAGTCTCAGGCCCCAGTGAATGTCCCCATCAAGTCAGCAACCAAACCTACGCCAATGCGATATACGGATATATTGATATATCGATATCTCTGCGGACATCTCCACACAGCCCTCTCCTATGCCAGAGTGTATTTGTAATAACCTACACTGTTGTGTGTGTCCAGGGGAGAGGCTGTACATTGTCATGGAGCTGATCAACGGCGTTCCTCTGGCTGAATACTTGAACTCTCTGAAGGAGAAGAACCAGAGTTTCACTGAACAGAGAGTGTGGAACATCTTCATCCAGGTGGGCTCCAAACTCTCCTCACTTCAGCCAAAGCAAGTGAATATGAGTCGCATAAGAATAAATACTGACATTAGAAACTTTTGTCTGGATTTCAAGCCATTCTTCTTCTATTCTACCATCAAAGACAGACCTGGAAATGTTTCAGGAATTTTTTGGCACAAATGCTACAAATATATACCCTCTAATGCAGGGGTCTCCAACCTGTAGCCTTGGAGCCACCAGTAGCTTCCCACCCCCTTACAGGTAGCGCGCCGAAGGATTTAGAAATGAACTAATCAAATGAAATACTTAATATTTCAGATTCTAAGATTAATTATTGTTATTAATTATTGTAAATACACTGACATTGTGCACTAGTAATAAATATGCAATGATAAATATTGACTATACTCAATATTAGGCTCCTTCACACCAATATATCACCACATTTTTACCAGGACCGCTTAAAGGAGTAGCTCTCTGCCTTTATCATCCCATGAAAGTAGCTCTCTGGGTGAAAAAGGTTAACCTGGCAAAAGCCAGATTGATGATGATTGGATGCAATGACAGTGATTGGATGCAAAATAACTTTCTCCAGCTAAACACAGAAAAAACTGAAATTATTGTTTTCGGACCTCAAAAACAAAGAGAGAGCGTTATCTGCCACCTCCAGTCTCTCTCCCTGAAACCCTCAACTCAGGTCAGAAATCTAGGAGTAATAATGGACTCAGACTTAAATTTCAATAGCCACATATCATCTGTGACATCATCAGCTTACTTCCACCTAAGAAACATTGCTAAAATTAGGAACATTGTGTCTAAAGCAGACTTGGAGATTCTTATCCACGCATTTGTCTCCAGTCGATTGGACTACTGCAATGGCTTGTTCACAGGTCTCTCTAAACAAGCGGTAAAACAGCTGCAGTACATCCAAAATGCTGCAGCTCGAGTCCTGACTAGAACCAGGAAGTACGACCACATTAGTCCGGTCCTCAGGTCTCTGCACTGGCTTCCTGTTCCTCAGAGAATAGACTTCAAAGCAGCTTTACTTGTGTACAAGTCTCTCCACGGCCTCTCGCACCAGGGTACATCCGCGACATGTTGGTGCCATATGAACCAACTCGGGCTCTGAGGAGCACAGGGACTGGACTTCTGTTAGTGCCAAGAGTCGGAACTAGACATGGGGAGGCTGCGTTTCAGATTCATGCAGCTAGAGTCTGGAACCGTCTTCCCGAGAGTGTGAGACAGGCGTCTACTCTAGCAGTTTTTAAAACTGAACTGAAAACAGTTCTTTTTAGCTGTGCATACAAGTGAATGATTTTATATTTGTTTTTATCTTTAATCTTTTTAATGCGCTATGATTATTTATGATTATTTATGATTGTAATCCCTTGTGTGATTTTAATGTTTTACGGTTTTTAACTACTTGTGTGATTTTATATATCTTGTGCTCTTAATCTGTCTTTTTATGTTTACTTAAATTCTAATGTTTGATGATTTATGCATGATGTTATATGGGTTGTGAGGCGCTTTGCGTTGCCTTGTGTAGGAAAGGCGCTCTATAAATAAACGTTGATTGATTGATTGATTGATGATTGTGTAGAAATCTAACGCGTTCTCCGCGATATCAATCTGGGATTTCTCCCGGAGAATCCTTTCGGGGAAAGGAGGGGTAAGCAGCAGAATACTTGAAGCTGATTGGGCGAAGTGACGCTGTGTGCCCGCCTACCAAGGTTGCCGTCCAGAAATGTACAAAGCGCCTCTCGCTGTTCATCTTTCAAAAAAGAAATTGGAGATTCTGCTAAAACTGACTTTGCGTCCGTCCTCCTGCGTAGCCATGTTTGTTTTGCTTCGGCCCGGCACTTCTTGCTTTCGTAAAACCCGGATATCCCGCCCTAAACCCCCAGACTGGCGCGTGATTGGCTCGCACACCCAGTGGTTCGACTCGAAAAGTGTAAGCGGGAGCGGTACAAGATGTATTCTCGAGTGTTTGTGAACTTACAAATACCGCGAGAATTCAGCTTGCAGGCAAGGTTAGAAAAAGGTTGGAGACACCTGTTCTAATCTGTCCAAAAGGGTTCATGGTAGAGTAGGACTGGTGATAATGGGACTTATGTTATGGAACCCTGTGATAGTGTGCGGGTGTGTGTGTCTCTCTGTCTGTGTGTGTGTGTGTGTGTGTGTGTTTATGTATGTTTGTGCGTGTGTGTTCAGATGTGTCTGGCTCTCAGGTACTTGCATCGGGAGAAAAACATTGTGCACCGGGACCTGTCACCGAACAATATCATGTTAGGAGAACAGGACTGGGTCACCATCAGTGAGACACGCACAAATGCACACACACACGCACGCACACACACACACACAGAGCTCTAATTGTCTTTCTAACCTGACTCTCCTCCTGCAGCTGACTTTGGCCTGGCCAAACAGAAGCAGGAGAACAGCAAGCTCACATCAGTTGTGGGCACAATTCTCTACTCCTGGTGAGTTTAATGTTATTAGAAACTTTCCTTAGACTTCAGTGACTGTGTGTGTTGAAGGAGCAGTGTCTGTAGTCAGAGCTCTACATCCCCGCTCTCAACTCTGGTCTTTGGGTAATGACTAAAAGGTCGAGATCCCAGATAGAAGGGGTCCAAATGAGTTTCCTCTAGAGTGGCTGAGCGCTCCCTTAGAGACAGGTTGAGGAGCTCATGGGAGGAGCTCGGAGTAGAGATGCTGCTCCCTTAAAGATAGGGTGACGAGGTATGGTGAAAAGCTGAGTGAAGTGTCGGGTGGTTTCTGCTAAGACTCCGGCCACAGAAGAAATGGAAGAAAATGGATGAATGGACCTTGGATGGAGAGTTAAATCAAAATACAGTCTATATGTAAGATTTAATACCAAATTTTTACATTCTTAATAATGTGTGCAAAAGAGTAAAAAGAAAACCATTCCATAAAAATAATGACAGAGGTCTGTAATGTTCATCATAGGTTCACTTCAACTGTGAGAGACAGAATGTGAAAAAAAAATCCAGGAATTCACATTGTAGGATTTTTAAAGAATTTATTTGTAAATTATGGTGGAAAATAAGTATTTGGTCAATAACAAAAATTCAACTCAATACTTTGTAATATAACCTTTGTTGGCAATAACAGGTCAAACGATTACTATAGGTCTTTACCAGGTTTGCACACACAGTAGCTGGTATTTTGGCCCATTCCTCCATGCAGATCTTCTCGAGAGCAGTGAACACGGACTTTCAGCTCCCTCCACAGATGTTCAATGGGGTTGAGGTCTGGAGACTGGCGAGGCCACTCCAGGACTTTCAAATGCTTCTTACGGAGCCACTCCAGGACTTTCAAATGCTTCTTACGGAGCCACTCCTTCGTTGCGCGGGCGGTGTGTTTGGGATCATTGTCATGCTGGAAGACCCAGCCACGTTTCATCTTCAAAGCTCTCACTGATGGAAGGAGGTTTTGGCTCAAAATCTCACGATACATGGCCCATTCATTCTTTTCTTAACACGGATCAGTCGTCCTGTCCCCTTAGCAGAAAAACAGCCCCAAAGCATGACGTTTCCACCCCCATGCTTCACAGTAGGTATGGTGTTCTTGGGATGCAACTCAGTATTCTTCTTCCTCCAAACACGACGAGTTGAGTTTATACCAAACAGTTGTACTTTGGTTTCATCTGACCACATGACATTCTCCCAATCCTCTGCTGTATCATCCATGTGCTCTCTGACAAACTTCAGACGGGCCTGGATCATCCATGTGCTCTCTGACAAACTTCAGACGGGCCTGGATCATCCATGTGCTCTCTGACAAACTTCAGACGGGCCTGGACATGCACTGGCTTCAGCAGGGGGACACGTCTGGCACTGCAGGGTTTGATTCCCTGTCGTCGTAGTGTGTTACTGATGGTAACCTTTGTTACTTTGGTCCCAGCTCTCTGCAGGTCAGGATTGAAAATGAATTCCTGGATATTTTTTTTCACATTCTGTCTCTCACAGTTGAAGTGTACTTATGATGAACATTACAGACTTATTCATGAGTTGACATTACCACAGTGCTAGCCTTAAGCAGTGCACCAATAACATGGGCAGACGTTTTGTCAAGACGGTTGCTAGGACAAGCTGGAGTTTCTCCCTCAATTGAATGCATTTCATTGATCAACCCTCATATCAGATCAGATTCAGATCAGATCAGATTCATTTATTGGCCATGTGCAGTATAAAAACTACATTGGAATACATTTGCAAAAAAGGTACTCTGTGTGCACCGACAGAATAAAAAGCACAATACAATGTAATATAAAAGAATAAAAAAACAGCTGACACTGTGGCACCGATCAACAAAACGATACAAGGGGTAAAAGCAGGAATTAAAGTGCTCTGTTTAGGCACCTAACAGCCTGTGGAAAGAAGCTGTTAGCATAGCGAGATGTCTTGCATCTCAGATGCAGATGCAGATATGGCTCATATCTGGATTTACAAAGACAATATCACTTTATAGACACCAGAGCAATAAAACCACAGATTTCTGTTCAAAACGGTGAGTGTGACGCGTATGGTTACTGAGCTAGAGGAGTTTACTTTTACATGTAGCACTTCCCTTTTGGGCTTCATTGAGCTAGCGGGTTAGCATTGTCCATCTGTGTACAGTGTGTGGTATTGACACTTGTGTTGTGCTTGTGCTGCAGTCCAGAGGTGGTGAAGAGCGAGCCGTATGGTGAGAAGGCTGACCTCTGGGCTCTGGGCTGTGTGCTGTATCAGATGGTTACCCTGCAGCCGCCATTCTACAGCGCCAACATGCTGTCACTCGCTAACAAGGTACTACCAACATACTCCCACTCGCTAACAAGGTGCTACCAACATGCTCTCACTCGCTAACAAGGTGCTACCAACATACTCCCACTCGCTAACAAGGTGCTACCAACATACTCCCACTCGTTAACAAGGTGCTACCAACATACTCCCACTCGCTAACAAGGTGCTACCAACATGCTCTCACTCGCTAACAAGGTGCTACCAACATACTCCCACTCGCTAACAAGGTGCTACCAACATACTCCCACTCGTTAACAAGGTGCTACCAACATACTCCCACTCGCTAACAAGGTGCTACCAACATACTCCCACTCGCTAACAAGGTGCTAGCAACATGCTCTCACTCGCTAACAAGGTGCTACCAACATAATCCCACTCGCTAACAAGGTGCTACCAACATGCTCTCACTCGTTAACAAGGTGCTACCAACATACTCCCACTCGCTAACAAGGTGCTAGCAACATGCTCTCACTCGCTAACAAGGTGCTACCAACATACTCCCACTCGCTAACAAGGTGCTACCAACATGCTCTCACTCGCTAACAAAGGTGCTACCAACATACTCCCACTCGCTAACAAGGTGCTACCAACATACTCCCACTCGTTAACAAGGTGCTACCAACATACTCCCACTCGCTAACAAGGTGCTACCAACATGCTCTCACTCGCTAACAAGGTGCTACCAACATACTCCCACTCGCTAACAAGGTGCTACCAACATGCTCTCACTCGCTAACAAGGTGCTACCAACATACTCCCACTCGCTAACAAGGTGCTACCAACATACTCCCACTCGTTAACAAGGTGCTACCAACATACTCCCACTCGCTAACAAGGTGCTACCAACATGCTCTCACTCGCTAACAAGGTGCTACCAACATACTCCCACTCGCTAACAAGGTGCTACCAACATGCTCTCACTCGCTAACAAGGTGCTACCAACATACTCCCACTCGCTAACAAGGTGCTACCAACATACTCCCACTCGTTAACAAGGTGCTACCAACATACTCCCACTCGCTAACAAGGTGCTACCAACATGCTCTCACTCGCTAACAAGGTGCTACCAACATACTCCCACTCGCTAACAAGGTGCTACCAACATACTCCCACTCGCTAACAAGGTGCTACCAACATACTCCCACTCGTTAACAAGGTGCTACCAACATACTCCCACTCGCTAACAAGGTGCTACCAACATACTCCCACTCGTTAACAAGGTGCTACCAACATACTCCCACTCGTTAACAAGGTGCTACCAACATGCTCTCACTCGTTAACAAGGTGCTACCAACATACTCCTACTCGTTAACAAGGTGCTACCAACATACTCCCACTCGCTAACAAGGTGCTACCAACATGCTCTCACTCGCTAACAAGGTGCTACCAACATACTCTCACTCGCTAACAAGGTGCTACCAACATACTCCCACTCGCTAACAAGGTGCTACCAACATACTCCCACTCGCTAACAAGGTGCTACCAACATGCTCTCACTCGCTAACAAGGTGCTACCAACATACTCCCACTCGCTAACAAGGTGCTACCAACATACTCCCACTCGCTTACAAGGTGCTACCAACATACTCCCACTTGCTAACAAGGTGCTACCAACATACTCCCACTCGCTAACAAGGTGCTACCAACATACTCCCACTCGCTAACAAGGTGCTACCAACATACTCCCACTCGCTAACAAGGTGCTACCAACATACTCCCACTCGCTAACAAGGTGCTAGCAACATGCTCTCACTCGCTAACAAGGTGCTACCAACATACTCCCACTCGTTAACAAGGTGCTACCAACATACTCCCACTCGCTAACAAGGTGCTACCAACATACTCCCACTCGCTAACAAGGTGCTACCAACATACTCCCACTCGTTAACAAGGTGCTACCAACATACTCCCACTCGTTAACAAGGTGCTACCAACATACTCCCACTCGTTAACAAGGTGCTACCAACATACTCCCACTCGCTAACAAGGTGCTAGCAACATACTCCCACTCGCTAACAAGGTGCTACCAACATACTCCCACTCGTTAACAAGGTGCTACCAACATACTCCCACTCGCTAACAAGGTGCTAGCAACATGCTCTCACTCGCTAACAAGGTGCTACCAACATACTCCCACTCGCTAACAAGGTGCTAGCAACATGCTCTCACTCGCTAACAAGGTGCTACCAACATACTCCTCACTCGCTAACAAGGTGCTACCAACATACTCCCACTCGTTAACAAGGTGCTACCAACATACTCCCACTCGTTAACAAGGTGCTACCAACATACTCCCACTCGCTAACAAGGTGCTAGCCAACATACTCCCACTCGCTAACAAGGTGCTACCAACATACTCCCACTCGCTAACAAGGTGCTAGCAACATACTCCCACTCGCTAACAAGGTGCTACCAACATACTCCCACTCGCTAACAAGGTGCTACCAACATACTCCCACTCGCTAACAAGGTGCTACCAACATGCTCTCACTCGCTAACAAGGTGCTACCAACATACTCCCACTCGTTAACAAGGTGCTACCAACATACTCCCACTCGCTAACAAGGTGCTACCAACATACTCCCACTCGTTAACAAGGTGCTACCAACATACTCCCACTCGCTAACAAGGTGCTACCAACATACTCCCACTCGTTAACAAGGTGCTAGCAACATACTCTCACTCGCTAACAAGGTGCTACCAACATACTCCCACTCGTTAACAAGGTGCTACCAACATACTCCCACTCGTTAACAAGGTGCTACCAACATACTCTCACTCGCTAACAAGGTGCTAGCAACATACTCTCACTCGCTAACAAGGTGCTACCAACATACTCTCACTCGCTAACAAGGTGCTAGCAACATACTCTCACTCGCTAACAAGGTGCTACCAACATGCTCTCACTCGCTAACAAGGTGCTACCAACATACTCCCACTCGCTAACAAGGTACTACCAACATACTCTCACTCGCTAACAAGGTACTACCAACATACTCTCACTCGCTAACAAGGTGCTACCAACATACTCCCACTCGCTAACAAGGTACTACCAACATACTCTCACTCGCTAACAAGGTACTACCAACATACTCTCACTCGCTAACAAGGTGCTACCAACATACTCCCACTCGCTAACAAGGTACTACCAACATACTCCCACTCGCTAACAAGGTACTACCAACATACTCCCACTCGCTAACAAGGTACTACCAACATACTCTCACTCGCTAACAAGGTACTACCAACATACTCTCACTCGCTAACAAGGTGCTACCAACATGCTCTCACTCGCTAACAAGGTACTACCAACATACTCCCACTCGTTAACAGGGTGCTACCAACATACTCCCACTCGCTAACAAGGTGCTACCAACATACTCCCACTCGCTAACAAGGTGCTACCAACATACTCCCACTCGCTAACAAGGTGCTACCAACATACTCCCACTCGTTAACAAGGTGCTACCAACATACTCTCACTCGCTAACAAGGTGCTACCAACATACTCTCACTCGCTAACAAGGTGCTACCAACATACTCTCACTCGCTAACAAGGTGCTACCAACATGCTCTCACTCGCTAACAAGGTACTACCAACATACTCCCACTCGCTAACAAGGTACTACCAACATACTCTCACTCGCTAACAAGGTACTACCAACATACTCTCACTCGCTAACAAGGTGCTACCAACATACTCTCACTCGCTAACAAGGTACTACCAACATACTCTCACTCGCTAACAAGGTGCTACCAACATGCTCTCACTCGCTAACAAGGTGCTAGCAACATACTCTCACTCGCTAACAAGGTACTACCAACATACTCCCACTCGTTAACAAGGTGCTACCAACATACTCCCACTCGTTAACAAGGTGCTACCAACATACTCCCACTCGCTAACAAGGTGCTACCAACATACTCACACTCGCTAACAAGGTGCTAGCAACATGCTCTCACTCGCTAACAAGGTGCTACCAACATACTCCCACTCGCTAACAAGGTGCTAGCAACATACTCCCACTCGCTAACAAGGTACTACCAACATACTCTCACTCGCTAACAAGGTGCTAGCAACATGCTCTCACTCGCTAACAAGGTGCTAGCAACATACTCTCACTCGCTAACAAGGTGTTAGCAACATGCTCCTCACTCGCTAACAAGGTGCTAGCAACATGCTCTCACTCGCTAACAAGGTGCTAGCAACATGCTCCCACTCGCTAACAAGGTGCTAGCAACATGCTCTCACTCGCTAACAAGGTGCTAGCAACATGCTCTCACTCGCTAACAAGGTGCTACCAACATACTCTCACTCGCTAACAAGGTGCTAGCAACATGCTCTCACTCGCTAACAAGGTGCTACCAACATGCTCTCACTCGCTAACAAGGTGCTACCAACATACTCCCACTCGCTAACAAGGTGCTAGCAACATGCTCTCACTCGCTAACAAGGTTCTACCAACATACTCCCACTCGCTAACAAGGTGCTAGCAACATACTCCCACTCGCTAACAAGGTGCTACCAACATACTCCCACTCGCTAACAAGGTGCTAGCAACATACTCCCACTCGCTAACAAGGTACTACCAACATACTCCCACTCGCTAACAAGGTGCTACCAACATGCTCTCACTCGCTAACAAGGTGCTACCAACATACTCTCACTCGCTAACAAGGTGCTACCAACATAATCCCACTCGCTAACAAGGTGCTAGCAACATGCTCTCACTCGCTAACAAGGTGCTAGCAACATGCTCTCACTCGCTAACAAGGTGCTACCAACATGCTCTCACTCGCTAACAAGGTGCTAGCAACATGCTCTCACTCGCTAACAAGGTGCTAGCAACATACTCCCACTCGCTAACAAGGTGCTACCAACATACTCCCACTCGTTAACAAGGTGCTACCAACATACTCCCACTCGCTAACAAGGTACTACCAACATACTCTCACTCGCTAACAAGGTGCTACCAACATACTCTCACTCGCTAACAAGGTGCTACCAACATACTCTCACTCGCTAACAAGGTGCTACCAACATACTCTCACTCGCTAACAAGGTGCTACCAACATACTCCCACTCGTTAACAAGGTGCTACCAACATACTCCCACTCGTTAACAAGGTGCTACCAACATGCTCCCACTCGTTAACAAGGTGCTAGCAACATACTCCCACTCGCTAACAAGGTACTACCAACATACTCTCACTCGCTAACAAGGTGCTACCAACATACTCCCACTCGTTAACAAGGTGCTAGCAACATACTCCCACTCGCTAACAAGGTACTACCAACATACTCTCACTCGCTAACAAGGTGCTACCAACATACTCCCACTCGTTAACAAGGTGCTACCAACATACTCTCACTCGCTAACAAGGTGCTAGCATCTTCATTTAAGGCACATTATCACAGCTGCCTCCTCCATGTTTTATGCCATTCTTTTCTTTTTTCATTCTAGTTTTGAGCTAAATAGTTTTGTGCTGCAGCTCGTTTACGTTAAGGCTAACGATGGTGACGACACAGATTGTAGCTTTAATGCCTTTCTCAAACTGACACCAAACACATGTGTAGAGAAATATGTTTTATAATGTTGTGTGTGTTGTGTAGATTGTGCAGGCCGAGTATGAACCAGTGCAGAGCGGCCGCTTCTCTGACAGAGTGCTCCACATGATCCGATGGTGAGACTTCAATGACCTTCAATGACCTTCAATGACCTTCAATGACCTTCAATGACCTTCAATGACCTTCAAGGACCTTCACAAACACACTTTAAATCATTTGAGCTCTGAGAAAATGTCTGAAAATGCTGTTTGTAAATGCTTAATAATTAATAGAAATCTGTCACATTTTTCTGTCTCGCTCTGTCTCCTATTGTTTTAGAGTTTAGTGCGTCTTACACACAGTAGTGAGTGTGAGGTTGCCGTGGGTAACGCCGGCTCTCACCCCCTCCTTCTCACCCCCTCCCTCTCGCCCCCTCCCTCTCACCCCCTCCCTCTCACCCCCTCCCTCTCGCCCCCTCCCTCTCACCCCCTCCCTCTCGCCCCCTCCCTCTCACCCCCTCCCTCTCACCCCCTCCCTCTCACACCCTCCCTCTCGCCCCCTCCCTCTCACCCCCTCCCTCTCACCCCCTCCCTCTCCCCCCTCCCTCTCGCCCCCTCCCTCTCGCCCCTCCCTCTCACCCCCTCCCTCTCACCCCCTCCCTCTCGCCCCCCTCCCTCTCGCCCCCTCCCTCTCACCCCCTCCCTCTCACCCCCTCCCTCTCACCCCCTCCCTCTCACCCCCTCCCTCTCGCCCCCTCCCTCTCGCCCCCCTCCCCTCTCACCCCCTCCCTCTCCCCCCTCCCTCTCGCCCCTCCCTCTCACCCCCTCCTTCTCACCCCTCCCTCTCGCCCCCTCCCTCTCACCCCTCCTTCTCACCCCCTCCCTCTCGCCCCTCCCTCTCACCCCTCCTCTCACCCCCTCCCTCTCGCCCCCTCCCCTCTCGCCCCCTCCTCTCACCCCCTCCTTCTCACCCCCTCCCTCTCACCCCCTCCTTACTCACCCCCTCCCTCTCACCCCCTCCCTCTCACCCCCTCCCTCTCGCCCCCTCCCTCTCACCCCCTCCTCTCACCCCCTCCCTCTCACCCCCCTCCCGCTCGCCCCCTCCCTCTCACCCCCCTCCTTCTCACCCCCTCCTCTCTCGCCCCCTCCCTCTCGCCCCCTCCCTCTCACCCCCTCCTTCTCACCCCCTCCCCCCCCTCCTCTCGCCCCCCTCCCTCTCACCCCCTCCCTCGCTCACCCTCCATCTCACCCCCCTCCTCTCTCCCCCTCCCTCTCACCCCCTCCCTCTCACCCCTCCCTCTCGCCCCCCTCCCTCTCGCCCCCTCCCTCTCACCCCCCTCCCTCTCACTCCCCTCCCTCTCACCCCCTCCCTCTCACCCCCTCCCTCTCACCCCCCTCCCTCCGGCCCCCTCCCTCTCGCCCCCTCCCCTCTCGCCCCCTCCCTCTCACCCCCTCCCTCTCACCCCTCCCTCTCGCCCCCTCCCTCTCACCCCCCCTCCCTTCTCACCCCCTCCCTCTCACCCCCCCCCCTCTCACCCCCCCTCCCTCTCACCCCCTCCTCCTCTCGCCCCCTCCTCTCACCCCTCCCTCTCACCCCCTCCCTCTCCCCTCCCCCCCCTCTCGCCCCTCCCTCTCACCCTCCCTCACCCTCCCTCTCGCCCCCTCCTCTCACCCCTCTCCTCACCCCCTCCCTCTCTCTCCCCCCCTCTCGCCCCTCCCTCTCACCCCCTCCTCTCACCCCTCCCTCTCACCCCTCCTTCTCACCCCCTCCCTCTCACCCCCTCCCTCTCACCCCCCTCTCTCGCCCCCTCCCTCTCACCCCTCCCTCTCTCACCCCTCCCTCTCACCCCCTCCCTCTCGCCCCCTCCCTCTCACCCCCTCCTTCTCACCCCCTCCCTCTCGCCCCCCTCCCTCTCGCCCCCTCCCTCTCACCCCCTCCTTCTCACCCCCTCCTTCTCCCCCCTCCCTCTCGCCCCCTCCCTCTCACCCCTCCTTCTCACCCCTCCCTCTCCCCCCTCCCTCTCCTCGCCCCCTCCTCTCACCCCCTCCCTCTCACCCCTCCCTCTCGCCCCCTCCCTCTCGCCCCCTCCTCTCACCCCCTCCCTCTCACCCCTCCCTCTCTCCCCCCCTCCCTCTCGCCCCCTCCCTCTCGCCCCCTCCCTCTCACCCCCTCCCTCTCACCCCCTCCCTCTCGCCCCCTCCCTCTCACCCCCCTCCTCTCATCCCCTCCCTCTCACCCCCTCCCTCTCACCCCCTCCCTCGCACCCCCTCCCTCTCACCCCCTCCTCTCACCCCTCCCTCTCACCCCTCCCTCTCACCCCCCTCCCTCTCACCCCTTCCCTCTCACCCCCCTCCCTCTCACCCCTCCCTCTCACCCCCTCCCTCTCACCCCTCCCTCTCACCCCCTCCCTCTCACCCCCTCCCTCACCCCCTCCCTCTCTCGCCCCCTCCCTCTCACCCCCTCCTTCTCACCCCTCCCTCTCACCCCCTCCCTCTCGCCCCCCCCTCTCACCCCCTCCCTCTCACCCCCTCCCTCTCGCCCCCTCCCTCTCACCCCCCTCCCTCTCACCCCCTCCCTCTCACCCCCTCCCTCTCACCCCCTCCCTCTCGCCCCCTCCCTCTCGCCCCCCCTCCCTCTCGCCCCCTCCCTCTCGCCCCCTCCCTCTCACCCCCTCCTTCTCACCCCCTCCCTCTCACCCCCTCCCTCTCGCCCCCTCCCTCTCACCCCCTCCCCTCCCTCACCCCCTCCCTCTCACCCCCTCCCTCTCGCCCCCTCCCTCTCATAGGTTGTTGAGCCCGTCTCCAGAGCAGCGTCCAGACATTGTGCAGGTCAGCTCCAGCATCTCGGAGCTCATGATGAGCGCCATGGACCGCCTCCACAGCTCCCAGCATGCACTGCAGCAGAGGGCACAGAGAGACCGCAGCAGGGCCCACCGCTACTGCAGGGAGAGGAGCCAGGCGGAGAGGTCAGAGGTCAGAGCTGCCTCCAAACTCTCAACACACCTCCTCTGTGTTTGACTGTCTTTAGTATAGAATTTTAGGAGTCATAAGCCTTCTTTCCACCAGCCGTACTCAGTGTTGGGCACGTTACTTTGAAAAAGTAATTAGTTATAGTTACTAGTTACTTCTCCCAAAAAGTAACTGAGTTACTAACGGAGTTACTCCACTATAAAAGTAACTAGTTACCAGTAAAAGTAACTATTGCGTTACTTTTTCGTTTTGTTCTGGAACATAATGTGCACCCGACGTGCGCATTTTTACCTTTAACAGTGCCAATATTTCCATCTAGAAAAGGCTGTTTTGCTGAAGTCCTGTTCACTCTTCATCTCTCTCTGTGCTGTAAGCACTAAACACAAACACGCTCCACTGTGAATGTGGAAACACCGGTGACGAGCGGTGAGGCTGGTGAAGCACTGACTTCAGTCCAATCAGATGAACATATACATCATATAAATCAAGTGGACAGTTTGTTTGGCTACAGCAAAATATGTTTCATGCATTGTTTGTTCATACAAAACGCAAAACTGTGAGTTATGGGTCTTACCTTATAGCTATACCTTATAAATGACCTGCACAGTCCACTTCGGTTCAGACCAGTTCCTTGTTTAAATCCAGTGAATGGTTTGAGCGTAGATATGTAATCCTCCATTTGGAAATGAGTCCAATGAGTTTTAAAAAGAAAAACAAAACGCGTGTGTCCTCCATAAACTCCTCTGTTTTGCTGCAGCCGGCTGCATCCAATTTCTAAAACCAACCGTCTTACACTTCACCTCTCTTTCTTATCATTCCTATAGTCATTGAAAAATTACCCTATGTGCATTTTAGATTATGTAAAAATGTGTTATATGTATGTTAGCCAAACCTGTTGCTGTCCTTAGCAGATAAACCAGGAAGAGCAAGGAGCTTATCGATGGAATTGTATGCAGCCGACTTCTGCGCTCACATGCGCTCCTCTGTGGCTGACCTCACGGTGATACAAGCCGTGGTTGAGCGCGATTAAGACCCATATTTGTTTCAAAAACACACTTTATGACCATCCTCTCAACTGTAGACATGTGGATTGTAAAGGAAATATGTTTTACATCAGTCAATAATTGCTGAGAGGTTTTCTCATCCTCCCTTCTCTCATGACAACACGTTCATTGTGCGTCTTTAGTAACGCGCAGTAACGGGATGTCGGAAATGATAACGGCGTTATAGTTACTGTCAAAGTAATTAGTTAGATTACTCGTTACTGAAAAAAGTAACGGCGTTAGTAACGCCGTTACTAGTAACGCCGTTATTCCCATCACTGGCCGTACTCTACTCTACTCTACTCTACTCTACTCTACTCTACTCTACTCTACTCTACTCTACTCTACTCTACTCTACTCTACTCTACTCTACTCTACTCTACTCACTCATACTGCTGGTCCTGTTTAACCAGTACCAGATCCTCTTCAGTCCCTCTTGGCCCCGCTTCTTTCCAGGCCGAGCTGGTACTAAAGTGTTCTAACTGACAGTGATTGGCCAGAGTGCTGCTGGAAGCCATGGTTACCAAGGAATTTCCCTAGATACTGCTTTGTTGTGAGTAGGTTGCTAGGATATGGTACCACATACTAAAGATAGATAGATAGATACTTCATTGATCCCTGTAGGAGAAATCCAGGTGTCCAGTAGCAGCAAAAATAAAATTGATCATTCTAAAAAGCTAATTCAATCCAATCCAATTTATTCTTGTATAGCCCTAGGTCACAACAGAAGTCATCTCAGAGACTTAACAAAACCATTGAAATCACCAACACAGGTCAGAGAATCAACAGTTAAAACACATGAAGAATATAAAGCACACACAGAAGAAAATGTCCATACATGTTGTAGAATGCTAAAGTGTCCTGATCATCACCAATCCTTTCTGTTGGACACTAACTGTCCAACAAGACCCTCCTGCATCGACAAGGAACAACTCTTAAAAAACCCAGTGGGAAAACGTGAGAAACCTTGGGGAGCACTAGGGAAACCCACAGGGAGGGAGACCCATATGAGAAAGGGATCCGCTCCTCCGGACGGACAGGCTAATGATAGTATTCATCAGCAACAGTCCTTCAGGTCACAGCTGCAGAGGTGGAGTAGCCTCTGGGTGGAGCAGGACGGGTCACAGCTGCAGAGGTGGAGTAGCCTCTGGGTGGAGCAGGACGGGTCACAGCTGCAGAGGTGGAGTAGCCTCTGGGTGGAGCAGGACGGGTCACAGCAGCAGAGGTGGAGTAGCCTCTGGGTGGAGCAGGACAGGTCACAGCAGCAGAGGTGGAGTAGCCTCTGGGTGGAGCAGGACAGGTCACAGCAGCAGAGGTGGAGTAGCCTCTGGGTGGAGCAGGACGGCTCACAGCAGCAGAGGTGGAGTAGCCTCTGGGTGGAGCAGGACAGGTCACAGCAGCAGAGGTGGAGTAGCCTCTGGGTGGAGCAGGACGGCTCACAGCAGCAGAGGTGGAGTAGCCTCTGGGTGGAGCAGAACGGGTCACAGCAGCAGAGGTGGAGTAGCCTCTGGGTGGAGCAGGACAGGTCACAGCAGCAGAGGTGGAGTAGCCTCTGGGTGGAGCCGGACGGCTCACAGCAGCAGAGGTGGAGTAGCCTCTGGGTGGAGCAGGACGGGTCACAGCAGCAGAGGTGGAGTAGCCTCTGGGTGGAGCCGGACGGCTCACAGCAGCAGAGGTGGAGTAGCCTCTGGGTGGAGCAGGACGGGTCACGGCAGCAGAGGTGGAGTAGCCTCTGGGTGGAGCCGGACGGCTCACAGCAGCAGAGGTGGAGTAGCCTCTGGGTGGAGCAGGACGGGTCACAGCAGCAGAGGTGGAGTAGCCTCGGGATGGAGCAGGACAGGTCACAGCAGCAGAGGTGGAGTAGCCTCTGGGTGGAGCAGGACAGGTCACAGCAGCAGAGGTGGAGTAGTCTCTGGGTGGAGCAGGACAGGTCACAGCAGCAGAGGTGGAGTAGCCTCTGGGTGGAGCAGGACAGGTCACAGCAGCAGAGGTGGAGTAGCCTCTGGGTGGAGCAGGACAGGTCACAGCAGCAGAGGTGGAGTAGCCTCTGGGTGGAGCAGGACAGGTCACAGCAGCAGAGGTGGAGTAGCCTCTGGGTGGAGCAGGTCGGGTCACAGCAGCAGAGGTGGAGTAGCCTCTGGGTGGAGCAGGTCGGGTCACAGCAGCAGAGGTGGAGTAGCCTCTGGGTGGAGCAGGTCGGGTCACAGCAGCAGAGGTGGAGTAGCCTCTGGGTGGAGCAGGACGGGTCACAGCAGCAGAGGTGGAGTAGCCTCTGGGTGGAGCAGGACGGGTCACAGCAGCAGAGGTGGAGTAGCCTCTGGGTGGAGCAGGACGGGTCACAGCAGCAGAGGTGGAGGAGCCTCTGGGTGGAGCAGGACGGGTCACAGCAGCAGAGGTGGAGTAGCCTCTAGGTGGAGCAGGACGGGTCACAGCAGCAGAGGTGGAGTAGCCTCTGGGTGGAGCAGGACGGGTCACAGCAGCAGAGGTGGAGTAGCCTCTGGGTGGAGCAGGACGTGTCACAGCAGCAGAGGTGGAGTAGCCTCTGGGTGGAGCAGGACGGGTCACAGCAGCAGAGGTGGAGTAGCCTCTAGGTGGAGCAGGACGGGTCACAGCAGCAGAGGTGGAGTAGCCTCTGGGTGGAGCAGGACGGGTCACAGCAGCAGAGGTGGAGTAGCCTCTGGGTGGAGCAGGACGTGTCACAGCAGCAGAGGTGGAGTAGCCTCGGGATGGAGCAGGACAGGTCACAGCAGCAGAGGTGGAGTAGCCTCTGGGTGGAGCAGGACAGGTCACAGCAGCAGAGGTGGAGTAGTCTCTGGGTGGAGCAGGACAGGTCACAGCAGCAGAGGTGGAGTAGCCTCTGGGTGGAGCAGGACAGGTCACAGCAGCAGAGGTGGAGTAGCCTCTGGGTGGAGCAGGACAGGTCACAGCAGCAGAGGTGGAGTAGCCTCTGGGTGGAGCAGGACAGGTCACAGCAGCAGAGGTGGAGTAGCCTCTGGGTGGAGCAGGTCGGGTCACAGCAGCAGAGGTGGAGTAGCCTCTGGGTGGAGCAGGTCGGGTCACAGCAGCAGAGGTGGAGTAGCCTCTGGGTGGAGCAGGTCGGGTCACAGCAGCAGAGGTGGAGTAGCCTCTGGGTGGAGCAGGACGGGTCACAGCAGCAGAGGTGGAGTAGCCTCTGGGTGGAGCAGGACGGGTCACAGCAGCAGAGGTGGAGTAGCCTCTGGGTGGAGCAGGACGGGTCACAGCAGCAGAGGTGGAGGAGCCTCTGGGTGGAGCAGGACGGGTCACAGCAGCAGAGGTGGAGTAGCCTCTAGGTGGAGCAGGACGGGTCACAGCAGCAGAGGTGGAGTAGCCTCTGGGTGGAGCAGGACGGGTCACAGCAGCAGAGGTGGAGTAGCCTCTGGGTGGAGCAGGACGTGTCACAGCAGCAGAGGTGGAGTAGCCTCTGGGTGGAGCAGGACGGGTCACAGCAGCAGAGGTGGAGTAGCCTCTGGGTGGAGCAGGACAGGTCACAGCAGCAGAGGTGGAGTAGCCTCTGGGTGGAGCCGGACGGCTCACAGCAGCAGAGGTGGAGTAGCCTCTGGGTGGAGCAGGACGGGTCACAGCAGCAGAGGTGGAGTAGCCTCTGGGTGGAGCCGGACGGCTCACAGCAGCAGAGGTGGAGTAGCCTCTGGGTGGAGCAGGACGGGTCACGGCAGCAGAGGTGGAGTAGCCTCTGGGTGGAGCCGGACGGCTCACAGCAGCAGAGGTGGAGTAGCCTCTGGGTGGAGCAGGACGGGTCACAGCAGCAGAGGTGGAGTAGCCTCTAGGTGGAGCAGGACAGGTCACAGCAGCAGAGGTGGAGTAGCCTCGGGATGGAGCAGGACAGGTCACAGCAGCAGAGGTGGAGTAGCCTCTGGGTGGAGCAGGACAGGTCACAGCAGCAGAGGTGGAGTAGTCTCTGGGTGGAGCAGGACAGGTCACAGCAGCAGAGGTGGAGTAGCCTCTGGGTGGAGCAGGACAGGTCACAGCAGCAGAAGTGGAGTAGCCTCTGGGTGGAGCAGGACAGGTCACAGCAGCAGAGGTGGAGTAGCCTCTGGGTGGAGCAGGTCGGGGTCACAGCAGCAGAGGTGGAGTAGCCTCTGGGTGGAGCAGGACGGGTCACAGCAGCAGAGGTGGAGTAGCCTCTGGGTGGAGCAGGACGGGTCACAGCAGCAGAGGTGGAGTAGCCTCTGGGTGGAGCAGGACGGGTCACAGCAGCAGAGGTGGAGTAGCCTCTGGGTGGAGCAGGACGGGTCACAGCAGCAGAGGTGGAGGAGCCTCTGGGTGGAGCAGGACGGGTCACAGCAGCAGAGGTGGAGTAGCCTCTAGGTGGAGCAGGACGGGTCACAGCAGCAGAGGTGGAGTAGCCTCTGGGTGGAGCAGGACGGGTCACAGCAGCAGAGGTGGAGTAGCCTCTGGGTGGAGCAGGACGTGTCACAGCAGCAGAGGTGGAGTAGCCTCTGGGTGGAGCAGGACGGGTCACAGCAGCAGAGGTGGAGTAGCCTCTAGGTGGAGCAGGACGGGTCACAGCAGCAGAGGTGGAGTAGCCTCTGGGTGGAGCAGGACGGGTCACAGCAGCAGAGGTGGAGTAGCCTCTGGGTGGAGCAGGACGTGTCACAGCAGCAGAGGTGGAGTAGCCTCTGGGTGGAGCAGGACGGGTCACAGCAGCAGAGGTGGAGTAGCCTCTAGGTGGAGCAGGACGGGTCACAGCAGCAGAGGTGGAGTAGCCTCTGGGTGGAGCAGGACAGGTCACAGCAGCAGAGGTGGAGTAGCCTCTAGGTGGAGCAGGACGTGTCACAGCAGCAGAGGTGGAGTAGCCTGAACTGGAGCAACATCTCAGGCAGAAAAAAGCAATAAAAATAAAAATGGTAAAGCACAACATTTCCCAGCGCATTCAAAAGTATAATAGTATAAAGTATAGTATAAAAGTATAAAATATAATACTAGAGTAGAGTAATGGGAATGGGACTATTGTGCAAACTGTACAACTGAAGGATTTGAGTGACTTGTGTGATTTTTTCTATCTAACTTGTATAGCACAATTTAAAACAAATACACTTTTAGGTATTTCAGTAATATAACACACACACACACACACACACACACACACGCACACACACACACACACACACACACACACACGCACACACAGACTCATGGGTCTTCTTGTGTCGTTTTCAGGAGAAACTCTTCCTCAGGGCTGAATCTCCTCATCATCAAACTCCTGCTCAAGGTGAATATGAAAGTGTTTTTTGTGAGATGAAGAGGATACAGGGGTCCCTCACTGTAACACGGGTCACCTTTCACGGCCTCGCTGTTTCAAGGACTTTAGTGTGTGCTTTTTTACAGTGTGCTTCTCCTGCGTCTCTTGTATACTCCAATAACATCATATAACCCTAGTGTAACAAGACACTTTCCTTTACTTAAAGTTAGAAGACTTTGTGGTAGTCCTCTACTAAGTCCTCTACGGAAGGTGCACAAAAATCAGTCTTTTCGTAGCCCTCAGTCCGAGCTCTCTCTGGTCCCTCTCTCTATTGTCTCCCTCTGGTCTTCTTGTTCCTCAGTCCTGCTCCTGCCCTCATCTGGATTTCCTCTGCAGCTGTATTTTACAGTGTATGCACAGCTTTTGACAGCTGCAGCAGCACTCAGATCTAAACAACAGGTTTAATATCACGTGTGAGGGGTTTTACAGCCTTAAAATGTAGAGCTGCTACTTCAAAGATATGTTCTGGGTTATAATTTTATAACACATCACCCCCACAATAAACCAAGGACCACTGTGTGTGTGTGTGTGTGTGTGTGTCCAGGTCTGTGTGTGTCTCAGAACAGACTGAGACAGATCCATGACCCGATCCACAATCTCCTGCTGCAGCTTCACAAGATCCTGTTTGTGTCACAGGTGAGGCCTTCAGATGTGACATCACCTTTACACATCCACAAACCCACACACTGTAGAAGAACCTGATGAGAACTGACTCGCACAGGATTCAAAGACAAAAAAAGAGTTTTGTCTTTTTATTAAGAGTTTTATTATTGTAAAACACAAGGATGTGAAAACAGTGTTTTTAAGCCATTGAATAAAAAGAGTGTGTTCATGATGTTTGGATGGAGGTCTGAATGTTTCTAAAGCTGGAGAGTGAGACACGTGTCCCAGAAACCATCAGTTCTGGGGTCAGTAAAATCTTGTTTCCACAAGCCTGGCTCAGCTCTTCTCTATGGTTGTGTTTCCATAACTCTTTAGAATCAGGTACTGTATTTTAGCAACCTACCCACAACAAACCATTTCTGGGGAAATTCCTGGGTAACCATGGCATCCAGCAGCACTCTGGTCAATTACTGTCAGTTAGAACACTTTCGAACCAGCTCGGCCTGGATAGAACCAGGACCAAGATGGACTGAAGAAGGACCTGGACCTAGTACTAGTACTAGTACTAGTAGTACTAGTACTAGGTCCAAGGTCCAGGTCCTTCTTCAGGGACCTTCAGGGACCTAGTACTGACTAGTACTAGTACTAGTACTAGTAGAGTAGAGTAGAGTAGGGTAGGGTAGAGTAGGGTAGGGTAGGGTTTTTCTGGATGATGACAAATCCAGGTCTGTTCTCTTATGTGCAGCTTCCTCCTGCTCTTCAGCTCGACTCCAGGCGCCGCCTAGTGGACAGGTTTAAGAAGTGCCTGTTTAACTCCCACAGTGATCCTTACAGACTCAAAGAAGAGCTCAGCAAGGTACCAACTGAGATTTGGAAGGAGAAATGTACATAAGTGTGATAACGCTGTGTTTAGCTCCTGCAGATGTCCTCAGACGTGATAGAGATGAGCTTTGTCCCGGACTGGGGCTTGGGACAACACGACAGCTCCGGTAATCCTGCACATCCACACGATCATCTCTCATAAACTATCTGCAGCTTGTTTTATCTGTTTTACTTGCCGGATTTTTTATTTATTTATTCAAAAACTAAAACAGCTCCATTCTTACAAAAGCAATAGTTCTTTTTTTCTGTTTGAACTGCAGGCTTATATCTCTAGTTCCTGGCTCTCAAAGTTTGCTTCTATCACTAGTTTTCACATGCATGTATTCTTGGCCTCATCTCTCTGGTCTCTCTCTTTCTGGTCTCTCTCTCTGGTTTTACTCCATGGTCTGTATTGGGTCTCTCTCTCTGGTCTCTCACATTCATGTATTTTTGGCCTCTGTCACATCTTTAGATCAGCAAGAGAGGACCACCCTCACTCAGCGAATCAGCTCTCAGCCCAAACAGTCAAATCGTCCTTCACAGAGCTCTTTCTTACACAAAAGACAACATGTTTTCTAATGAGATGAAGTTGTTCAGTTTACAGAACACTCTCTGGTCTCTCTCTCTCTTTAGTCTCTCACTGTTGTCTATATTGGACCAAACTCAACAGGTATTGCATTTTAAAGTCAGGTATCCCAGCTTTGAATTATCATGTTTAAATCAAATACTAAAAGGCATTGACAGGCTGAATGAACCTGTTCTGTCCTTGCGGGGGCGCACTAAGCCCAGTTTTAAACAGTGTATCTACTTTCACTTGTGATTTCTTGCAGGGGATGAAGTTACCTATGAACAAATGCAGGTATTTCACGTTGTAAACTCAGATTTAAAGTTCTAATGTTGATAAATGACCGTGTTGTTGTTCCAGGGCTTCATTGAGGAGCTGCTCGAACAGAACCACTATTACAAACCTCCCAGGTGATGTCACACATGGGAGCTCAGTAGAATATTACTTTACCTGTTAATGATTTATTATTATGTGTGATTGTAGATTCACAGAGGACAGACGTGACTCAGAAAATCAGTGAGACCTCTGTGTATAAAGTTGTAACATGCATCATTATTTTATATTATAATGTGTGACTGAGATCTTTGTAAATAAATATTTGTGAGAATCAAGTTTATCTTATCTTAAAGCGCTTTATGGATTTAATTGTTTAAACGTGAAAAGGCTCGTGTTTATGCCCAGATTGCCTTCTTCAGATAACAGTTTTAAATTAAGTTTTCTTTTTGTACAAAAACTTCATTGATTCCAGTTTACAAGACTTTATTAGAGCAGCACAGATATGAACTACACAGGTGAACATTCAGCCCATCAAAGACCCACCCTCCAGAGGAAGACCAGAGAGAGACTAGAGACCAGAGAGAGACCGAAGGGAAACCAGTAGTTTCAACATGTTTATTATGTGTACAAAGGCTGAAGTCGTGATTATTTCCCAGTTTAAATGTTGATATATATAACACTTCAGATTTCAAAGTTTTCTGACATTTATTAGTTTTTCCCTCATTTACAACTAGAAACATCACAATCAGTGTCATGTGGTAAAGGAAGAAAGTTACTGACACAAAGCAAATGAAATACAACTTTGATAATATATTTTTCTGCAGATACTTCTGAAAGTGTGAGACAGTTTGCATAAGACTGAAAATATAACTGCGTTTAAGTTTTAACAACAATACAATCACTTTTCTTTTTATAATATTCTGTTTGCAAAGGACTTCTATCATCAGAGAGAGACCAAAGAGAGACCAAAGAGAGCAGAGAGAGAGAGACCAAAGAGAGCAGAGAGGGGGACCAGAGAGAGCAGAGAGAGAGACCAAAGAGAGCAGAGAGAGAGACCAGAGAGAGCAGAGAGGGGGACCAGAGAGAGACCAAAGAGAGCAGAGAGAGAGAGACCAAAGAGAGCAGAGAGGGGGACCAGAGAGAGACCAAAGAGAGCAGAGAGAGAGAGACCAAAGAGAGCAGAGAGGGGGACCAGAGAGAGACCAAAGAGAGCAGAGAGAGAGAGACCAGAGAGAGCAGAGAGGGGGACCAGAGAGAGACCAAAGAGCAGAGAGAGAGAGACCAAAGAGAGCAGAGAGAGAGAGACCAAAGAGAGCAGAGAGGGGGACCAGAGAGAGACCAAAGAGAGACCAAAGAGAGCAGAGAGAGAGAGACCAAAGAGAGCAGAGAGAGAGACCAAAGAGAGAGAGAGCAGAGAGAGAGACCATAGTTGATATGTGCTGACAAAGATGTGGACTAGAATTTGACGGTTACCATAGCTACCAACTGCGCTCCACCACAATGTGAAACTATAGGCTCTTTGGAAAGTGTGACATCACATGAACGCTGCCAATGAACACAAACAGGTTGGAATATGGGACGTACAAACTCTTTCATCTAAAACATTCAGCAGAATATGCTCCGTTCTAACATTTCCCTTTTGTTTAAAATCAGCGGCAGAATGTGTCGAGGTAAAGGTTTGAATAACTGAGCAGCGGCTTCATTAGAGTCAAACACAACGATGTCATGTGACGTTTTGAGGTAAACGGCTCTGATCTCGGCTCATAATGTCCTTTCTTTACATTTGTACAAAAACATAAGGAATCATGAAAAACCTGGCACTGTCCCAGGATCCTTAGCAACAGTTATGGGGAAAAACAATGTACATTTTATATACAGCAATCACAGTATTGAAAATGGGAGGTGGCTTGTGAAGGATCCTGATGACTGAGATTACTCAAATGTGAGAATAAATGTATAGATTGTGTGTGAATAATAGTTTATATACAGTTTGATGTTCATTTGTTCCGTTGGGCCTCGTCCCAAAACAACACACGGTATCTTAGCTCACCAAGTAGTTTCATTTTTACACAACATCAAACATAAAAAATAAAAAAATCTTTCATTTCAGGTTTAACCAGGTGCTTGCAGTGAAAGTTTGACGTGTGGGAAATGAGTTTAGTCTCTAGAACACAGCAACAGAACAACTGTGTCTGAGGGTTTACAGTGTAGTGTCTGAGGGTTTACAGTGTAATGTCTGAGGGTTTACAGTATAGTGTCTGAGGGTTTACAGTGTAGTGTCTGAGGGTTTACAGTGTAGTGTCTGAGGGTTTACAGTGTAATGTCTGAGGGTTTACAGTATAGTGTCTGAGGGTTTACAGTGTAGTGTCTGAGGGTTTACAGTGTAGTGTCTGAGGGTTTACAGTGTAGTGTCTGAGGGTTTACAGTGTAGTGTCTGAGGGTTTACAGTGTAGTGTCTGAGGGTTTACAGTGTAATGTCTGAGGGTTTACAGTGTAGTGTCTGAGGGTTTACAGTGTAGTGTCTGAGGGTTTACAGTGTAATGTCTGAGGGTTTACAGTGTAGTGTCTGAGGGTTTACAGTGTAGTGTCTGAGGGTTTACAGTGTAGTGTCTGAGGGTTTACAGTGTAGTGTCTGAGGGTTTACAGTGTAGTGTCTGAGGGTTTACAGTGTAGTGTCTGAGGGTTTACAGTGTAGTGTCTGAGGGTTTACAGTGTAGTGTCTGAGGGTTTACAGTGTAGTGTCTGAGGGTTTACAGTGTAGTGTCTGAGGGTTTACAGTGTAGTGTCTGAGGGTTTAGGACACGGTCACATAAGTGTTTACAAACAAACTAGGCCAAGTGGGCCGGATCGTCGCCACAGGGGATGTGAAAACGGCCAGAGCAACTGTGATGTAGTACAAAGTTCGGTCCAGCTGGTGGCGCTAATACTAACTTCAGCGACGACCTCGTTGTCCGAGTTAAAGCTGCACTGACTGACTTTATTTTTGCATTCATTACGAAAATTCAATCCATATCCATGCAGTGCATTGGAATATACGTCCTTTTGAAGAAAAAGTAGCGCAGATTTGTGCTGGCCTGTCATTTAGATCGAGTTTTGGTGAAACAAGGAAGAGAATTTGTTTTGGGACCAGATTGTGACGAATCACAGCGGACCACTGGCCCCCGCTTTCTTGAGAAAATCTACAGGTCTCTCGTTAGCACAGACAGCTGAGGTAAACAAGCGGCGGAGGCTAACCTGAAGCTTCCCGTGTCTTCGTTACCGGTTTCTGCTTTCACAGCGAAACAGCCAAAAGAAAGTCTCGTTCCTCCGCGCTTCCCGGTTCAATCATTCTATGGTCACGCCATCCACTTTCAAATGTGGGATCCATATTGAGACGTGAGCTCCATATACAGTTAGCATGAGCAAAAGCTCCGTGCGGGGAGGGCGAGCAGAGAGCGCGAGCTCAGCGTTCTGATTCGAAAGTTTCTCAAAGTCAGTTAGTGCATCTTTAAGTTTCCATTTCACTTCCTGTTTACATTCTGCTACTCTAGCTAACAGCTCGAGTACGGATCGCGTTGTTTAGGGAAAGACACATCTCACACTTGTCCACATTACTCTGATGCACGTGTGTGTGTGTGAGCCGTGGACACACACACACACACTCTCTTTAGTAACGAGCGTAAGAGCACTGAGAAATGAATGAATGAGATGTGTGGCGTATGAGCAGAGCAACCGGAGACATGCAGGATACAAGTGTGTGTGTGTGTGTGTTCTGGCGATTAAATAAAGACTGATTCTTGAATGTCTGAAGTCTGAATGTCTGAAGAGCGAGGGTTAGGACAGAGGGAGTTATTCCTGCAGGAAATGCTTCCCTTTGGCCCTGGGACAACACACTGCCCCGGCGCCCCTCGAACACGGGCCGGGGCTTATATGAAAGACAATATGAGACGTGCGGCTGGTTAAACTATTATCATTATTATTAGTGAGTTTAGAGATATTTCCCATGATGATCCTGCAGACATTAAGGAGAGGGACTTCTTCCGCCCTGTTGCTCTCAGACTGAAGACCAGGAACGTCTGGAACAGGGTTGAGGGCCTCCGTGCAGCTGTGTGTTCTCTGAATGAAAATCATCTTTTTAGGGGTTTTTTCCGGGTTTTTCACTTTAAACACAAATAACTTTTCAACTTGTCTTTCTCATTTAGAGGATCTCATTGTTTACTTATTATTATCATTGTTATCAGGATCATTTCGTTTGCTCACTTCTGTCAGCGTTGCCCAGGGCAGCTGTGGCTACAGTAGTAGTCTTTCAAACATGGGGAGAACATGCAAACTCCACTCAAAGGGCTGTGTCTTATTGAAGCCCTTCTTCACCTTTCTTGGTTTGTTTCGCAACCTGATGTTGTGAGACTAATATAAAACTACAAAAAATATGTACAGTTGTCCTCAGTCCTGGTGCTAGACCTGGATCCCACTGAGCGTGTGCAGTGTGGGGGAGGCAGTGGGGGAGGCAGTGGGGGAGGGGGCAACGGGAGCTGCTCTCCTGTGACTCAGCTGCAGGTTCTCGAGGTCCTCCAACATCTCAGCGATCAGAGGAGGCAACGAGCCGGGGATCTCCATCTTCAGGGCAACCACACGCTCTGCTCCTGTGGGCACACAGACCAGACACTTATTAGAGCAACAGAATCAGAACAAAACTAAATTAAACAGAGTTAAGTGGGAGAGCTGGAGATGCTGTCTGGATTTATTGCAAGGCTGAAAACATCATTGTAAAATCCTTAAAGCTAAAGCTAAGGTACCTAACTTTGAAACTACAAAAGATCAACAGGTATAAACTCCACATAGTTCTTCGCTCTCAAAGCAGTTTTCTTTTATCGCTAGTTTTCACGTGTATTTTTGACCCCTGTCATATCACGGTCTCACTCTGGTCTTTCTCTTTTTCACATGCATGTATTTTTGGCACATTTTTCACACAGAAAAGTGAAAAAGTAAGGACCACCCTCACTCAGCCAATCAGATTTATTCACTGGAAAGTTGTTGTACCCGAGATGAATTTAAAAACAGGGGAAAACAAACATCTTATTTTTTTGTGTGGTTCCTCTTCTGTCAGATCAGATGGAGAGTCCTCAGTCTGTCCCATAGACTGTATATATTAACGGACAGAGTCACGCCTATCTCCGCCGTTCTAACTAATGGGCCAAAAAATGTGCTCTACTGGAGCTATCCAAAATGGCCGTGAAGAAAATTGTGAAAAAACGCATCTGCGCATGCGTCAGCCGGAGCAGCTCCATTCATTTGAACGAGTGACTTTAAAAATTCACAGCGAGTAAACTAGAGTGGACCAAAAAAATCCACCCCCCTCAGCATTGACACACATGTGGAACGGAGCTTTGGGCCAAGAGCCAACTTTTGGACCATCCTGTAAAGACGTTTTCGAGAGGTCTGCCAATGCTATATGTTAGCATTGGCTAATTCTACTTCTGGGTCCACCCCCACAGGCCCGGGGTGGTATTGCAAACATGTCAGCGCACATCATTTTGGCCACTTTTGAGCCGGGACCCGCCACCACTGGTCTGTCCCTTTGACTGTCCAGTATGTCCCTATGAGTGTGTCCCTGTGCTCTGACCCTTGGCACTGATGCTCCTCAGGTCAGTGATCTTCATCAGGGCCCTGGGGAACAGCAGGGGGTCACTGGGTCTGCGTCTGCGGGAGTAGACCTTCAGAGCCTCCAGCAGCGGCTCCTGGATCACCTCTACCTTCGAGGGCTCCTCCAGGTCCTGGCGGTCTGCAGACATCACATCTACTCACTCTGGAGGAACATCAGAGAGACCAGAGAGACCAGAGAGACCAGAGAGACCAGAGAGAGACGCAGAGACCAGAGAGAGACCAGAGAGAGATCAGAGACCAAAGAGAGACCAGAGAGAGACCAGAGAAAGACCAGAGAGACCCGAGACCAGAGTGAGGCCAGTGACAAGAGAGATGCCATAGACCAGTGAGAGACCAGAGACCAGTCCAGTAGGTTTCCCAGTGGTAGCAGTACCTCCAGACACCAGGCAGATGGCGCTGAGAAGGCCGCTCTCCGTGTCGTCCATCCCCAGTGGCAGCAGCTGTCCGGCGAATGTGAACACATGGTCCGTGAGCGGTCCGAACCCGGCGTTGTGGATCTGAGTGCGTGTCAGCGTGAGTCCATCTGAGAACGTCATGGTGTCCTGGTCCGGCGTGTACCGCGCACAAATCCTCAAGATCTGAGACAGAACATGGTTGGTTGGAGTAATTTATCACAATCTACCCTCATTCCAATATCCTCTTATAGTTTACTAATATCAAGGGTCACACAGCACGATGCTTAAAGCTGCGGCAATCAGAATCAGAATCAGAATCAGAATCATTTTTATTGCCACGTGAGTAACAAAGTTATCACTTGGAAATTGTTTTGGCAGAGAGCGTGCCACTTCGCCATTTGCGGCGCTGTGTGCAGCAAGAAACAGCAGAGAGCAATAACATACAGTTCACAAACAATTGGATAGACACATTGTGCTTTTTATAAACCACGGATTTTTTTCTCGGGAAGAGCACCTCTTCGGCCGGCCCAATGTAGCTGTCAGAGGGGGGCGGGATCAGGGAGGGGGTGAGTAGGAAAACAATAAGGAATGGAGGGGAGGGAGGGAGCAAGATGGATAGGTAGAGGGAGGCGGGGGTGGGGGATCCTTGCTGAAGACTGAAATAGTGTGAGTTGTTGTAGATTGTGGGACCTTGTTTATGGCCTTGGCTGAGGAATGTGAGATAAGAGTGGAGAGAGAAGCCACAGGAGGAGAAAAACACATCGCCTGCAATGTCGCAGTCAAAATCAGGCAGATATTCTATTAATTCCAATTAAACCGAATTCCGGTGCCCTCAGACCTCCGTACACAGGGGCAAATCCAAGCCGGGTCAGAGAGATCAAGCCTGACAAACAATGTCATTCAATCTCAATTCTAAGGTCTTATGTCCATCAAGTGAACGAGCTGCGAGGTCTTTGATCAACTGTTCCACCAACACCACTCTCCGTTGTCCAGACACGGCACTCTCAACCACGACACGGCTAAGCTCCTTGTACATCCCATCAATTTTATCGGCCAGCAGGTCGTGAATCTTGCGAACTGCCATGCCTCCGAATTTGTGGTAGAAGAGGATCGCTCCAAACCCAAACAGGAGGATTCCCGCCACCAAAATGCCAAAGATATATACGTCTTCCGAATCTTCAATGGACAGGGTCGACAGACAGAGGGGCTGCCACTTGTTCCAGCTGTCAAGTGTATACCCCGCTGGTGAAGTCCCGTCCGGACACACGGGCTCTCCAGACCCACGCTTACGAGTTGAAAAGATAGAATCAATTGCGTTGAGGGACCAATTAATCATTTCCATTCTGTTAGAGTTGTCTGTGGCAAAGCTCCAGGAAAAAAGACAAAAACAGGAGATAGCAAGCCGTTCAGAAGCAGGAGCGGACTAAGACACGTCTTTGCTCGACGGAGGAGGAAGGAGGAAGTCAGGAGGAATCAACTCAATTCACCAAAAATGTCACTAAGGCCCGATTTCTACGAGCCCTCCTCTACTCCACTTTGGTTGTGTTTCCACTACGCTTTCTACTCCTATCTGGTACTGTATCTTAGCAACCGGCCCACAACAAACCAGTATCCATGGCTTCCAGCAGCACTCTGACCCATTACAACTCGGACTGGATAGAACCGGGGCCAAGAGGGACTAAAGAAGGAGCTGGTACTGTTTACAAAGGGCTTGTTGAAACAGGGATTATGTCATCAAAACCCATGTCTCTAGTTCCTGGCTCCTATCACTGGTTTTTACATCATGTATTTTTGGCCTCTTTCACATCTTTAGATAAGCTTTTTCAGACAGAAAAGTGAAACACACACACACACGAACAAAGACATGTAAACACACACAGACACAAACAAACATTACCAGGATGTCCAGGCAGGCGGCCTTCAGCAGGGTGATCTGATCCGTGATGCTGAGGCCGGTGAATCCTGGCACTTGTTTGGCAAACTCCACCACTTTAATGATACACTTTGTGGCCAGTTCACTGAACTTGTCCCACAGCCCGAGGTCCAGCTGAATCCTCTGCTCTGCACTAGACTTCTGCAACTCACACACAGGATCATCATAATAACATTTCATGGCAAAAACAATTAATGGAGTACACAGGTCTCTGGTTAAAGGCGGGGGTCATATGTTCGAACATTAACCTAAGTGAACATAAGCAAAATTCTTCAAGTAGCAGCTGTATGTTTTAAGGCTGTAAAACCGCACACTTTTTTGACCCAGCTGAACTCACAACTACTGAAGTGTGATGGCAGAGATAGCAAAACTAATTGTTGTAAGTCTGAGCGCTGCTGCATCTGTCAAAAGTTGAGCATACACTGTAAAATACGGCTGTAGAGGACAACATACTGAGAAGCAGAGGCAGGACAGGTCTACAGGGAGACCAGAGAGACCAGAGGTAGACCAAAAAGAGACCGGAGAGAGAGCCAAGAGCAGGGGTCTCCAACCTGTAGCTCGTGAATTACCTCACCACCCCCTTCCAAGTAGCTCCCTGAATGATAAGTAAGTAAGTAATCTTTATTTATATACGGCCTTTTCACTGCAGATCTGAGTCTCAAAGCGGTTTACAATTGTTAATTTTTGGGCATTTGTCTCTCACTCCACACAGAGATGGGAGCGGGGTCGCCAGTACAGGAGGCGCATGCCAGAACTATTGGACATATTTCTAGTGGTAGGGGAAACCGGAGTACCCGGAGGAAACCTACACAGACACAGGGAGAACATGCAAACTCCACTCAGAAAGGCCCTGGTCCGACCGGGATTCGAACCCAGGACCTTCTTGCTGAGAGGCGAGAGTGCTATCCACTCAGCCACCGTGCCGCCAATATGTTATGATTTACATAAAAGATTCATACGCCCAAAACTTTTGTCAATGAACACTAAAGTGATAATAGGTTAGAAATAATGCTAGGCCATGTCCACATGTAGCCGGGTATTTTTAAAACCGAATATTTCCCCTCCTCCGTTTATACAATATTTTGCATCCACACATTACCAAACATCTGCGTTTTTTTAATTAATGGAACATTCATAACATTCCAAACATGTGCGTCCTCAGACGTCCTGCATTGGGGAGACATGCTTCTGTGAAAACACAGAAGTGGGCGGAGCTTTAATGCTGACGCAGGTACTTCTGTAGCAGCACTTTTACAGTCATAGAGCAAACTCAGGATAAAGACATATGTTCACAAGCACTGACCCCTGTCCTCAGCCCTGGTTTAATCCTGGTTTAACTCATGTTTTGGTTGTTTTCGAGCGCTAGTCCTCGTGATCACTTTGCTGCTCTCTGATGTGGAGCGAGGATGTTTGCTGCTGCGAGCAACAGTTTTTAAGGCAGTAAGATCCATGCTTCTTCAGTGATCAGAGGTCACATGTTTTGTTTGTTGTTGTTTTGGGGGCACACTGACGTGGAAAAACGCAAAACTCCGGTTATCTCTGTCTACACACAAATGCATAAACGGAGTTTTCAAAAATCTCCAGTTTGCCCGGAGTTTTTTTTATATATTCATTTGTAATGCGTTGTCATGTGGATGACAGGTGCAAACGAAGAAAAATATCTGCGGTTTAGCAGATACCCGGCTACGTGTGGACGGGGCCCTAATCTAAGACTATCTCTCGCTACAACTCTAGTCCTCGGAAAGTAGCTCTCCGGGTGAAAAAGGTCGGGGACCCCTGGCCTTGAGAGACAAGAGATAGAAACTAGAGAGACCAGAGAGAGAGCCTAAAGCACGGGTCTGAATTATGCGGCCCGCGGGCCAGATCCGGCTAAGAGATTTGATACGGCCCACGGCTCATTTATGTAAAATGATGATTATAATAATTTTTTTAAAAAAGTGATTAAAAAAGATACAGGACCTTAATAAACCAAACTCAGATACTCTAATGTCTTTTGATGAAGTGAGGTGCCAATATAATATAGATAAAACATACTTTTTAAAATGCCTTCAGCTTAGAAGCTTCATTAGATCTAATCAAGATAGTTTAACTAAACCTCAGAAAACAGTTTTGGAAAAGAATATCTCTAAAAACAGTTTGACCAAGGGGGCTATATCAAAATTGTATAACTTGCTATTGTCCAATTCGACTGACAATTCTGATTTAAAATGAAGGCATGGAATGAGGATTTAGAAACAAATATTGTAAAAGAGGATTGGGAATCAGCATGTACAAAAGCACATACATAATCAGTCAATACTCAATTCAGGCTCCTACAATACAAGTGGCTCATGAGAATGTATGTGACACCCAGTGGGGGCGGGTCCCGGCTTAAAAGTGGCCAATTTGACGTGCGCTGACATGCTTGCAATACCACCCCGGGCCGATGGGGGTGGACCCGGAATAAGAATTATCCAATGCTAACGTATAGCATATCCAATGCTAACGTACAGCGTATCTTCTTACTTCTCAAAAACGTCTTTACAGGATGGTCCAAAAGTTGGCTCTTGGCCCAAAGCTCCGTTCCACGTGTGTGTCAATGCTGAGGGGAGTGAATTTTTTGACCAATCTGGTTTAGCCGGGACCCGTCCCCACTGGGTGTCACATACGTTCTCATGAGCCACTTGTATTGTAGGAGAGCAGTCTGTTGGGTTGGTGCTGAGAACGAGAGGTTAGTGATGCCGCTGTACAGGGAAGCCACCTGATTGCTAACAACATAGCATTAGCATCGCAGCCGCACAGTGAGAGAGAGTTTGTCCAAACTTTCATTCAGGCTGCAGACTGTGTCCTGAGAAACAGCACGCTTTTACCAACATCATGTTGAGGCTTTTTATGTTGCCGTTGATAAGAGGCTGATGTTAGTGATGTTGCATATTCATTCATGGCGTTACTGAAGCTTTGACTATCACAGAGGAGGTGTTAGTGTTGGTGCCTGTGTTGGATAACCACAACAGCTGAGGACACTATCAGCGCTGTTGCTGGTGCCGCTGCTCCTTACCACACTGAAGAGGGTTCAGGTGCTGTGTTAAAGTGCTTTTTTCTATCTACTGTACCTTTGTGAGCATGTTTTCCCTGTAATGAACCTTAATTTAAAAAAAGCTGCACTCAAAGCTAACAAACTAATATTACTATAAATATTGTGAAATGCCATTTACAACGTACTACTGTAAATACTTTATTTGCACTATGAAAAACTCAGTTACATTTAAGTTAGTAACAGATTTACAGTTAAAACTGAGTAAGTATTATGCCACGTTCAGACCGGATCATGCGTTGCGTAGGCTTTCAATGCAAAGTCAATGGTGACGCGAGTTCGAGCGCCAAAACGCACGAGCGTCTCAGAATGCACGCACGAACTGCGCGGGAAAGTCGAAGGGGAGGAGCAGGAGCGGAAAATCGACGCACGCAGGAGATGAATTTTGCTCAACCTTTCCTCGGGTCGCTCTTGCAGCAACCAATCAGAGAGCCGCAAAGTGGTCGTGGGGACATTAGCGGTCTGAGCGAGCAGACTGAAAATACTCGTAAACAGCCAAAACAGGAGCTACATTCACGACTAAACCAGGGTTGACAATGCGGGATATATATATATGCTTGTTAACATGTGAGTTTTCATGCTCCCATGACTTTATGCAACTGCTTTGAGTGTGTTCGTCGATGCGGAAGTACCGTTTAATAACAAAATAAACTTATTGCGCACCTCCGTGAACACACATTTACTGTTATATAAAGTCCGTGGAAGGTCTCTGAACACAGACACGCTGCAAAACTGCATTATTGGAGAAGATCTGTACACAAGAAGCCGCTTGCTAAACTCTGTTAGCATCAAAGCCCGCCGGCAACTTCCGCCACTTCCGGCACGCGCCAGGACCTCTGGTCTGAAGACCCCTGCGTCTGAAAACTAGAGAATGTGCGTCTGGTGAGCGAGGCTTCAGCGTTTCAGCGTTGGCGGTCTGAAAGCAGCATAAGACAGTGTTTTAAAGGAAGTTTTAAATAAATGTGTTTATGTGCACAAAAAGTTGGACTTTGAACTGCTTTTGGGTATTTTTGTAGAGAATTTTTGGGTACGGCCCAGTTGAGATCCAATTAGTTTGTATTTGGGCCCCAGACCAAAATGAGTTTGACACCCCTGGCCTAGAGAGACACCAGAGAGAGACAAGAGAGAAAGACCAGAGAGACCAGAAAGAGACTAGAGATAGATATACAAAAAGCTATCACCATCAACAAATGCCCATTTAAGGAAATTGGCTCCAGCGAGAGGGATTTATTGTTAAGACCTGTTTGTATTCATTCCCTCTGACCCAGCCTGATGAGCAGGACTGACCGTGGTGTACTTGCCCAGCTGACACAGAGAGGGGAAAGTCTCTCTGTGAGCTCTGCAGATCTTCTCCACGATCAACCCCAGCTCTGCAGTCAGCTCGTAGGTCTCCATGATGGTCATCTTCACCGCCTCCTTCTGACCCTTTTGCTTACGGTCATTTCTCACCGCTGCAACTCAACAAACATATATCAAAAGTAAGTACTCCACTGTAGTACCAAAGATAGTACTGAATTGTTCAAACTGACAGTACTTGGCCAGAGTGCCATGGTTAACATGGTTTTCCCTGCATACTGGTTAGTAGTGGGTAGATACTAAGGTACGGTACCAGACACTAAAGCGCAATGGACACGCAACCAGGTAGAGCCCATTAATCTATTACAATAACTGGATAGGGTATTATTAGCTTGGAGCTGAAGGACTCATGTGCTCGGGGGATTCTTACAGTACAGCAGACTAAATTCAGTGGGCTATTCTGAAATTTCCCCCATAGAACTCAATGTAAACTAAAACTTCTGGACCTCAGCTGACAGAGAACCCACAGCTTTCATAAAGGTCGGATTTTGGGGGGTATTTTAGTGTCCCTTGTTGTCCTGAACTTTGTTTCTTCTTAAATCCTTTGGTTTTCTTTAAATCCACATTTTAGTGCCACAAACTCTGTTAGGCACCCGCTCTAACTCCCACTCTAGTTCCGCTCTGATCAGCAGAGCTGATTGGTCAGAGCGTGGCCGAGCCCCTCTGTGCACGTGCATGAGAGCCACACACGCGTATATAGTGCAACGCATCATGGGAGCTCACGCACTGTGCAGAACCGGGAGGACAAGACGATGCCCAAATATAGGCGAGTTCCAGATTCAGATTCAGATTCATTTATTTCGCCATTTGCAGTAACACTACATTGGAATACATTTGCAAAAGTTCCCAGTGTGCACAGGACAAGTACAGACACAAAACAACATTAAAAGACAAAAATAAAACAAATTTTAAAAACAGTAAACAAATGTCACCGTGAAGTTGACCAACTTAAAACAGATCTATACGAGTGCAAAAACATTAAAGTGCTCTATTCAAACTGTTAACAGCTCGTGGAAAAAAACTATTAGCATAACGAGATGTCCTGCATCTCAGAGAACAGTATCTTCTGCCAGAGGGAAGAAGCTGGAACAAGGCTTTTCCTGGGTGGCCAGAAGAGTCATTGATAATTCTCAGGGCACTGTTAAAAAGTCTGGATTGATAAAGAGCCTCCAGGACAGGAAGTTCACAGCCCACGGTCCTCTTAGCAGAGCGGAGCACCTTGTTTAAAGCTCTCTTTTCTTTATCTGTGATGTTACCGAACCACACAGACACAGAACCAACAAGTAAACTCTCAATGGTGCAGCGATAAAAGTTCAGCAGAATCTTAGAGTTAGTGGTAAATTCTCTAAGTTTCCGCAGGAAGTAGAGACGCTGACGAGCTTTCTTTACAACCCGGTCAGTGTTTTTAACCCATTTCAGGTTAGACAGAGTTAAACCCAGAAACTTACACTCCTCTACAATCTGCACTTGGGAGTTGTCGATTACGACAGGCAAATGAGAACTATTGCGACTGAAATCAAAGACCAGTTCACATGTTTTGGATGCGTTCAGCTGGAGGTTGTTAGCCTTACTCCACTGAACCACATTTTGGATCTCGGCTCTATAAGACGATTCATCGTTATTACTGATGAGACCGATGATGGTGGTGTCATCAGCATATTTGATGATCAGGTTAGAGTCTGAGGAAGACACACAATCATGAGTGTACAGTGTAAAAAGTAAAGGACTCAAAATACATCCCTGAGGAGATCCACTAATCTTTCAGAGCCCATGCCGGCACATGCGCCACTGAGCCATTCATTTGAATACGCCGCCATCTTGGATCACCAGGGCTTGGTAGAGCCAAGTAAAGCAAAGTAGGGCTGGTGGAAACGGGGTAATCAGAGACCATAGACCAGACACAAACTGCTTTACAATTGTTTTGGAGTACCAATATTCTCCACTTCCTCCACACAATGACAGAAGCGAGACGCTGAATACACTACTATAACAACTACTGCTGCTACTGCTACTACTACTAATACGACCGCTACTACTAATACTGCTGCTGCTGCTGGTACTACTACTTTGGAGATTTCATGACACTTTGAACCAACTGTGGTTAAAGTTAAATTCATCATTCTAACGATGCACAAGGCAGTGTCTTTCCACTGGAATGTCTTTGTTATCTGAAGGCCAAGCTACTGGCATTGTGGCGAATGCTGATACTGTTTATTATTCTTCCAGAATAATATCACTTAAATTATGTGAATCTCTGTTAGTGCTTGTCGACCATTGACAATAAATCTTCTGTCTGAAAGACACAATCCACAACACACATACCTGAAAATAGGTCCCAGTTAACTGTACATTTATAGCAGTAGTAATTGTAACGACTCTGCTTAGATCTGAAGCCGGTCTTGGGCTCAGACCTGCCACCAGTCTCGGCCTCAGACTCAGATTTGCTTCCGGTTTCGAGCTCAGAGCTACGCCAGTCTTGCCCTCTCTTTAGACCTACTCATCCACGTGCAGCCCTCTAATCAGGTTACCTTTCATAATCACTTTGGTAACCGTGTCAACGCATTTGTTTGGCGTCCCACTGACTCTGATTCAAGCCTCACATGTCAGAGCGTAGTGGCATTATGCAATTTCCCCTCCTCATCCTGCTCCCTCCTCCCCCTCAACCTGTCCTGTGTAAACATGAGAACACGGGTCTACTTACACACCACATCATTTTTCTCAATCAAATTAAAATAACATAAGTTTTGGATGACTTTACATTATATTTCCAAAAAAACACTGTATTTATAAAGTGCTTATATTATTGATCCTCAATAATATTTGTGACAAATAAAAAACTATTATGTATATTTTGTGCTTTTTACCACAGAAAATTACATTATGTATATACATCAGCTCTCTACTTTAGCTACAGGTTCACTTTGAGCCTAATCTTTTGCCTCTGAGAGAGGTGAATGTGTCAAGCATTTTATAAAAGCGCTGACCAGAATTTGATCTTAAAATATACTTCCAAAAGTTTATGTATTATGCTTATTTTCAGCAAGCTAAATAATTCATCTTGATCTAATCCTAAGCACAAAACATAACAAACCGGCAACAACGGCCTATTTTGAAGTCTTGTGTCCCGAGACATTGGTAATCGGCCTCAAACTCATTTAGTCAAACCAAAGAAATGTTGTTTCCCCAATGGGTTTCTGAGTCGCTCTATGCCGATGCAGGAGGGTCTAAGGACAGTGAAGATCAAGGATATTTCTGCACACTTAACATTTTTGGACAGTGGTCCTATTGCTCGCTATGGACCAATGGCTACTATTGGTCCATAGCGATCTTATAGGATCAGAGAATCAATCAGTTTTTAAAGTATGCTGAGATTACAGTTGTTGTGATTTAGGACAATACACTAATACGTTGAATTGAATTGATTTGGTAACACTTGCCCAAAGTGGAGCTCATACGATGTTCTCATGATCATACAGCCAACTTTAGAAATGCTAATAGACACATGCCATGTACCATTCAGCGCCACCTCAGGTAATAATGCAATCATACACTGGCTTTTAAGCAGCACGCAAAATAAACTTTAAAATGTCCTGCTGGTGCCCAGAGTCAGGACTAAACACAAGGAGGCAGCGTTTAAGATCTTCCTGAAAATGCAAGACAGTCTTCTACTCTGTCAATGTTTAAATCCAGGTTAAAATCAGTTGTTTTGCTGCAACTGAAGGATTATATCTCTGTTTAATGTACTGTGATTATCTATGATTTTAATGCCATGTGCAATTTTGATATTTCTATCTGGTTTTGATCAGCACTTTGTTGTGTATGAACTGTGCTACAAATACATTTGCCTTGCCGTTGTACGGACCAGTGTTTTGCAGTGCTTTGGCTGGATGCAGTGCATGTGCCGTCTGCTTGCTCCATGTGAGAGCAGCTTTATGCAACGCAGTGTGGATCTTCACATAACACACACACGCTCAGTATCTGGGTCAGCCGGCTTCTGGGTAACACACTTTCCACACTGTTGCTACACCAGTGTGGAGGAGGAAGCAGGGAACAATGATATTTGGATGATAATGCAGTAATCCATCAAAATGTTGCTTAAACTTGCTTCTAAATGCTTTGGTAGAAGGCCATGGATTTGGAAGGTATATAATGGGTTGAAAGAGCGTAGGAGGGACTAACCCCTATTTCATATTCTAATTTTTAAGGACAACAATAATAATGCATCAGTTGTATATAGTGATGAGTCTTGAGACACTGACGGTCATTATTCTTCCACTCCATACACAAGGCAACTAGTATGTGCCATCAGCCCTCTGACTACCACCAACCATTCACACACACATCAGTGTGACATCACCATAGTATTAGCCTAATGTGGATGAAGCCAATATGAACATAAGCTAACTGGAGCCAATTTTCTTATGTGGGCATTTGGGCTCCTTCTGACAAAGGTTTGAAACTCATAAATGAGTTTTAGTAATTCCTCAGGTGTTTGGCAAAACAAATTCCACTCCCCCCTTCTGGTGGGAAAATAAGGAGATACTGGCGGAAAGCATTTTTTACCCTTCATACTTGTTACACCATTGCATCATATCTCAAAACAGGTTCAAAAAGGATCTTTTTTTGTGTGTGTGCAAATTTACAAAAGCCAGCTTCTTTCATCAAACACTGATATCCATCCATCCATTTTCTCCTTAATCCATTTGCCACCCAATTCACAGAGCACCAGCCCCTCACTGATCCTCCTGCAGGTGGTGAGTCCACAGAAGGACGGCTGCTCTATCGGTGACAGCACCTTCAGCAGGGGCAAGTGTCTTGCCCAAGGACACAACGACAGCAGACATCAGTGGGAGAAGGTCTCGATGGGGGATCAAACCCACAACTTTCAGGCTCAAAGGCCAATGCTAAACCAAAGTATTTTTGTGATTTTGATAAAACATGTATTACATTTTATTTGATAAAACATTTAGTAAAATTGAGGCATCCCAACTTTCCAAAGGGAGCAATCAAAAGTAATTTTTTTGCCACATCGTTCAGTCCTAAATTGTGCAGATAAGGACAATACAATACCAATACGGACATTACGATACCAAGATGACGGCCACTGCAGTTAGTGAACAGTGTTGCTAGTACAATATAGATGAGTAAATAATAATGATAATCATAAAAAATACACTACTGTAACTATTCATTCTTTGTATGACGGTTGGTGGTGTGTGTTGTTTTTTGTTTTAAATCTTATTACTGTCTTATTTAGGGCTGAAACAACTAATCGATTAATCGACGACTAATCGATTATTGAAATAGTCGACAACTATTTTAGTAATCGATTAATCGTTTTCTGGTTCACACGGACTCAAACAGAGCAAAAATGACATGAAAATGTAGTATTTTTGATTCAAACCGACTTTGTTTTTATAATTTCATGAATATCTGTCTGTCTCATCCAATCAGATAGCAGAATTAGCACAAAGAGCCTGTTACAAACATTTACTTTAAGTTTACGCCATCAATACGTCCTCGAGTGTAGCCACTTTAGCTTTTTGGGATTAAAAGATAAAAATTTTCTACACAATTCACAGCCAAGCGATTACTCGATTAATCGTAAAAATAATCGATAGATTAATCGATTACAAAATAATCGTTAGTTGCAGCTCTAGTCTTATTATTACTTTGTGAAAACTAAACTTTTTCTATCCATCATACGGTTTTTGTTCATGTAATGTTGGACCTCATTTATAAGATATACAGAAGCCCCAAGTCCATCAGTCTGACTTGGCCCTACTTGACCCCACTTGGCTCTGCTCTCCTCTACCTGGTTGCATTTCCATGTGTTCCCTGGGGTACCTACACTCTCTGGACATCCCGGCGGAGAAGCACCTCTGCAGACGGCAGTACTGGCAGCGATTTCGACTGATCTTGTTGATGATGCAGTTGCGTTCGCGGTGACACGTGTAAACCATGTTCTTCTGCACGCTGCGGCGAAAGAAGCCCTGAGCACACGCACACACACAGACACAGCTGGTCACACACAAACATACAATATTTGTTTATTTTTATCAAGTTTATGAAAGTACTCTCCAGCGTTTATACATGGCCTAATTGATCAGTTCTTTAGTCATAAATGTTTTGACCTACATGTGGTTAAGTAAATAATAATGTACATATTTACCTGCTCAGTCGCAATCAAGTAACTGAGCTGTTAAGACTTTGAATAAAGTGAATGTGAGGGATAGGACTGAAAAGCTGCTTTAGGCAGATGGCCAAACTTTTGCATGTGATACTGGTGCCAAAGACATGAAACTAAAGATATGAACAGGTTAGGTCTACTTCCTCCTTTCGCAGTGAAAAAACCCACAACCCCAGATTAAATTGTGAACAGTTGTTATATTTACTGTGAGCTCCTCTAGAGGGAGCACCACTGCATCATGAACATACAGCACCACTCAGAAAGTCAGAATGATACTAAACTGTAGTGTGATCTCCAACTGGTAATGCAATTCTATGTGACAGGTTCAAGATCACAAGATAGGGTAAGAAGCACAGTCACATGGGAGGAGCTCAGAGTATAGCCACTGCTCCTTTGCGTTCCAATGGGGAAGACCAAGAAATGTACACCACTTCCAAGAGGAAACAATGTGTGTGTGTGTGTGTGTGTGTGTATGTGTGTGTCTGTGGCTGCGTGTGTGGCTAGATCTACAGCCTCAGTCCAGGATCTACATTCTGTCCGTTCCATGAGAGGACAACCCTCTCTCAATATGGGCCCCCCAGAGGTTTCTTACGTTTTCCCACTGGGTTTTTGAATGGTCCTTGTCAATACAGGAGGGTCTAACGACAGTGATAATCCCGCTGCCTATGGACCAATGGCTCTTATGCGGTTGTGATTATTGCATTTTCTGTGAGTAAACTGTTTGATTCTCTGACCTGTTGTTGGTGAATCCACAACTTTCTAAAGTCTTCCGAGACGACAGGTCACAGCCCCCTGTGATTTAGGGGGCTATACACAAATAAATTGAATTGACTCTTTTTAAACAGTGTATTTCATAGTTTATGTGTTATGTGTCCTGTTTGTTGAATGCATACACAAGATCTCCAAAACTGGATACAGTGGCGCTCTCTTGATCTCTGAATGTTCCTGTGTATCCGCAGTGTGAGAGGAGCACCTTGCAGCCCTCGCAGGCGCTGACTCCATAGTGGTACCCCGAGGACTTGTCCTGGCAGACAAAGCAGGGTTTGTAGGTACGGGGCGGCGGGGGAGGCGAGCGGGGGCTGGTGAGCAGGTCGTCCGAACACGAACTGGAGCTCTGGCTTTCCACAGCTGCAAGCAAACGTAAGAGCACAGGACAGAGACAGTGTGAACATCACAGACTGTATCTTCTATGAGACAGGGTCAGTGTAATGTCAGGGCTGGAACAAGTGAATGACCATAGGGGTCCCTCACTGACACGATTCCCCTCTCGCCCCCTCGTTGTTTCATGGCTTTTTGTGTGTGCAATTCTGCATACCCCAACAACATCATATAACCACTTGTATAACATGACAGTTACCTTTATTTTATGTCAATCTTTTGTGGTCTCTTTTTTCCTATTTGGTCTATTTCTTTCTTGTCTCTCTCTGATCTCCTTCTGGTTTCTGTTTGGACAAAAACATGTGAGGAGGATGCATTCCTAAATAATTCTATATTGACTGCAGAATATGAGCCATATAAGGATTAACCAATCAGATGCCTTCATTCACAGGGGAAACTCCAGCTTGCCTTAGCAACCATTTGCCCCTGTTACGGTGTGAAGCTAACGCAGCGGAAGAAAAGCCCATATAGGGAAACCGGCTCCTGCTAGCTTATGTTCAAATCTGCCTCTTTCGCATTAGGGCTAACACTATGGTGATGTCACACTCGGTCAGTCCTCTATTTCTTCCAACAGTTAATCTTGGCAATTTTAGTAATATTTAGCTAATTCCGGACAGATGGTGGCTCATGTCAATGCCATAAACTCGGGTTACAAGCAGCAGCAGCACAGTCAGAGAACTTCAAAGACCGTGACTGGGTGAAAGTGTGTAAAGATGATTTGTGATGTCACTTAAATCAGTGAGCAGAGACACAAAGCAGCTCCAGTCTGCTGCCCCAACACTCACACAACAGCTCAGGGCCTTTCAAAAAGCCACAAAACCAAAGGAATGGCCACGTCCCCTTGAACCCGTGGCCCCTGGGTGAACCTGGAGGAGCGGGTCGGACCAGGACACCCACAGCAGCCCGGCTCTCCCCACACTCAGAATCCACAAAGCCTGAGTGATAAGGGCCGTGAGAGAGGGTCTGCACTGGGGGCGATGTCCAACAATGCACTTTTAAAAACACACAAAGAATGTGGAATGTGGAGCAGAGATGAGGGATCACTCCAAGACATGTCACTAAAGCCCAGTTTCCACCAGCCCTGCTCTACTCCCTTAGTTACAACAACCGTACGCCGCAAAGGATAAGAGCCTTTTGACTCAAAAACAGACACGATTTACATAGTTTTCAATGGGAGCAAAACTGAGTTATCCCATCTCTGCTCATTCGTCCCCTACAGGCCAGGTTAATGAAACCCAAGAATTGGGAGTGTTTAACTGGTACCAGATCCTTCTTTAGTCCCTCTTGGCCCTGGTTCTATCCATGCCATGCTGGTACAAGAGTCTTTTGATTAACGATGATTGGACAGAGTGCTGCTGGAAACCATGGTCACCAAGGTGGATAGGTTTCCAGGATACGCTATCAGATACTAAAGCATAATGAAATCTCAACCAGGTAGAGAAGAGTCGAGTAGAGTAGAGAAGAGTCGAGTGGAATAAAGTAGAGTTGAATAGGGCTGGTGGACACGGGTCCACAACTGGGTGCCGCTGAAGCCAGAAATGTCCCAGTGGTGTCCTGAGTCTCTATGCAGCCCTTTGGAAAAACATGAGCCATTTCTTTTAGCTGTTGATGTGAAAATGACCCTATATGAAGGTTTCCTTAATTAATGTACGTTCAAACAATAAAACAAGGCAATTCATTGGATTCACACGGTTTATGTTTCATTATGTGTCCCTTAAAGGAAAACACTCAGCTCCAAATCGTGCTCGCACAAGGACTGCAACCAAAAGTGGGATCAAAGTCAAACGTTTGTTTGCAGTTATTGATCAGGATTTGATCATATTGTTTTTGAACAGTCTCAACAAGCGGCTTTCCTCCGCAGCTCCAGACCTGCTGACCACCCGCTGACCCCACAGTGACCCCAAAGTGGCCGCAGTTCTACACTGGACACTCACAAACCAGGGCCACTTCAAAGCACCGGCGCCTTTACAGCTGACTCCAAACACAAGAAATAAGAGCAGAGAGTGTTTCACAATACACTATGCACCAAACAAGACGGAAACAGTTTTTTTCTTAAACAATACAAATATTGCTGGTTAGTGCTAATTAAGACTAAACTATCACCTGTTACAGGAATATAAGAATCCTACAGACTTCAGAACAACCTCCTGAACACCACTCCCTTCCCCCCTTCTGGGGGCAGAGTTCCCCTAAAAAAGAGATTCTGCAATCTCAAGGTCAATAAACAAGGAGACACCTGCTGTTATCTTGCTTACATTTACTGTAACGGTTCTTTATTTGTTTGAAATTTGTATCGCACTTTATGTTGCTGTTAAATACTGTACTGTAACTTTGTATTGCACCATCTTCTTGCACATTCTCCAAGTGTTAATGATATAGTAACTTGCACATTGTTCTCTATAAACTAAACTCCAATCTCTTTATCTGTCATGATTATGACTTTGGTTGTAGTCAGTACGTTGCTATTCACCTGCTGTCCCATTGTCTGTTTCATGGCGTGGCGATAAATCCCCTGAATCAGGCCTCTTTTATCTGCACCTGTGAACTGTGTGCTGCACCCCCCTCCCCACCAAGGAGCCTCATCCTCCACAGTCCTGGCTCTACAGCCCCAGTCTTGGTTCTACAACCTCAGTGTTGGTTCCACAACATGAGTGTTGGTTCCACAACTTCAGTCCTGGATCTACAGAGTGGGCCTCCCCAAGGTTTTACACAAATAAATTGAATGGATTTAGAACATGAGAGAAGTTTTGAGAATACACCTTTTATGGCGAGTGTGACACAAACGGTTGCTGAGCGAGAGGATTTTACTTTTACATGTAATTCAATTCAACCATGAGCACCTTCCTATCGGGCTTCATTAAGTCAGTGGGTTAGCACTGTCCATCTGTATACAGACTATCGCCTACCTCTGGGAAATGTTGATTAGTAGGAGTTATAGTATCTTTGACGTCTCAGTCTCATGATCTAAACTCTCATGGTACTTAACCTACATCACATTGTTCCCATTCCTCAGCGTCGCCACATCAACAAAAGCCACTAACAAGAGATCTGTGTCAATGTTCAACCCCAGGGCTCAACAGCTAATGCAGGACAATAGGAAATACTGCAATAAAGTCCTGTTTCCACCAGCCCGACTTGGCCCTACTCTACTCTACTCCAGTTTTCCTCAACCTTTTTGAACTGTGGCACATCTTTGTCATTGCAAAATACACCATGGCACACCACCAGCTGAAGCTGATACAACAAATCAAAGTCATTCTCATCAATGTGTGTTAATAGAAAATCAAACAAGCCAAAAAAATCTTTCTAATCATCTCGTTGTTTTCATCTCACATGATTTTGAACAAGCAGGTGATATTTGATCATTTCCAAGGCACACTAATAAACATAATAAGGCACACTGGTTGAAAAACACAGCTCTACTCTACTCTACTCTAGTATTGGGTACCTGATCCTAGCAACCTAACCACAACAAACCAGTAACTAGAGAAATTCCATGCTCAGCATAGCTTCCAGTAGCACTGCGTAGGTTTCCTCCGGGTACTCCGGTTTCCCCTACCACTAAAAATATGTACAATAGGTCTGCGCCCTCCTGTTCGGCGACCCCGCTCCATCTCTGTGTGGAGTGAGAGGACAAGTGCCCAAAAAATAATAACAATTGTAAACCGCTTTGTGACTCTGGTCTGTGAAAGGCGGTATATAAATAAAGCTTACTTACTTACTTACTCTAGCCAATCAGTGTCAGTTAGATCACTATACCAGCTCAGCCTTGATAGAACAAGGGTCAAGAGTAAGTAAGTAAGTAAGTAAGTGATCTTTATTTATATACCGCCTTTGCTAGACCAGAATCACAAAGCGGTTTACAATTGTGGGCATTTGTCTCTCACTCCACACAGAGCAGTGTCGCCAGAACAGGAGGCGCATGCCAGACCTATTGTACATGTTTTTAGTGGTAGGGGAAACTGGAGTACCCAGAGGAAACCAACACAGACACAGGGAGAACATGCAAACTCCACTCAGAAAGGCCCTGTTCCGACCGGGATTCGAACCTAGGACCTTCTAATTCTTCAGGAACTAAAGAATGGCCTGGTACCGGTTAAACAGAGTCGGTGGAAATTCTTCCAATTGGGAGAGAGTAGAGTAGAGCAGAGCAGAGAGTTCCTAAACCCTTTCATGGCGCAGTGATTTTGTCGCTCACCTGCTGCTATTTTCAGAGCTCTTACTTCTAATTGGATCAAGTTAAAATAACATTTGATGAGTTTTGAAGCAGACGGACTGAAAGATCAATAATATATTGTACTGAACACTTTAGAGTCTGCACTTAAGCCATTAGGTCAATCGTTTAATCATTTAATAAACACCACACTAGAAAGCCTTTCACATTGGAAACACAGATTTTTTTTGGAAAAATCAGGTGGAATCAAAGGTCAAAAACATGCAGAGATAGAATTAATATAGATTTTAGTACAAAAAAATTATTGTATCTTGAATTTTGATTTGAAGCTGGGTTACCTAACTTCACAAATAGTACATGTTTGTCCCACAGAGCAAAAAGACCCGAACATGCTGTATTCATCTTATCAGAAAACTTGTTATCTGTTACATACTTGTAAGACAGAGCCCTGTGAGTTACTATTTGACACTGAGAGCTTATTCACAAATTTCTGTCACTCTCACAAGATCAGCTTTTCAGACTTAAACATCAGACTCTGTTTGATGAATCTGAGTGCTCTTATTTCCTTCTTTCTCTGCTGTAATGTGTGCAACGATGACACTGAAATTTCTTATCTTATCTATTTCAGAGAGAGAGACCAGGGGAAGGACAGAGATACGAGTAAGTAAACAGAGAGAGACCAGAGAGAGAGTCAAGAGAGACCAAAGGTGTGACAGAGGATAAAAATACATGCATGTCAGGGCTCAACATTAACGGTTGTCCGCTTGCCAGGGGCAACTAAAGATTTGGGACGGACAAGTGCGCTGTCTTAGCAAGTTGCCCGATTGGGCAAGTGATGTTTAGCTTACAGTAGTATTACTTACTTACTAACCCATTCAGGCTGCGAACGCATTCCCACCTCTAGAGCCTATATTTTTTTGACCGATTCTCTTCGTTGGTCAATTTTCTTGTCCAATGTGACAGGATTCCAAATCCTCCATTCTGACCCTGTGGGCAGCCGCTTTGAAAACAGCTCAGTGAACGCACAGCCGTAACGTGGTCATATAGAGCACGGACAGGATGGTCCCTAGCTTGTTGCAAGGGTGGGTTAATCAGTGTCTCCCCCGTGTCTCCTACCGAAGCACAACCAAAAGACCGAAAAAATAAAGCGTCGGTGCCTAATTTTTTCCTTGCATTGACAATGCATGTTGGTTGTGCACCAAAGTAAGTTGTAAACAAATCAAACAGAACACACCACAAAAGGCTTTGTTGTATTTTATTTTGCATGCTTAAGAAAGCTCCCTGTCAGTCATTATTTGACTTTTGGACTTTTAACATTGGGCAAGTCAAATGTAAATGGTACTTGCCCAAAGGTCAAATGGCTGACAAAGCTTAATGTCAAGGCTTGCATGTGAAAACTAATGAGAGAAGAAAACTGTTTTACTAGCTAGTTAGTGAGATGAAATTGAAAGTCAAGTAGCCCAGCTAGTATTTAAGTATTAAGTATGCCTGTCAAACATTATTCGCTGATGGGACTAGTTCTGTGTAAGTACTCCACCCAGGCCACAGCCGCCATAAGCCAGGTAATAAAACACTCAAAAAGTCAAAAAGACCCAACATGGAATCACTACAAAGCTTGGTTCATGCCGGTAGAACACATGAATATCAGCTCTAAAAAACTACAGGGGTAATAACAGATGAATAACTTCTATATGACAATACTACTAGCAGTTGAAATACTAAAAGACTGTCTGGGCTGTCTCTGGTCTCAGGCTCCGGTCTCAGGCTCTGGTCTCAGGCTCCGGTCTCAGGCTCTGGTCTCAGGCTCCGGTCTCAGGCTCTGGTCTCAGGCTCTGGTCTCAGGCTCTGGTCTCAGGCTCTGGTCTCAGGCTCCGGTCTCAGGCTCCTGTCTCAGGCTCCGGTCTCAGGCTCTGGTCTCAGGCTCTGGTCTCAGGCTCTGGTCTCAGGCTCTGGTCTCAGGCTCGGTCTCAGGCTCCGGTCTCAGGCTCGGTCTCAGGCTCGCGGTCTCAGGCTCGGTCTCAGCTCTAGGCTCGGTCTCAGGCTCTGGTCTCAGGCTCCGGTCTCAGGCTCTGGTCTCAGGCTCTGGTCTCAGGCTCTGGTCTCAGGCTCTGGTCTCAGGCTCTGGTCTCAGGCTCTGGTCTCAGGCTCTGGTCTCAGGCTCTGGTCTCAGGCTCCGGTCTCAGGCTCCGGTCTCAGGCTCCGGTCTCAGGCTCTGGTCTCAGGCTCTGGTCTCAGGCTCCGGTCTCAGGCTCCGGTCTCAGGCTCCGGTCTCAGGCTCTGGTCTCAGGCTCTGGTCTCAGGCTCTCTCAGGCTCTGGTCTCAGGCTCTGGTCTCAGGCTCTGGTCTCAGGCTCTGGTCTCAGGCTCTGGTCTCAGGCTGGTCTCAGGTCTGGTCTCAGGCTCTGGTCTCAGCTCTGGTCTCAGGCTCTGGTCTCAGCTCTGGTCTCAGCTTTCAGGCTCTGGTCTCAGGCTCTGGTCTCAGGCTCGGTCTCAGGCTCTCAGGCTCGTTCAGGCTCTCAGGCTCTGGTCTCAGGCTCGGTCTCAGGCTCCTCAGGCTCCGTCTCAGGCTCCGGTCTCAGGCTCGGTCTCACGGTCTCAGGCTCTGGTCTCAGGCTCTGGTCTCAGGCTCTGGTCTCAGGCTCTGGTCTCAGGCTCTGGTCTCAGGCTCTGGTCTCAGGCTCTGGTCTCAGGCTCCGGTCTCAGGCTCTGGTCTCAGGCTCTGGTCTCAGGCTCTGGTCTCAGGCTCTGGTCTCAGGCTCTGGTGCCTCTCTGGTCTGTTTTGAGAGCGAGGATGAATTTGAAATATAGGTACTCCCGCAGTATTATACAATTTGCAAATTTATAATCCATGTAACATTGACAAACATGCCTCTTTAAATGTCCATGCAGATAATACAGTATTTTCTATGACAAATTGCACAAATATTCAAGTAAAACAGTAGCGTGAACCTACATTGTGAGCAGAACTCCGCTTCCAGCAGTAGTTCGGGGAAATACGCGGCCAGATCGGGCTGTCGTCCCTCTGGCCCCGGGGTCGGGCTGGAGCTGGGGGCGTACAGGTCCAGGAGCTCCACGGCCGGTCCGAAGGCGTCCCACTCCAGGTAGTCAAACATGGCGGGCCGCGGGACAAGACCATAGACCCAAACAGCGCTCCTACATGAAGCTAGCACACACACATAACATTCCAGCGGTCAGGGGCGTGCGCGCGAGCTAGCATAGCGTGGATCCTGCCGTTAGGAACCGTTAGGAACCGTTAGGAACCGTTAGGAACCGTTATAACAAATCAAAAGTAAAGTCACTGTAACGGTCGTGTGGCGCGGTTTCCCTTCGATGGTGTGGAACTGTTGCGGTGAGTTGTTCGCTATGTTGTGGTGAGTTGTCTGCGGGGTTACCTCATGAAGGCTGAACTCTGGGTGAACCTATCCGCTGCAGATGGCCTCCGCGCGAACCCTGCAGCCAGTGACGTCACGAGCACACAGGAAGACATCCGAAACCGCACACAAATAACATGCTTTTCTCGTTCTCCCTTATTTCTTTCTATATAAAATTTAATATTATCTGATATAATACAGATAATATTGTTAATAAAACAAATTTTTTAAATTGTTAATCGATATTTGCTACTCTACTCTTGCACAATCCGTATCCAAAAAGGAAAAACAAAGTTAATTCGGATGCAGCCAGAAACGCAACAAAAGCTGAGAGAAGGATGTTTAGGAATGCTAGAAGGAAAACCTTAAAGAGTCATGAAACCAGCATAAAGACAAATGCACTTTTCTATGCCATTCAATGTGTTTGTACATCACCCATCCACAGCAGTTGTAATTTGTTGTTGATTCGACAATATCAAATCAAACGGTTCGAAGACAAGAAGTGCAATAACAAGAAAAACACATAGGAGCCATTGGTCCATAGGGAGTGGGATGACCACTGTTCAATTGTTGATGAATATGCAGAAATGTCCCGGATCATCACTGTCAGATTTCACACCTCCTGCATCAGCAAGGAACCACTCAGAAACCCAGTGGGAATCATGTGAGAAACCTCAGGGAGGTCCACGGAAGGACAGGCAGTAGATCCAGGACTGAGATTGTAGATCCAGGATCCAGGATCCAAGTCTTTGTTTTTTTACTTTTGTTTTGTGTTTATACATCAGAAAATGAAAAACAGTTGTTTGCACAACAACATTAGTTTGTCTATTCAACAAAGAGAATAGAGAATCATATAAATTCAACATTTCTATTTTCTGACCATGACCACAACATTCCGATCTGTGTCTCGTTCCAAACACCCTCCTCTTCAGAATCTTACAATAGAACTATGTCTGGGTCATAAAGCCCCTCTCCCAGTGGTCAAGTCTTGGGAACCCACACTCAACAATGACTTTACTACGTTGTAACTAGCCCAATTAAAAGTCTGGCATTGAGGAGACAAAGCATGTGCCATAAACCCTTTAAAGTTTCAAAGCTAGACTACCTAACTTGGACAACACAAAAAAGCTACTAGTTACTCGCTCATAGTTTCAAATTCATGTATTTTTGGCCTCTGTCACATCTCCGGTCTCTCTCTCTCTAGTTTCACTCTAATCTCTCTCACTCAGGTCTCTACCCAATCTCTTTCTGGTCTCTCCCTCGCTTGCTGGTCTCTTTCTCTAGACTCTCTCGGGTCTCTCTCTCTGGTCTGTCTCTGGTCTCCCTATGATCACTCTCCCTGGTCTCTCGCTCTTGCTGGTCTCTTTCTCTGGACATCTTTAGCTCAGTTTTTTTGAAAGAACCACATTGCCCAAAGATTCAATTACTCAGATAAAATGTTTTCTAATAAGATGGAGACAGCATCTTTACTAATGCAAGGAAACTGTGATTCTAACCTTTTTTCTAACTGCTCTCCACCATCTGTCCTAGTTAGCTCTTCTCTTCTCTCTCTTTGTCTTCCGCTGACTCTAAGTGAGAGATATTTAGTGCTGGACATCCCATAATTAAATGAGGAAGCTTAAGTGGAGCCAGAGGAGTCTGTGGGCGGGGGATGGAATCACTAGTCGTCTAAAAAATCACTCACTAGTCGTCTAAAAAAATCAGATTTTCCTTTTGAATAAAGTACTCAGAATCAGCTGATATAATCGAGGAAGGTTTTGAAGTAAATGTGACTTTATTTCTGGGTTTTTAAATTGTTTATTCGGTTGGCACAATGCTTGTCACTGGATTCGCAAAGCTACAATCATCTCCGGATTGTAGCTTTGGAATCATTTGCATCTGTAGTCCAACAGTCGGACTCACAAACACACACTCAGTCACCCTGGACTATTTATAGTACATGTTTTCAGTAGTAGGGAAAACCGGAGCATCTGGAGGAAACCTGTGCAGACACAGGGAGATCATGCAAAATCCTCAAAAAAGACCCTGTCTGGAGGTGGATTAAAACACAGGATCTTCTTGGCACGCCATAATTCTTCCTGAATTTGGTTTATGGAATTAACCTCAGCCCTAAAACTACAGGGTCTTGTAACAGGCCTGTATTTCTGTCCTTCAAACCAAAAAGTAATCAGAATTACAATATTTTTTATTGCCATGTAAGTAACAGGAAGTCACAGACTAGGAAATTGCTTTGGCTCTTGGTGCAACAGTCAAAGAAGAAAGATAAAGAATAGAGTAAGGCATAACAAAAATCAGCATACACGTCTAAGGTATAAAAATAAGCATTTACAGCTACTGATCTCATACATGTGTGCTACAACACTGAAATTTCCCTACTGTGAGACAAATAAAGGTCTTTTTTTCTTAATTGTCCACTTACATCGCCAATGGGAAACATAAAGAAGCTGGTGTAGCTGTTTTCTGGGTCAGAATTTGACCACTGAAGTTTTTACGTTTTGAAAAGAAAATCAGCTGAGGCAAATGTAACTGGGAATAAGACTTAACCTGTAACAAAAAATTAAATTGAAAAAAAATCCAATATTAACTTGTTTGCACATTTTGTGCTGTACTTTTTGTCTGATCCAAGTTCATTCTATTATGAATGATTGATTTGACTCTCAGGTCTCTCCTCGATCTCACATAGGTCTCACTTTGGTCTCTCTCTCCTTCAATGCCACTGCTAACCCCAATGAGGCGCGGGGTTAGCACAGCTCCAATGTTAAAGCAGCTAATTACAGCCTGTGTATCCCACACTCCAGGAGGCCGGGTCATCCAGAGGACAGCCATGAGAGGCATTCCTGCTCCCCCCTGCACCACAGACTGGTGTGGCCTTACCGAGTGTGACATCACCGTAGTGTTGAACATACACGAGCTGGAGCTGATTTCCTCATATAGCCCTTTCCTGCAGTTAGCTTCGTTCCGTAACAGAGGCGTGTTGCTAAGACGGTTGCTAAGCTAACTGGAGTTTCCCCCATGGATCTATAATAATAACTGGATGTATTACTAGCTCATAGCTGTCCCACCCATGGGCACAGGGGGCGCCTGTGGTACTGCAGACTAAATTCACGTGGGCTAGCCAAAAAAAAGTCCCATAGAACTTAATGTAAACTAAAACAGCTCAACCTCAGCTGACAGAGAGCCTACAGCTTTCACAAAGATCGGATTTTGTGGGGATTTTAGTGTCCCTTGTCATCCTGAACTTTTTTTCTTCTTAAATCCTTCAGTTTTCTTTAAATCTACACTTTACTGCCACAAACTCTGCTCGTTTCCTTCCCGCTCTGGCTCCGCTCTACCGCAGCGCTGATTGGTCAAAGCGCGGCCGAGCCCCTCTGTGCACGTGCACGAGAGCCACACACGTGTATTTGGCGCAAAGCATCATGGGAGCTCGTCCTCTGCGCAGAACCGGGAGGACCAGACGATGCCCAAATACAGGCGAGTTCTGCTAATCTTTCGGTCCCCGTCAAGTCCCATGCGCTACTGAGCACAAGCAATTCATTTGAATAGGGCGCCATCTTGGGACACCGGGGCTTGGTTTCCCCCCACAAAGGAAGGCATCTGATTGGTCAATTCTTATATAGAATTGACCAATCAGGAGTGGTCCTTCCTCAAGTGGAGGAGTTCAAGTATGTCGGGGTCTTGTTCATGAGTGAGGGGAGAATGGAGCATGAGATTGACAGGCGGATCGGTGCAGCGTGCGCAGTGATGCGGTCGCTGTATCGGACCGTTGTGGTAAAGAGGGAGCAGCGTCTGCAGTCAGAGCTGTATCGGACCGTTGTGGTAAAGAGGGAGCAGTGTCTGCAGTCAGAGCTGTATCGGACCGTTGTGGTGAAGAGGGAGCAGTGTCTGCAGTCAGAGCTGTATCGGACCGTTGTGGTAAAGAGGGAGCAGTGTCTGCAGTCAGAGCTGTATCGGACCGTTGTGGTGAAGAGGGAGCTGAGCCGAAAGGCAAAGCTCTCGATTTACCGGTCAATCTTCGTTCCCTCCCTCACCTATGGTCATGAGCTTTGGGTAATGACCGAAAGAACGAGATCGCGGATACAAGCGGTCGAAATGAGCTTCCTCCGCAGAGTGGCTGCTCCCTTAGAGATAGGGTGAGGAGCTCAGTCACACGGGAGGAGCTCGGAGTAGAGCCGCTGCTTCTCCACATCGAGAGGAACCAGTTGAGGTGGCTCAGGCATCTGTTCAGGATGCCTCCTGGACGCCTCCCTGGGAAGGTGTTCCGGGCACGTCCCACCCGGAGGAGGCCCCGGGGAAGACCCAGGACACGCTGGAGGGACTATGTCTCTCAGCTGGCCTGGGAACGCCTTGGGGTCCCCCCGGACGAGCTGGAGGAAGTGTGTGTGGATAGGGAAGTCTGGGCGTCTCTGCTTAGACTGCTGCCCCCGCGACCCGGCAACGGATGAAGCAGAAGAAAATGGATGGATGGAAAATTGATAAACCTCAAGAGAAACCATGCGTCTGGATCATGGATCTGGACTGGACGGAATTGGTTGCTGAATTTGGACACTAGAGCACACTGAAAGACTTGTCAAAAGGAGGATTCACGGCTCGACACAAGAAATGCAGCCTGAAGAAATAAACACGGAAAGTGGGAGAGAGAGTTTTCAAAGCAATATCTGAGAACCACCCAATTGGCTGATGAAGTTTGGTATTTTACTGAAGATTGAATACAAATTTTATGATCTGAACATGTTTTATTTGTA